CCAGGCAATTCTGCTGCTTGACACTTGAGAACTTGGTCTGCCGTGACTCTAAGTGAGACCTCATTCCTCTGCAGAGTGAAAAACATGAATAGTTCCCAAATTCTGTCCATTCCTTCCAGAGCCTGTCCTCACCCAGGCTGCCTCCAACCCTTCTCTCAGTGCCCTGCACCCTGTCACCCTCCTGCAGAGCCTCCACCGGCAGAACCGGCCCCACCTCACTCATAGGCCTGGTGACTTCAATATTTTTACAATTTGTCTTAGAGTTTTATAGCTGTCTCTTCTTCATTTAGTCAAGCATTTAATACCAGTGATGATTAAAATAATATAAATACTGGCCAGTTAGGGGGGCATCTGGAGAAACAGAAATCGGCCTGCCTTAGGGTTCTAGCTCCAGCTCTGCCATGTTCCTTAGGCAAGTGGCTTAATTTTCTCTGTGCCTCCGTGTGTGTGTGTGTTTTAGTAATTTTTCTCTCTTAAAATATTTTTTTATATATATTTTATTGATTTTTTACAGAGAGGAAGGGAGAGAGATAGAGAGCTAGAAACATCGATGAGAGAGAAACATCAATCAGCTGCCTCTTGCACACCCCCTACCGGGGATGTGCCCGCAACCAAGGTACATGCCCTTGACCAGAATCGAACCTGGGACCTTTCAGTCTGTAGACTGACGCTCTACCACTGAGCCAAACCGGTTTTGGCATATCTTTTAAGATATTTTTTTATTGATTTTGAGAGAGAGAGAAACATCAGTGTGAGAATGAAACATTGGTTGGCGGACTCCTTGTGCCTTCGTTTTGTCAATTGGAAAATGAAAATATTAACAGGAGCCACCTTATCTGTAGGGCTGTTTGGAGGGTGAAATGGATGACCCTTTAAGATGCGTGGCACAGCTTGGCACATGTACATGCTTAGTTACATTGGTAACACTCAGTAGGTAACAATGTTGGGTGAGCAGTAATCGTTCGTGTCCCATCTGGATTGGTTGCCCTGGGTCAGTGGGTAGGGCAGGTGGTGGCTACCGGCAAGAGCAGGGACTCTGTCCGGCTCTGGTCCTGGTTTCCTACCACTGCCACCCTGGCTGTGTTTCTTGACTTGTGTGTTTCAGTTTACAAATGCTTTTGGCAATAGATCCCATTGGATCATCTGAACAACCTGTGACATGGCCAGCACCCCCCCCCCCTTTTTTTTAAATATATTTTATTGATTTTGTACAGAGAGGAAGGGAGAGAGATAAGAGAGCCAGAAACATCATGAGAGAGTCATTGATCAGCTGCCTCCTGCACATCCCCTACTGGGGATATGCCCGCAACCAAGGTACATGCCCTTGACCGGAATCGAACCCGGGTCCCTTCAGTCCCCAAGCTGACGTTCTATCCATTGAGCCAAACCGGTCTTGGCCACCCCCTTTTTTTGTGTGAAATAAGCAGCTGAGGCTCAAATGGAAAGTGACTCAACTCATCCTGAGACCACACTGCTAGGGAATGGCGTTTGCCAAACCAGGCTCCCATGTGGCCGTGCCTCCACCTCCATCTTCACTTGCTTCAGCTACTTCAGCTCCTTGGGGCTGCTTGGGGTTGGTGCCTGTACCCTCCCCACTGAAGAGGGCAGGGCTGACCACTTCTCTCCTCTGCCCCTAGCTGCTCATTGGGAACTTTGGCCTCAGTTTCGAGCAAGCTCGGGCCCAGATGGCCCTGTGGACAGTGCTGGCGGCCCCCCTCTTCATATCCACAGACCTGCGGACCATCTCCGCCCAGAACAAGGACATTCTGCAGAACCCACTCATGATCAAAATCAACCAGGATCCCTTAGGCATCCAGGGACGCAGGATTCTCAAGGTATTGTGGTGTGTGTGGGAAGAAAAGGGAGACTGAGGGACTAGGCTCCCCTGAGAACGAGCCTGCAAGGCTGGGTGCATTCAGTTGAAGTCTACTGGGGGCTATTCCAACTGTCCCCCACTTGCCTGGTGAGGGCAGGGCCAGAGCAGGACAGCTCATGGGGTTTGGGGAAGGGAGATGTCACGATGCAGTGCACAGGGGACAGTGAGGCCTCGCAGGTAGGAAGTATAAGTGTCTGGCAGAGAACTGTGATGTCTGATGGAGAACCGGGGACTTCCCTACAGTGTTTAGGAGTTGTATGAGCCAAGGAATTACAACTATTACTCGTACCGGTGTCTACTATTTATTGATCGCCTACTGTGTGCTGGGCATTCTAGATACATTTCCTCACAAGAGTGATACTCCTTCCCTGTTTTACAAAAGAGGAAACTGAGATTTGAAGAGTCTAAGAACTTAGCTCAAGGCCCCATCATTAGTAAATAGCACAACAGGACCTGATTCCAAGTGTTGCCCAAGTTCCTGCTCTTTGCACACTCCTTCCCTCTCTACAACCCTACACACCTGTAGGTGCGCCTGCTGAGGTGGCGAGGCCCAGAGGAGGTAACTGATCCCTGCCAGGCCGGGGAGGAGGGGTTCATGCTCCTGGCTGCTCAGGGCAGAGCGCCTCATCCCACTAGCCACTCCAGTGCAGCAGCTCTCCCCATCTGTCCCTCCCATCATCCTATGCGCACTCTGAGGCAGGACCTCATGCAGTACTGCCTATGTCCTGGCATGGGGCTGGACACAGGAAGTGTTGGGGAGCATCTGCCAAGTCAGGGAGAGGAAGGAAAGTAGTGTTAGATAAGTTGGGGTACTGGAGGGCTGTGGTATCACCCTCGGCCCCCCCCCCCCCCACTAAGCTTTTGTGTGGAATGAAACTGTGGGCTGGGGAGGGGGACCCAGGGCTCCAGGGAGGGCCAGGAAGGGGACTTGAGGGCCTGCCTGAGCAGGAACCCCAGCAGCAGCCATCTTCTGTCCCAGACGAAGTCCCTCATCGAAGTGTTCCTGCGGCCCCTGGACAACAATGCCTACGCCGTGGTCTTCTTCAGCCGCAGGACGGATATGCCTTACCGCTTCCGCTGGTCCCTCTCCCTGCTCAACTTCACCAGCTCCAGCTTGTATGAGGTGAGCCCCTGCGGGAGGGAGTGCCCCGTTTCCCTGGGAGGCGGTGCTGGGGGTGGGCCTCACACAGGCCCCCCGAGCCGTGGGCCCTGGGTCCTGGGCAGGTGCTCAAGGACAGCGGCGGGCACTGAGGGCCAAGGCTGGTGCTGCTCTGCACTGGCATCTTCAGGCTAAGCAAACAAGATTACTGCGTATAAATGAGTCTGGTTACCCACGGAGGCCATGCTCCTCCCCTCACTGGTCAGCCCTTGCTGCACGGTGCTCAGGTTCTCTGTGGACGAGGCTTTCACCACTGCCTACGTCTGGGCATCAGCTGGCTGTGCCAGTGGAGAAGTGACAGAGTCACGGCTCCCACTTCTGCAGTACACACTGGAGGCCCAGCACAGACAGGCCAGAGGCCAGGCTTCTGTGTCCCCTGCCTGGCTCTTCTTATGGTGCCACTGCTTCTGTCCTCCCTGCTGCAGGCCCAGGATGTCTACACGGGTGGCATTATCAGTGGCCTCCGGACTGAAACCATCTTCACAGTGATCATCAACCCTTCGGGGGTGGTGATGTGGTACCTGTATCCTGTCGGGAAGCTGGGAACACCTCCGCAATGAGGAGCTGACACATGGGACAGGCTGTACAGCACCGCTGCACCCAGACCATGGAGCCTCGGCGTGCCAAGGGCCAGTAGGCGAGGTTCTCTGCTGCCCAGGCCCGCGTGGCGACCGACCCAGTCGGACCCAAAGTGCACTCAAAGGGCTGCTCAAGTGTGAACCCTCTTGGAAACTTGTCTTGGGCACTTTCCTGTGGCCTCCTGGCCTCTAGCCTTGTCTGCACAGCTCCACAGATGTCGCTGAACCACTCGGCAGCCTAAGCTGCCATAGGCAGGGGCACTGATACCCATCAGGACTCCAGCCTCTGACCTTCTGTTGACTCTGAAATCAAGATTTGGAATTTTTCTTATAATTAGGAGTGGAGATGTGACCTCTTGTCAGGAACTTCCATGAATCACAATTGGCTTTCCTGCCCAGAGGAGACCTTGCAGGCTGATACTCCACGGGAGTGACCTTGGCTCCCTCAGGTCACCAATAAAGCTGTTCTTTCATCAAATACAATAGTTGTAACATGGTCCTGGGCCAATGGGCACCTTCAATGACTCTGAGTGGCACTACACAGGGTGCCGGTTTCAAATCTGACCTCACATAGAAGATGTGGGGCATCTTCTGTCCCTCATTTTCCAAAATGACCTGCAGATTACACTGAGTGGCCAGATTATTATGATCTCTGAACGCATAATTATCTGACCACTCAGTGTGTGTATGTGTGTGTGTGTGTGTATTTATATGAGGCCCAGTGCATGAATTTGTGCATGGGTGGGGTCCAGCCAGCCTGGCCAGGGGGAGGGGACATGGGCAGTTGGCTGGCCTGCCTGCTGGTCGAACTCCTGGTCGAGGCGACAGTTTGCATATTAGCCTTCTATTATATTGGATATAATCTGAGTGGCCAGATTACTATGTGTTCAGAGATCATTATAATCTGGCCACTCAGTGTGTACTTAGACAGTCCAGACTTGCCTCACACCAGGGAGCCATCCCTGCTCTGCCCAACGCAGTGGTGGTGGTGTGACAACGCAGTGAGGCAGAGCAGCGATGGTCCCAGGCCCTCTTTGTCTTGCCCTTCCCCACGCCATTCAGATGGTCCAGGCTCTAGTGGCCATGACCCCCCTCACCAGCCCCTCTGCTGCACCCTGAAAGGCCTGATGTGCTAAAGAGTTTTGCATGGTTGCCCTAAGCACCTTTCAGTTCCTCTTTCTTTTTTTCTTTTTTTTTTTTAAATATATTCTATTGATTTTTTTACAGGGAGGAAGGAAGAAGGATAGAGAATCAGAAACATCGATGAGAGAGAAACATCGATAAGCTGCCTCCTGCACATCCCCTACTGGAGATGTGCCTGCAACCAAGGTACATGCCCTTAACCGGAATCGAACCTGGGACCTTTCAGTCCGCAGACCGACGCTCCATCCACTGAGCCAAACTGGTTTCGGCATATATTGTTTTTTTTGCAACAGAAATTCAGGTTCAGGATAAGATAATCATAGATAAAGTTGTATTTTCAAAATAGCTATTCCTTCCATTTCTCTTGCCAGAAGCACAAGGGGATTTTTCCTCTCTTTACTGTGGAGACTTGGTGGGACTCCTGGAGGTAAAATCCACATAACTAGTGGGTTCCTCCCTAAGACTGGCCCCACCCAGAAATTTTTAACTCTCAAGCTTGTCTACACAAAGCCTCCCCAATTCATCAATTAGTTTAAATTACCTACCCTCATACTGGCTCTTTCGACAGGTTCATTGCCTGAGATTTTTGCTTTGGGTGAGTTGTGACTCTGTATCCATCTATCTCGCTAATTTTGCAGGCAGCAGTTTGCCCTATGACTTCTAATGGATCTAAGAGGAGTAACTGATGTATAATTCATTCAGTTTTATTCTCGTGGGAATAGAAGTGTTGGCTTCCAATCCCCTTAAGCCAACCAGAGTGAGAGAGGTCTGAACCTCTCTCTGGACTGTCTAAGAGTACACACTGAGGGGCCAGATTATGATCTCTGAACACACAGTAATCTGGCCACTCAGTGTATATCCAATATAATAGAAGGCTAATATGCAAATTGTGCCCTCGACCAGGAGTTCGACCAGCAGGCAGGCCAGCCAACCTGGACCCCAAGCAGAAAACCTCAATCTCCTTTTTAGGAACCAATCAGTGAAGGGAACAGGAAGATCTACAGGCAAGAAATATTGCACAAGGGCACAGCTAGTCTTCTTACTAAGGATGGACCACATGTTCAGACCAAAGGCCTTCCTGGTGGCGGCATCAAAACAATGCAGACATCCCCTTCTCCAGGAAGCTGACAGACTATCAAAGCTGGCAGACCTCTATCATTGCACTTTTTCAGGAATTAGGAGTATTCCTCTCTCTTATTGGTCATCAGGTAAAAGCCCGAAGTCTAATGCCAGAATTGGGTCCAAGGGAAAAGCACAAGCTTGAGCATAAATAGTTCTAAAACAGTTCCCAAAATGAAGCACTCCAAGGCCCAGAGGGCTGAGAACCAGGGAAAGGAAGACCTTCACAGCAAGCCAACAGAAGGGGTCCACACAGCTTCCCCAGGGGGACCACGGAGAGGGTGAAGTACCTACCTGCTCCCATCCTATATTTGCGAGGGGAGGGGCAGGACAGGGTGGACACTTGCAAAACATAATGAAATTGTCTATCTCTGAGGCAGTCTGTGTACTGCTTGAGATCAGGTGTCAGTTTTCTCAGAACAAAGGGTTGGCACAGAGCAGCCTCAGTAAATACTCAACCAGAACTGATCCTCAGGAAGCCCAGTGCACAGTATTGGGCAGCACAACAAACAACTGGTCAGCGTACAAGCTCTCACATTGATTTGTTCTGGCTCTCCCCTCCATGGAAAACTGGAGAACAGTCTTCCCCACCTTAGGCAAGTGCTCCGTCAAGGGGCACGAGCACTGAGGCGAGCATGAGAAGGTCCATCTTTCTTGGAATCAGATGATGAACAGTTGAAGCAGGACAAGTGCAGAGCCCAGACAGAAAACGTAGAGCTTGGGCACATCCACGCTGACTACTGGGAGGTCCTCAGGGGCCAGTACTAGGCCAGATGCCCTCAGAAACAGAGAGACCAAGGCCACAGCAAAGGTGTGCAACAGCAAACGGAGTTTAATCGAGGGTGTGAAACCAGGGTGACCTTGCCTCTTCAGTTACTTTAACTTCTTTTGTTGTCAGGACGTAGGCAAGAAGGAGGCCTGTTTTCGAACGAGGACCCAGGAATCAGTCTCCATCCCCAAGCTGTTTTGTGTGGCCTGGTTCAGACCTCTCTCTGGTTGGCCTACAATCTATTTTCAAGCTTTTCCTTCCGAGGAGTCTTCTCACACCCATTTGTTTTGAGGCACTGGATGTAGGGGAAGGCATTTTGGAATTAAGCTGCCTAAAACACTATTCCCCAGGTCTGCAGGGCTAGCTCCCTCACCTCCTGAATCTTTCAAATCTTTACTCAACTATTATCTTCTCACAAATCTCTATTGCATACTGCTCCTTCTGCCAAGCCACAGCACTCCTAATCTCTTACTTTGTTCTTTTTTATAGCTTTTATCAACATCTGTCTTTGAATATGGAATGCCTAATTATATCATATAATATAATATATGCATTGATTGCATCTTAGTATTACTAGAATGTAAGCTCCATAAGAGCAGGAATTTTTTTTTTTTACTTTTTTTTTTTTTTTAAATCAATCTTTATTGTTCATATTGTTACAAAGGTTCCTCATTTCTTCCCCCCTCCACCAGGTTCCCACCGCAACCTCCGCCCCCTCCCCATCCCCCATTGTCCTCATCCATAGGTGCAGTTTATGTTCAGTCTCTTCCTCCCTCCCTTTCCCCGATAGTAAATCCCTTTTCAGATACTAAATCAGTTACTTAGCATTTTCTCATATCAATAATACCACCACATGCCCAATGATACATTTCACACAAAAGACATTTCCAAATAGGTCAACCAGCTTCATCCAGGCCCCACCCAAGGCACTCACAGATCAACACCCCAGCCCTATACTAACTCAACACATCCAGATCTAAGCCTTCATCACTTGATTCAGCAGACCCTCAAGTTCCCACAAAAGTTTCCAGCCATGTCTGAGAGGCAGCCGTGGGGCAGGGACAGGCGAAGAGCGAGCTGTTCCGGGCCTGGCCTCTGTTGCTCTGGTTCGTTCCACAACCAGCTGCTCCGGGTCTGGTCACCACCGCTCCCGACCTAGTTGCTCTGGACCTGGCTGCTGCTGCTCCGGGCCTGGCCGCACCAGACCCGGCTGCTCCGGGCCTGGCCGCTCCCAGCCTGGCAGCCGCTGCTCCAGGCCTGGCCGCACCAGACCCGGATGCTTCGGGCCTGGCGGCTCCCAGCCTGGCAGCCGCTGCTCCGGGCCTGGCCACACCAGACCCGGATGCTCTGGGCCTGGCCAAAGAGCAGGAATTTTTATCTATTTTATTCACTGATCTCCCAAGCACACAGAAATAGCACATAAAAGGCACTCCATAAATGAGTGTGTGGATGAAAAAGGAAATGTGTTCAGATCCTGTCCTGTCACTTACTGGCCAGCTGTATGCCTTAGGCCATTTGCTTCCCTGTCAGCCTCAGTGTCTTCATCTATGTGATTGTGATCCAAGCACTTTCCTTGGATCCCAATCACACAAATTTTATATGTAAAGCGCCTGGCTGGTGCTTAGCACTAATATAGTTAATAAATGGCCAGCCAATTGACATAATTACTGTCCCTCTCAAAGTCTTTACCATTTAGTTAAAAGTAAGTACCCTTTACTTGGACAATTAATGTGGTGGAGTTTTCAGGTCTGAGGCTGTGATGAAGGGATGAGGCCATGAGGATGTGAAAAACTCAAAGATGTCAAAATTATCTTTTTCCTGTGCCAGCTGAGCCGGTTCAAGAAAAAGCTGGTCTGCCCTAGCCAGTTTGGCTTGGTGGATAGAGCGTCGGCCTGAGGACTGAAGGGTCCCAGGTTCGATTCCAGTCAAGGGCACATGCCCGATTGTGGGCTCCATCTCCATTGTGGGGCACGTGCAGGAGGCAGCCGATCAATTATTCTCTCTCATGATTCTGTCTCATCACTGATGTTTCTATTTCTCTCTTCCTCTTCCTTCCTCTCTGAAATCAATTACAAAAAAAAAGAAAGAAAAGAAAAAGCTAGTCTCAGGCTTCCAGCAATACTCACACTTCATTTACATAGAACCAATCTGATCTCATGAGAAATGAGCCCTCCTTTAACCTACTCTACCACCTTTGACACCACTGATTTTCAGGCCCTCTGACCACCAGGGATCAAGCCTGCAGCAGGGAAAGGGACTCAGAGCTCACCAGGACCGCACACGTGTGGTGAGGATCAGGCCACTCCATGCACAGGAAACTCTCCTACCGCGTGGCACCTGTGGGATAAAAAGAAAATGCTGGGGAGCAGGTTCCCCATTGAGAGGCTAGGGTCCCAGATCCTAAAGTCAGCCTGGGTTCAAGTTCTGCCTCCACTACTCAAAGTTGCAAATTCGTTCGTTTCCTAGATCTGCAAGCTTCAGTATGCTTAGCTGTAAAATGAAGCTATTAACAGTGCCCACTTCACCGGATGAGGTGAGATATGAAGTGCCTTGGCACACTGCCTGGCACCCACCTACAGTACTGATCATTTGCTCACTCAAAGCCCTTTAAACCCCAGGTGAGTGCTCTGGGACCACCTTGCCAGAGGTGGCTTTGCCAGTATGAACCATATAAACCAAGGCTGTGAGGTAGGAAGAGGGGAAATATAACCCTGCCTTCAGGACTATTCAACTCAACCAGCCAGACAGAAGACAGCTTTCTCTAAATTCTGAAATTTTAACTTCTAATGCTAACAAAACTGATTCTGAAAACTATAATATTCAGCTGGTTACCAGAACTTAGTGTTTATATGTGTTGTACATGTGTATATTAAGTCAAGAATCGCAATTTGTTTATGTCTTCACTCACTCAACAAATATTACCTAGGTACCACTGTGGCCCTTGCCTTCTGCTAGGCCCCTGTAATGGGACATGGCCTCTGTTCTCAAGGAGCTCACAGATTGTGGGGGAGATGAACATGCAAACAATCTCAACAGGATTGCCCCAGTTATGTTTTTAATCCTCACTCAAGGATAAGTTTTTATTGATTTGAGAGAGAGAGAGAGAGAGAAATATAGATGTGAGAGAGAAACATCCATTAGTGTCTCCCATATGCACTCCAACTGAGGATCAAACCTGCAACCCAGGTATGTGCCCTGACCTGGAATTGAATCCACAACCTGTTGGTGTATGGGTCAACGCTCCAACCAACTGAACCACCTGGCCATGGCAGATTGGCATGGCCAGGTGGTTCAGTATTTTGTCAGAAACACACTGAGGGTACAATACAAGCTTGGCAGAAGGGCAAAGAAGGGGAGCTTAGAACAAGCTTCTTAGAAGAACTTCTGGCTGTTTTTGAAAAATAAGTAGCAAGCAGTAGGAAGGCAGGCAGAGGCAGAAGCCATGCACTTCTGCATTTAGTTCTGCTCAGCTGGCTCTCAGCTGGAGAGGTCACTGGAGGGGCCAATCTGCAGGGTCTTGAATATAAAGGAGCATAATATGACCTACATATATGTGAAAACCAGGAGTTTGGACTTTATCCTGAAGGCTGTGAGGAGCCACTGCACAATTTATAAACAAGGCAGAGCCTAGCATGCTATTAATTTAGCTTAAAAATTACTCATTCCGCCCTAGTTGGTTTGGCTCAGTGGACAGAGCATTGGCCTGCTGACTGAAGGGTCTCAGGTTTGATTCTGATCAAGGGCACATGCCTGGGTTGTGGGCTCCATCCCCAGTAGGGTGTGTGCAGGATCAATGATTCTCTCTCCCCCACTCCTCTCCCTTCCTCTCTGAAATCAATAAAAGTATATATAAAAATACTTAAAAGAACTCATTCTCAATATAGAAACATATAGTACACACATGCACTTTAAAAATTTGTAATAAAAATCTAGGTCTCCTCTCCTTTTCCCCAGCTATGCAGTTCCCCAGCCCAGAGGCCACACTGTTACCACTTGATTACTTCGTTAGTCTTCTAGTATCTGAAGAATCTGAGAATTTATATGTTAAAATACTTACAATTTTACTACAAATTATTTTTCTAAAATTGATTTGAGAGAGAGGGAGGGAGGGAGATGGGGAGAGAAAAAAAAAATCAATGTGAGAGAGAAACATTAATTGATTGCCTCTCTTTTGTACCCAAGCAGGGATCGAACCCAAAACCTGGGCATGTGCCCTGACTGGAAATCTAACCAGCGACCTTTCTTTTTTTCTTTCTGTCTTCCTAATTTGTTTTTATTTATTTTTATTTTTTATTATTGTCTAAAGTTTTATATTATGTCTTCTTTTCCCCTAATTGATCCCCGCCACAGCCATTCCCACCCCACTGCCCCAGTGCCTGTGTCCATTGGATATGCTAATATGCATGCATACAAGTCCTTTGGTTGTTCCCTAACCCCCTCACTCCCTACCTTTTGTCTCTGACCAGCGGCCTTTCTTGATGCATGGGACAGAACTCAACCAACTGAGCCCCACTGGCCAGGGCCTATTATTCCTTCTTCTATCACATTTATAGTCTTCTATTGATTTTGGCTGAAATGGTGTGGAATCACATGCAGTTGCCTGAAAATTTTATCCCAATGAAGTAAAGGAAACATTATATTAATTCTGAAAGGGGGCATTCAGTCTGATGGGACTGAAAATCTCTCTATTATATATACACTTCCTAAAACTTGCTTTTCTCATTTAACAATAAGACTTAGAAGATTTGCATATATAGTATGGATGTGCCTTGGCTTATTTAAATGTTTACTATTAATAAACCTATAGGTTATTTCTAATTTTGTGTTGTTAGAAACAGTGAACGTAATGAAATCTCTCCACTTACATTTTTGTGTACATGTGCAAGTACTTCTCAGAAACAGATATCGAGAAGCCAAGGCACTAAATTAAGAGTAGACTCATTTTAACTTTTAAAAGGTTCTGCTGGCCCTAGCAGGGGTGGGGACATGCCTCAGTCAGCTGGAGCATCATTCCATACACCAAAAGGTTGTGGGCTCAATTTCCGGTCAAGGCACATAACTAGATTGCTTGTTCATCCCCCAGTTGGGTGCATAAAGAAGGCAACTGATCAATGTTTCTCCCTCATATCGATGTTTCTCTCTCTCTCTCTCCCTCTCCCTCTCTCCCCCTCTCCCCCTCTCCCTCTCTTCCTCTCCCTCCCCCCACCCCTCTCTCCAGGAAAAACATATCTTCCGATAAGGATTAAAAAATAATAAAAGGCATTGCTGAATTGCTTTCTAAAAAGGCACACTGAGCCCATCCAATGTGGCTCACTGGTTGAGTGTTGACTTATGAACTAGGAGGTCACGGTTGGATTCCCAGTCAGGACACATGCTCAGACTGTGGGCTCCATCCTTGGTGAGGGGCGTGCAGGAGACAGCCCATCAATGATTCTCTCTCATCATTGATGTTTCTATCTCTCTCCCTTCCTCTTTGAAATCAATAAAAATATATTTAAAACATAATATTTTAAAAAGGCATACTGAAAAACTCCCTCCAACAATTTATAACAATAACCATTTCTCACATCTTTCCCAACACTTACGTTTTTCAATCTTTTTAATATTTGTAAACCTTTGGAAAGAAAAAGTGTTTCTCTTTTCAAGTTGTACTTCCTTAACACTAGTTGAGTGGAACAAACCTCTTTTCAAATGTTTCTTGGCCAGCCACTCCATTGCCACTCTACTGCCTGTTAATAGGGTATTCATATCTTCTGTCCATTTTTCTTTTGGGTTGATTTGTAGGAGTTCATATATTCTGAGTAAAAGTTATTTGTTTGTTTAATATATATGCTGGAAATTACTTTCTCCTACTCTATTGCCTATCTTTTAACTTTGGTCATACAGAATTTAAAAAAAAAATCAAGATAGTCAAAATTATATTTACTTTGTTTTCCTTGATTGCTTCATTGGTTTTGGTATTCTTAAAGAAGGCTTTTCTAGCCGAAACTGGTTTGGCTCAGTGGATAGAGTGTCGGCTTGAGGACTGAAGGGTCCCGGGTTCGATTCCAGTCAAGGGCATGTACCTTGGTTGTGGGCACATCCCCAGTAGGGGGTGTGCAAGAGGCAGCTGATCGATGACTCTCTCTCATCGATGTTTCTAATTCGCTATCTCTCTCCCTTCCTCTCTGTACAAAATCAATAAAATATATTTTAAAAAAAAAGGCTTTTCTACCTCTAGCCATCATTTTCAATGGCTGCATAATATTCCACTGTATAGAAATACCATAATTTATGAAATTCTCTGTCACTATTATAAATTTAGATTGTCCCATCCTTTCATTAATATAAACAATGCTGTGAAAAATGTGTTCAACTTGATGTTTCTAACATATATCTTAGTGCCTAGAAATCTGAGCATAATAAATGCTTCTTGGATAGCAGAGGGGAAAAAAGCTTTTTCCACAGTCACATTCAAGATACGTTAAAAAAAAAAAAATGCAGCTCAGCTCTACCCGGTTTGACTCAGTGGACAGAGCATTCACCTGCTCATGGGTCCCAGTTTGGATTCTGGTCAAGGGCACATGCCGGATTGTGGGCTGAATTCCCACTAGGGAGTGTGCAGGAGGCAGCAGATCAATGATGCTCTCTCATCATTGATGTTTCTCTCTCTCTCTCCCTCTCTCTTCCTATCTGAAATCAATAAGAAAGTATATTTTTTAAAAATACAGCTCAGCCCTGACTAGTGTGACTCAGTTGATTGAGCATCGACCTGTGTTCTGAAAGGTCATTGGTTCACTTCTTGGTCTGGGTGCATACTGGAGGCAATCGATGCTTCTCTCTCTCTCCCTCCTTCTCTCTTCCTCTCTAAAATCAACAAAAACATATTTTTAAAAACTGCAGCCCAATATCAACCAAATTATTAGGGAATTAGCCATACCAGTCTACTTTTCCTTTAGCACATAATCAAGAGTTGACTTTGCTTCTAAAATCTAGGCATGGAAGTAAAGCTTCATTTCCCCCCTAAGACTGCCCTTCCAGAGGGTGGGACTACTACTTGAGAAAGGCCTTTAAACACATACATGAGTCCTCCTTCTTATCCAGATTTCAGTTTTAGGGTGCCACTTCAGTTGGTGAATCTTCAGGGTTTAGTTCTTAGAAGGTGGTGAATGGTGCTGAGGAGATGAGGTGGAAGGAAGAGAAGCAGCATATCCATCAGGCTGGGCTGCCACAAAACTGTGAGACCCAGTTCTATTTCCAGAAGGTGGAGCTTCATATCCCAGAGGAGGGGCTTCATATCCCGGAGGTGGGGCTTCATATCCCGGGGGTGGGGCTTCATATCCCGCTGGTGGGAGTGCGTATCCCGCTGGTGGGGGTGCGTATCCCGGAGGTGGGGCTTCATATCCCGCTGGTGGGGGTGCGTATCCCGCTGGTGGGGGTGCATATCCCGCTGGTGGGGGTGCATATCCCGTTGGTGGAGGTGCGTATCTCGCTGGTGGAGGTGCATATCCCGCTGGTGGGGGTGCATATCCCGCTGGTGGAGGTGCATATCCCGTTGGTGGAGGTGCGTATCTCGCTGGTGGAGGTGCATATCCCGCTGGTGGAGGTGCGTATCTCGCTGGTGGAACTCCATATCCTTGTGGTGGGGGTCCATATATCACAGGTTGGGACCCATGAACAACAACTGGGTAAATTGAGAAGAAAAAAATTAGTTATTTCTTAGAGTGGACAAGGAATAAGTGAGACGAAGGAAGAAGAAAAAAATTATGCTGAAGCAAACACAGGAAGAGAATCAGGCAGAATAATGGTAAAGCCAGATCCTTCAGCCACCACCAATTGAAAACTTTATCATTTCCCTAGGGGAAAGTCCCCGGACCGCAGGCAGAGAGGCCACGTGCGCACGCACGCAGACCTCCCCGCTTCTCGCTGTGAATCCGCCAAGAAGTGAAAACTTTATCATTTCCTGTTGTAGAGGGATTAAAATAAACAGGAAAATAACCCAGTTAATCTCTGCATTAATTATAGCTGTATATAGAGAGATACATGTTTTACTTAACAAAGTTTTCTTTGATTATAAAAAATACATGCTTAATGAGGAATATGTATTTGGAAAATAGAAAAAAGGTGAATTTTTAAAAGTCATCTATAGCCAAAACCGGTTTGGCTCAGTGGATAGAGCGTCAGCCTGTGGACTGAAGGGTCCTGAGTTCGATTCTGGTCAAGGGCATGTACCTAGGTTGCGGCCACATCTCCACTAGGAGGTGTGCAAGAGGCAGCTGATCGATGATTCTCTCTCATCGATGTTTCTAACTCTCTATCCCTCTCCTTTCCTCTCTGAAAAAAAAAAAAAAAATCAATAAAATATATTAAAAAAATAAAAAAGACATCTATAATGTAATCATAACATAAAAACTTAGTATTTTAATGCATTTCTTTGTAGAATATCTATTAATATGTTTATGTAATCATGATTATAACTGTTCAATTTTTTATTTATTTTAAATGTTTTTATTTCAGAGAGAGGAAGAGAGAGGGAGAGATAGACACATCAATGAGAGAGAATCATCTATCGGCTGCCTCCTACACCTCCCCACACTGGGAATCGAGCTCGCAACCCAGGCATGTGCCCTGACTGGAAATCGAACCAGCAACCTTCCAGTGCAAGGGATGACAAACAACTGAGCCACACTGGCCAGGGCTTAATCAGAGACTTACTTTAGATTAAAAGTCTGAAGACACAAATAGATTGAAAGTAAAAGAATGGGGAAAGACAATAGATTATGACACATATGTACAGAGAAATAGTATTCAGCCACAAAAAAATAAAGTGCATGCTATAACTGGGATTAGCCTAAAAACATTATGCTAGATGTGATAAGCCAAACTCAAAAGGTGATGTACTGTATGATTCCTTTTATGTGATATATTCAGAATAACCAAATCCAGAGACAAATAGCAGATTAGAGTATATTAAGAGGCGTTGAGAAGAATTATTATTTAGTGGGGAATTATGGAGTGATGAAAAATTTTAAAACTAGAGAGCTGATGGTTGCACCACATTGTGAATATACTAAATACCAATTGCACATTTAAAAATTGTTGTATGTGCCGAAACCGATTTGGCTCAATGGATAGAGCATCGGCTTGGGGACTGAAGGGTCCCGGGTTCGATTCCGGTCAGGGGCATGTACCGTATTTTTCGGACCATAAGACGCACTTTTTTTCCTCCAAAAGTGGGGGGGAAATGTCCCTGCGTCTTATGGTCCAAATATAGCCTACACATATACTTTAAAAAAAAAGTTTTTTTACTTGCCCGGCTCTGTGTGGTCTCTGTGTGCTTGCCCGGCTCTAAAATGGTTCTAAATGCTGCTGTTTACTTTACAGGGTTGATTACATGTGTTTATGACTGTGATGTTGGGTTTTAATGCACATAAAATATTTTAGGACACTATTTGTTTCAGAATCTTTTTTTCTTCATTTCCCTTCTCTAAAAACTGGTGCGTCTTATGGTCCGGAGCGTCTTATGGTCCGAAAAATACGGTACCTTGGTTGAGGGCATATCCCCAGTGGGGGGTGTGCAAGAGGCAGTTGATCCATGACTCTCTCATCGATGTTTCTAACTATCTCTCTCCCTTCCTCTCTGTACAAAATCAATAAAATATATTAAAAAAATTGTTGTATGTTATGTTCTATGAATTTCAACTCAATAAAAAAACTTATAAAACTGTAGCAACATTTTAGATTTTTGGGCACAGTATTACAGTTTAATAACCTTTTACAACTAGGTAACTATTAGGGGCACAAATAAATATCCTTCAGTTGTATACAAGACTAAATGCCAATGATATATATTTCATGCTCCAAGACCCAAGAAAGGGCCCACATTTTGGGGTCTGTTGACAACCCATTAGGAGACCCTTTGTGGTCTACCGATAGGTGGTGGACAACATTTGAGAATCATTGACCACTTCCCAGTAACATGACAGCAGCTGTGGCCAGGCACAACTGTTAAAGGGCACAGGACATGAAGCCCAGGGCTGGAATCCTTAGTGAGCTGAAGGGCATGGTGCAAGCTTGATGGCTGTGCTTGTGTGAAATGGGAAGAAGGAAGTGAACAGGAGCATATGTTTTTGCATAGGCTGCAAAAACAGAAAGTGAATGTTTCCAATATTGGGAGTTGCCTAAGTATGTTTTGTATCTGTATATTATTAATTAAAAATAAGCCTGAAACTTACTGACTTGCCACTGGGTTTTGATCTGGAAATGAAGTCACATACTCAACCATTTTCCAACCTCCAAACCTCCGACGCTTCTTCTGCCAGCAGGGTTGGAGGCAAGCTAGCAGTGAGTAGATCTTTGAACCCCGGCATACTTTTCCACCTCCCAGGAAGAACCTTATGCCATACCTTACCTGGATTAGACCTTTGTTGGTGGCACGTCATGCTCCCCTGCTCACTAACTATCAACAGTCCTGGAACACCAAACCAGCAAGTTATACTTTGAAGTGGAGCTCCCTGGGCAGCTGAAAAAACAAATTTGGCAACATTCTTTTTTAAGTCAAATGTATAGCAACTATCAACCAGATAATTAACTATTAACTATCACCTTACTTGAGTGTTCAACAATGTTTCCAGGATACAAGATAAAGAATATACATTGCCCTAGTCCTGAACTCTATGCTTCTTGAGGACAGAGGTTGTGACTTATTTGCCTGTGTTTATTTAGGGTCTAGCATAAAGGCACCTATCATGATAGGCATTCAGAAAAATTTCCAAGTGAGAAATTCTATCAAGTTGGTAAGATATATCCATTACAGACCAATTTAATGGCTGTGTGGTACAGGGGAAAGCACTTCTGTTTTTCTCCCTCTCTTTTGAAGGCACTTGTGATGGCATCTGAGGCCCACTAGATCAAGCATGTCAAACTCAAAGGCCAACACGGGCCAAATAAATGACACATGCGTCCCATGGGCCAAGAGTTAAACATGCTTGCACTAGATAATCGAGGGTAATCTCCTCATCTCAAGACCCTTAAATTAATAACATCCAAAAAGACTTCTTTTTACAAATAAGGTGTTATTCAAAAACAAACAAACAAACAAAAACAAAAAATAAATAAATAAGGTGTCATTCACAGGTTCTGAGAATTAGGATAAGGATATATCTTTGGGAGTCATTATCAGCCTACCACACTGATTTCTGATCATATGACCAGAAGTAATGTACAATAGTTCCAGGCCTGGCCCATGAAAACTTCCCAGGTAAGATCTCCTCTCTTCCCCTTTCTGACAGCTATCCAACAGGTCATGTGTTATGTGTTAAAGATGGCAGATACTCTATTACCCTGGGTTCATGAAGGGCTATATGAAACAGATTCCCCTTTTAGCCCTGATAATTGGCCTTTATATAAGCATTAGTATCTACTATTGTCTTAGTAAGACCATTGATAATCTGGGGTTTATCTGATTAAATAGCTGGCATTAAGTAATTCACTATAAATCTAAAGTTGTCTTCCTTACCCCTGGTCATCTCCTTTTCAATAACTATGAGTAGCCCTTTCTGGAAGAAGTAATTATTTTATTCACTTATATATTTGCTTATTTTTTATATGATTCTCACTAGACTAAGTTTAACAAAGGCAGGGACCATGTATGTCTTAGTCACTGTTGTGTTCCCAATTGTCTCACCTAGTGTTTGACACACAGTAAGTATTCCATATACATTTGCTATAAATATAACTCAAAGACTCCTGACAAATCCACTCTGCAGAGAGGAAGGGAATCATTCTTGGTCAATAAATCAGATCATGAAGCACAATGAATAGTTAATTCCAAAGGCCTCAAGGAAGCCCATCTCACAAGCACTGACCCTTGCCAGGGTAGCAGAGGTAGGTTTCCACACCTAAGCCATGATACCATGAGACCCAGAGCAGTTCAGACACTGGACCAAGTTCATATAAGTTGACTAAATCCTTCCAAGTTGCTGTGCAACTGCCTACCTTTGCAGATCTCTTAAAAAAAATGTTTTGGTTGATTTCAGAGACAGGAAAGGAGAAGGGAGATGGAGACAGAAATATCAATGATGAGAGAGAATCATTGATTGGCTGCCTCCTGCTTGCCCCTTACTGAGGTTCAAACCCAAAACCAAGGCATGTGTCCTGACTGGGAACAAACTGTAATCTGATTCATGCATGGGTCAATGCTCAACCACTGAGCCATACCAGCTGGGCAAGGAGATCTTTTTTTTTTTTTAAATATATTTTATTGATTTTTGTACAGAGAGGAAGGGAGAGAGATAGAGAGTCAGAAACATCGATGAGAGAGAGTCATTGATCAGCTGCCTCTCGCACACCCCCTACTGGGGATATGCCTGCAACCAAGGCACATGCCCTTGACCGGAATCGAACCCGGGACCCTTCAGTCCCCAAGCCGACGCTCTATCCATTGAGCCAAACCGATCTTGGCTGGGCAAGGAGATCTTAATGTGAGCACAAAGAGGATCCTCAAAAGTTGCCTCAACCTTAGCCCATAATCCTAAAAATAACTCCCCCTTAGTACTATGAAGCTAAAACTAAGAAGAAATTCAAGATCCAGTTTGCAATTGCCCTGAGTTCCCCAGACATCTACAGCAAAGAGAAATTGGAATTCCAAGGGTCCCCTGACCCTGGGTTCCCCATAGTTGTACTCCCTTTACCTGCCAGGACACCCTGTTATCCATTGTCAGGCATCCAGATCTCTCTTCACTAAAATCTCCCTTGCTAAGACCAGTAACCTCAAATTTCCACACACTAAGCACATTTTTCAGTTTTCATTTTACCAAGCATGTCTACAATAGCTGCCACATTTGACCACTCTATTGCTTGAGACTTTCTCCTTTCTTGACTTCCGGGATAATAAACTCACTTGATTCTCCTCCTACCTCCCTGTCATTCTTCAATCTTCATTATAGGTCACTCTCCTCCTTGCCCATTCCTTAAATGTTGAGGACTCTTGGAATACCATCCTTAATTCATTGAATGAGCCCATCAACCAGATAGCTCCCGAGATGTCCAGTGTGCTAAAGATTTCCAAATCAGTCTCTAGATACAGTTAATCTCTGGAGCTCTGAGCTGCACATCCACTGGCCTCTAGCACTCCCATGTATCTCACACTTGTATTAAGGAATTAAGAGTATAGGCTCAAAAGTATACAAAGTCCCTTATACAGTACTCTTACCAAAATGTAATCTGAATATAATCATAAAGAACAGACAAACCCAAATTAAGATACATTCTACAAAACATTAAGCCTGTATTTGTTTTATAATTTCAGTGTCATGAAAGACAAAAAAAAAGGCTGAGTCCAGATTAAAGGAGAACAAAGAATAGGACAATTAAATTCAATGTGTAATTCAGGATTAAATCCTGCATTGCAGGAGAAAAAAAAAAGAGCTAATAGAATTAGGAACAGTAATGGAACAATCATTTGGATTTGAATATAAACTATATTAATAATACTGCTTCAATGTTAAATTTTCTGAATTTAATAAGTACAATGACTAGATAAGAGAATGGCCTTGTTCTTAAGAGATATACATTAGAATACTTAGGCATGAAGGAAATGATCTTTGTAACTTCTAAATATTTCAACAAAAACAAGAAGGGGGAAAAAACAAGAGAGGGGAAAAAAAAGATAAAGCAAATGTGGGAAAATGTTAATAATGGATAAATCTAGATGAAGGGTCCATAGGAGTTCATTGTAATATTTGTGTAACTTTTCAATCAATATAATTTTCCCCCAAAATAAAATGTTTAATAAGAGAGAAAGAGTAGGTTTAAAGTATAAAGTCCAGCTCCATCACTTACTAATTGTATAGTCTTCGGAAATTATGTAACCATCACTGACTCAGTTTCCCCAGCTATAAGTCAGGGATAATTATTAGTGCCTACATCTTAAGGTTTTTGTGAGGATTAAATAAATTGATACATGTAAAGGACTTGGAACACTCCAGTATATAGTAAGCATTGAAAAAATGCTAGTTAGTACTATTAGGTCTAAAATTAAACTCATTTCCTCTCACCCTGGCCAGTGTGGCTCAGTTGATAGGGTGTCAGCCCCTGCACAGGAAGGCTGCTAGTTCGATTCCCAGTCAAGGCTCATGGATCTCCAGCAAAAGACATGCAGGGGGCAGTCAAATGATGTTCCCCTCTCGATGTTTCACTTTCTCTCTCCTCTCCCCCCACTCTCTAAAAATCAGTAAAAATAATTTTTTAAAATATATTTTATTGATTTTTTCACAGAGAGGAAGAGAGAGGGATAAAGAGTTAGAAACATCGATGAGAGAGAATCATCGATCAGCTGCCTCTTGCACACCCCCTACTGGGGATGTGCCCGCAACCAAGGTACATGCCCTTGATTGGAATCGAACCCGGGACCTTTCAGTCCACAGGCCGACGCTCTATCCACTGAGCCAAACCGGTCCCGGCGGTAAAAATAATTTTTAAAAACCTAATTTCCTCTCCAACTTAGACTGTCTCTTATATCCTTTTTGTTTTGTTAATCCTCACCAAAGGATATTTTTTCCTTCGCTTTGGGAAGAATGAAGAAGGGAGAGGGAAAAGGGGAGGGAGAGAAAGAAACATATTGATGTGAGAGACACACCAACCATTTGCCTGCTGGATGTGCCCTGGTCGGGGTGGAGAGTGAACCTGCCACCCAGGTATATGCCCTCGAATCAACCCCACGACCCTTTGGTGCATGAGGTTCTAACCACTGAGAAGCACCAGCCAGAGTTCTTATATTCTTGACCATGGTTTATAGAATCATAATCCAGTCTTCAAGCTAGAAACTTCACTCCATCCTTCTGTGTGTCCTAACTCTTTATCCATGTCTCTATTACAGCACATGCTATGAGATAACATAATTGCATGCCTGTCTCTACTAGTTTATGTTAGTCTCAACTAGATTGAAGTTGGGGATGGAAGGCAAGGGAGAAAGGAAAGAGCACTCCAGAGAGAGAGGAAATATCATGAAGGTTCAGAGATGTGAGAACCAGGCACAAAGAAGTCCAGTTGGATTGGAATGCAAAAGGCGAGAGAGTGAAGAGCATGGAGTGAGGTTAGACTGAATAAAAATATATCATACAAATTATTTGTATTCAAAATGTGAGAGAGGTCTCTGGTACCATCCATTAGAGCAGTGCTACATCTTCCTTCCTCTCATCAAAGATAGGGACTAAGCCTAAGAGAAACAAAGGCAAAGCCAGAGAAAAGAGACGACAAAAAGGCATGTCAGGGAAGAAGAGCTAAGGCAACCAGGCTCCCTGATGTAAAGAGACTAGGGAGTGATATATGAGAGCAGCAATTAGATGGATAAAAGATTATGAGGAACAGTTAGTCACTCAGGTATCTGACTGGTAAGCTCCCACTAGATTTCAAACTCCTTCTGAGTAGGGAGGGACTGAATCATGTTTCCCAACAGGTAGTAGTATTGTACTCAGCACATAGTATGTGTGTGAGTACAATACTACTTAGGAAATGCTTGCTGTATACATGCATGTGCAATTACCACGTGCCTACTCACAGAGACCAGAAAATCCTAACTGGGTAACAGTCCTGCTTTCACTCCACGAGCCTCAAAAACCCAAAGTGCTTAATAGTTTTATCATTATCGCTCACCAGCAGAGGCAGCTTTCATCATCAACTGGAAAAATTTGATGGCACCTCCTTTTCTGAAGGATAACTTAAAAGTAGCCTGTCCTTCCCAGCCACCTGGGGGAAGAAACGGCACACACTCACTACGAGGCAGGCTGGCACAGCTGGTAACTTGACTAATGCAAACACTGACAGAAGCATTACCCAAAGAAGCAGGCTTTCTTTTATTTGAATTCTAATATGAGCTAAGTCTGAATCTTAAACCTTCTGGAAGCTTTTAAGAAAACAAACAAACAAACAAACAAACAAAAACACTTCTGACTGTAAACACGTACCATCTGGAGCCGCCTGAACAGTTCCTTGAATGTAGATGGGGGCAAAGAGTGGCTGTTCGAGGGAACAGTTACTCATCAGATCAAATGGCATCATAAAAGAAAGCATGGGATCACTGATGGAATGTGACGTCATGAAGATCACCTAAGAAAGGAAAGTCACTTTGAAAAAGGAATGCAATTTGTCCATAGTTTGAGACAAAAATGTCTATGGTTAAGGTTGCTTTGGCATTCTGGCCTAATTGAAAAGCATCATCCTTTTCTTCTATCATCCTTCAACATGGAAAATCTCAAAGTGTAAATGTTTTAAAACACTTTGAGACTCAATAGTTACCCTCTCTCCATTTTAAAGAAAACAAATATAGAGTTAATAAAAAATAGGAGCAGAAAGAGAAATTACCCGGTATGAAGTGAGAAGCAGCGTTCCCCTCTTTGTGCCATGAAAGAGACTGGATCCTGATGGATGCTCTGGGAAGGAGAGGTCCACATCATTACACTGATTCAAGATACTGCAGAACAGAAAGGGCAGACAGCACACAATTTACAAGTTATATGAAGTGACAAACATAAAACTCCTGGCACAGTTCCTAGCCTGGACACTCAATAAATGTTAGCTGCTGCTCCTACTACTATCTTTATTGACATAAAAAGAATTTTAAATTATTTTATTCCCTAAAAATTCACACTTATTCTTCTCTGTCTTTATCTCTGGATTACATTCTCTAAATTTTCCCATTATATTTATTGAAAACCAATCAGGAATCTTATATCTTTTTTTTAATTGATTTTAAGAGAGAGAGAGAAAAATATCAATGTAAGAGCCAAACCTCCATGGGCTACCTCCTGCATGCCCCCTACTGAAGATCGAACATGTAACCTGGTTATATGCCCTGACCAGGACTCAAACCAGCAACTTTTCAGTGCACAGGACAATGCACAACCAACTGAGCCACACCAGCCAGGGCTGGATTATTTTTCTTGTAAAACTACTTATATTCTTTCTGTTAATTCTTGAATTCTTATACTTCTTGCGAAGAACTATCAAACACTGTGCTGAAGGAAATGTTAAAGAAGGTGAGGCATGCAGAATGCTCCAGAATCCTCACATGTTGCTCCCTCTGCCTTTCATGTTCTCCCCTCACTCTTAACCTGAAAAACTTGGGTTCATCCATAGAATCCTATTGGTTTTTCTGAGTAATTATTATATGTGTTGATTAGTTCAATGTCTTCCCTAATGATCACTAAGGGCAATGTCTGCCTTCTTTGCCACTGCAGTCTTAGCAAGTGGTGAGTGCTACTAAATATTAACTGAAAGCATGAACAACTGAATACATGAATCCAGGTAATAACACAAGCAACATATGACACACATCACATATATGGCACAAAAATGTCACGGCAACTGAGTGAAAGGAGAGGTTAGTTTTGGTTGAAGTAATTAGGAACGACTATAGAAAGATTGAAATATGAGCTGATTCTTAAGGAGTGAATAGTGTTCCAAGATCTTCTTTTGGTTTAATTCCCACCCGAGGATATTTTTCCATTGATTTTTAGAGAGTGGAAGGGAGGGGGAGAGACATACATTACTGTGAGAAACATGGATTAGTTGCTTCCCGCACATGCGAAAGAAAAGAAAGAAACACCAATTTCTTGTTCCACTTATTTATGTGTGCACTGGTTGATTCTTGTATGCGTTCTGACCAGGGATCGAACCCATAACCTTAGCGTGTGGGGACAATGCTCTTACCAGCTGAGCTACCTGGCATTCCAAGGGGCTCAGGCGTCCTGAGCACAGCACTTGGGTTCAGGCCGCACTGCCAGGGAAAAAGAGGGCCATCCCAGCAGAGAGGGGCATGGTTAAGGGGATCAGATGGGCAGACAAGTTTCTGAGAAACTGGGGGGCCGGGGAATTGCGTATGAGGCGGAGAGGGGATAAACCCACTCTCTCCAGACAGCCTGGGAAGCGGCCAAAGGAGGGGGAGCAGCAACACGGCAGGCACCGAGCAAAGCACCCCGTTGCTTGCGTTATTACCTGGATTCAAGTATTCAGTTGTTCATTCTTTCATTAATATTTAGGAGCACTCGCCACTTGCTAAGACTGCAGAGGCAAAGAAGGCAGACATGTCCTCAGTGACCATTAGGAAAGACACTGGATTAATCAACTTAAGGCAGGGCCATCCTTCCCAGTTGTCGCTTCTTTTGGTCCCAGCCTCTTCCATAAAGGGCAGGCCTCTCCCTGGCGGGGCCAGAAAGTAAGGAAGGGGGCTTTGGGAAGTTCTGAAGACAACTGAGCCCCCCAACCCCCAAGAGTTTGGAGTCTTTCTAGAATGTTCCACACAATGCCTCTTCCGCCTCCGGAAGTCCAGGGCCCAGTTCCCCAGAGTGGGGGTAGGGAGGGCGGCGGGCACCCCACAAAGGTCGCTACCTCACGCCCAGCAGCAGCTGCACGCCCTTCGCAGGGGCCATGCGACTCCCCGTCACCCCAGGGCGCCCTCACCTTTCTTCCGAGGAGCTCCCGCCCCGCCCTCAGGCGCCGAGAGGCGCGCTACCGCCCCTCACGGGTGCGAGGCCACACGCTTCCGCCTGCGCTGCCTCCTGGTCCCCGGAACAAGCGTGAGAACACGCATGCGAACGAACGTCGGGGGCGGAGCTAAGCGTGGTTGGTCGGAAAAGGCGCGAAAGTCCCTGATTCGCTGAGAGCTCGCAAGCCGCCTGCTCCGCCCAGCCTGTGCCCTCCCTCCTCCCACAGCGCCCGGCTTCCGTCAGGCACCTCTCGCCGTAAGGGATGTAGGCCTTGCGGCGGTTTTCCGTGTGGCTCTGGTTCACCGCCATCTTGCTCGGGCCCCTCCGGCCGCCCCGCAGATGGGAAGGGGCGGGGCCTGCACCAAGCCGAGGGGCCGGGCTGTAAACCGGAGGTGGCGATTATGGCGCAAAGACCAGGGGTGAGCGGGGCGGCTGGCCTAGTGAGCCGCAGTGATGGAATCAGAGGCGAGATGCCCGGCCTCACCAGGAAGGAGGCGGGCCCAGGGAGTTGACTCCGCCCCCAGGGCACGGAGGGCTGAGTGGCCTTCGCGACCTTCACCTGCCTGCTCTGCCACTGCATCATCAGCACGAACTTGAACCCATCCTGTCAGGAAATCAAAGTTAAAAGCAGGCGCTTCCTCAGTCCTCCCTTGCCCGGGTCAGGAAGCTGCTGCCCTTTGGAGAAAGGATCCAGAATGGTATCTCGCTTCGAAGGTGAAAACCTTTTCCCACCAGAGAAAGCCTGGAATCAGAGCCGGTTTCTTAGGATGTGGCCTACAGAACGGGGTGTGTGAGCTGGTCTGGAAGTCGAAGGGGAGTCCGCGCTGCTCCAAGGTGGAGAGAGCCTGCGTCGTCTATCGTACCTGCCCTGCCACCCCCAGAGGGCGATTGTGAAGACCCCTCGAGATACGTCACACGGAATTGCTTTGAAGATTAAGATGCTGATTTCCTTTAAACATCACAAATAGCACCAGAGGGCTTCCAAGAGAAAGGACATGAACATCCAGATTACTGTATTTCATCAAATTTAATATCCTGTCAGTTATAAGATGCACCATATTTAAATGTATTCCACACCAAGAAAAAGAGTTGCCAAGTAAACTGACATGTCATCAGATGTAAGTTGTATTCTGATTTCAGAAATAAATATATTTTTAAGTGCAAGACCATGAGAATAAATAAATACAATAGGAATGGTGTGAAGCAGTGGGACGATCATTGAGATCTAGTCTCCTTGCATTGGTACTTAAGCATGCAACTTCAGACAAGCTAATTATGCTCTCTGGACTTTGGACTTGAAAACTCCTATGTTTCTTCTAGTAATATCTTAAGTTGGAAAAACTGCTCTCTCACTCACAGCTTCACACTTCTCCCCATCCAGGCATAGCGCCGCACTCCAGTTCTGGCCCTCATTTGATCTGAGTGACTCCCAAGAGTCTCCTGACTTGTCTTCCTGCAGTCTTGACCCTTCACTGTTCGTCTATACCTTGCACCCACCTTACAGAATATTGACATCCCAAACACAATGGCATGTATGGACATATCATGTCCAAATTTAGAGAAATAATATACAGGTAAGAGCTGTGCTATTTACTGGTTACAAAGGAGAGGATAAACCTCAGAGAGAGGCGGGATGGGTTTAAGTTAAAAAAAGAGACAAGCTAGTGATTTAAATCTAATTTTTTAAAATTCTTAACACTTAAAAGTACTCATTGTAGCCAAGACCGATTTGGCTCAATGGATAGAGCGTTGGCTTGGGGACTGAAAGGTCCCAGGTTCGATTCTGGTCAAGGTCATGTACCTTGGTTGCGGGCACATCCCCAGTAGAGGGTGTGCAAGAGGCAGCTGATCGATGTCTATCTCTCATCAATGTTTCTACCTATCTCTCTCCCTTCCTCTCTGTACAAAATCAATAAAATATATTTTTTAAAAAATAAAAAATAAAAGTACTCATTGTAAAGTAGGCAAGTCTCTAGGCAAGGTAGGTTCACTCCTTTGACAGACTTGGTTTTTATGCCTTTAGGAAAAAGGAGGGGAAAAGCTAGAAAAATTAGCTGAATGAAACATTGTTTTCATGGAAGGAAGCAGGCTATGCAATGCATCCCTCAAGATCAAGTGTGAGTTTCATCACTCATTTTGGGTACAAATCCCAGGGATAATGACTGGGGTCCAACTAAAGATGAACTAACCTCACAAAATGATCTCTATCTTTAATTTCTGTGGCTTCTTACTAAGACAGTCCCTGCCACACCCTCCACACATGGCTGAGATGATGTCATGTCTGTTTGGCCAAGGAGTGAGAAGTACAAATAAGACACAGGCCAGGCAGTTATTGTTCAAACAGCAATGTTTAGTTGTACAATACATAAAGTCTAGCAACATTTACACAACCAGTTTGAGTGTCATTGGCTTGTTTTCAATTGGGAAATGTAACCATAATGTCACCAAAAGGTTGGCTGGGACTAGTAACATTTAAGAAATGGGTCCTTCTTGCATCTCCTAGGCTTGGGCCTCTTGCTCCATCAGAAGTTGGTTGAGGATGAATGGCCCACAAGTCACCAGCCTTTGAGCAAGTTGCGTCCAGGTGGAGATGGGGAGGGGTGGGCAGGGAGAGATTCCATAAAGATACAGTGTGTGGGGCAGTGGCAGCTGACATTCGCAAACATTCATGCATCTGATAAGGGCCTTTGCCCTCCATTGGGTATTTTCCACTAGCCTACAGTGACCAACTGTGGCCAGACTGACTCATTACTCACATTAACTGGGGGGGGCAGGAATAATCAATGTGGGTGGGAAGAGATCCTTCTTATTGCTAAGTAGACAGATGGGTGCTTTTTTTCTTCCTAGAGTTCACATCTTCTGGGGATCTGGAGTTTTTTGTCTGGGTTTAGTTAGTTTTTTAAGGTTGAGGATAAGGGAGTCAACCCAGAAATGTCTCTTCGGAAAAGCACTCTTCCTAAGTGGCTGCATTATGGGGCGGGGAGGGTGTGTGACCACACGCTGGGCCAGCCACAAGTGGTGATTTTTTAAAGGAGAGATCCTAGCCCTTACTCCCCCACATCTGTAGTGACCCATCCTCAGAAATAAGTTTTAAGCAATGAAGGAGACCCTCTTGTCCCACATCAGGGCGCACACAGCTGACATCAATGACTCTGACAAGCAGAAAAATGGCTTTCTTGACCCCTTAAGGAAGCCAAGAGTAGCTCATGCAGACGGACAGGGAGCAATGCCATGTCCCTTGGAGATGGTAGCAAGCAGCTGGCATGGGTTTGCAAGGGCAGAAGGAGCTCTTGATGAGTTCTTTCGCCCTACAGATGGGCTGGGACCAGCTGACACGGATGATGGAGGAGGGCAGTGCTGGCGAGAGCTCCATTCCACTGGGAGGAGAGGGGTGTTTGGATAAATGGAGAAGGCGACTGTCCTAAAGCAGCTGGCCCCTCCCACCTGCTGAGGGCCAGAGAGAGAGAGAGAGAAGGGCTGTGGAGGTGGCTGGACAAACACACCCTTCAAAGGTCATGGCCCTGCAGCCATGACAGCTGAGAGGAATGGAGGGAGAAGCAGTGCTTGAAATGGCCTTCATTCAGCAGTGGGACAGGGGGTGGCTGGCACGGGTGGAAGGACAGAGCCCAGGCCTTCTCCCTGCGGGGGGTTGAGAACGGTTGAGGGTGTGGACACCAGACATATAAAACAGCTTCTCCAGGGAGGCCGAGATCGCGGTTAGGGGGCACCACACCACATTTCCTAGTCAGCCTCTCCCATGCCCACCCCCACCCTTAGATATTCCCTGATAGGCCTAGGGGTCTAGTCCCACGTTTCCGCACAGGACTGCTCACTATATAGCCCGGGATCCCTCTCTAGTTGAAGTGCAGCAACCTCTGGGCTCTACCCCTATTGCTGCTTTATCCTGACAGGTGCCTCCACTGGGGTAACTTCGTAAGGGAGGATGTGGGTTGAATTGTAAAGAGCCTCCAGGAAAGATTGAGGCCACAGGTTCTGGGTCATTGGCGATCGATCACCCACCTCTTTCCCCTGGTGCACTGACTCTTGGTCTTTGTGTTTTCCTAGCACCTGAATGAAAAGGGACTGTAAATGCTGGGGTTCGCAGTGGCCCTGCAGAACACTAGGGGGGACCAGGACATGGACCAGGAGGTTGTGTAGGTCGCTGTGAACCATTCCTTGGCGATTTCCCTTGCCTAAAGCTATATTGTTTCCCCAGCCCCACATTTTAGCTGCCTCACTGACTAGAGGAGGAGTCGCTTGTTTGTAAAACAAATGGGGTGTATATGCATTAATAAATACAGGGCCGAAGGGAGAGGCAAGAAAAGGCAAAATGTCTGATTGTGGGTGTCACTGGGAATGTCTACAGGTGTCAGGAGCGGGAATAGGGGGAAGCAGCAGAGAAAGACAGACAAGCCAAATGCAATTAGCTTCAGCACAAAAGTGAGAACAGAGGAGGGAAAAGGGAGGTCAAGTTCATATGGGAAGAAGGAAGCAACAGAGAAGCCAGCTTTAAGGAGGAAGATTCCTAATGGAGAGAAAAAGGTGTAATTTAAAATTTGTCTCGGCTGGCTGGTGTGGCCCAGCTGGTAGAGCATCATCCCACGCACCAGGAGGTCACGGTTGGATTCCCGGTCAGGGGACACGCTCAGGTTGCAGGCTGGATCCCCAGTAGAGGGTGTGCAGGAGGCAGCTAATCAATGTTTCTCTCTCATTGGTGTTTCTCCCTCTCCCTCTCCCTCCCTCTCTCTGAAATCAATCAAATAAAATTTGTCTCTGAAGCCAAATTATCAAGAAAGACAAACATTGTACTAGTATTTTGTTCTTGATACTTCTTTAAACTCAGTTCTTCTGGGACTTAATGCCTGAAAACAGTGTCTCACTTGACCAGCTGCGCGCTTCTTTACCCAGACACTGGGAAGCGCAGCCCTCCCTGTGCCTCGCCCTTTGCCCGTGCTGCCCACAAGCTCAGCACCAAGCTTGACGCTCGCCTGCACAAACGCGTTCCCATTCCTCTCTATGGATCTCACTCTCGTAGTCCCAGTTTGTTCTGTCCTGTGCTTCCAGCTGCGATTTTATTTTAAGGTGGCCTAAGTCATTTTTGGAAGTAGACTGGGCATAAAGTCTAAATATAGAAATGTAACCGAAGTGCAGTAGTCCACAAGGAAATTAAAGAAGTGAGGGGGGAGCAGGGTGAAGAAATGAGGGAAAGGGGGAGAAAGGGAGAACATGGGAGCTGAGGCGAGGATGACGCGTGGAAAACAGCAGGCTGTGAGGACAGGCAGTGGCTCTTGGACGGTGAATGCAACACAGACCGAAGGGTGGCGCTCTCGTCTCCACTTCTAGGCACTAATTCTCGTGGGTGCCCAGCTCGGCCTACTTCTCTGTTGTCCCCTGACCTTCCTTCTTCCTAGGAAGTCCTGGCCTTACACAGACCACCTGGCTTCCAGGCAGGGGGAATTCCGGACGCCTCGCCCCTCCCAGGCCTCGCTCTGCTGCCTGTCCTCTCGGAGACTCTCCGCAGACCCAGTGTGCGGGCAGGTTCAGAGATAAGAAAGTTACCTGTGGCTCACCTGCACCCTCATTTTTAAGTGAAACCTCCCCAGACCTCTTGAGTGAGGCACACGGCTTGGTTCTGGGACACAAGGAAAGGAGACAGATAATGGACAGCCATGGAGAAACCAAACTTACAAGGGACTTTCCAGGGAGGGCAGTGAAAATACCTCACCCTGAACAGGCACACACACACTCCCCCCTCCCCTCACACACACACACACACACACACACTCATGCGCACACATGCTGTAGACAAAATGCTCCACGAATACCAGACAGGCCTGTGGGACAGAGTAGAAAGGAAGAAGGTGGTTGGTGGTGGTACTGGGATGTGTGTGTGGAGAAGTGGGGATGTGTGATGATGTAGAGAAAGGGTCATCATGGGTTACTGTCGTGGCTGCCCTCTGTGTCCACGCTCACCGGAGGGAGGCCTCCATTGTCATTGAGCCGCTTGGCCCTGTAGGTCTCATAGTGGATGTTATGCGTCACTTCCTTGAGGTCCTGGAGGTGAGTCCTGAGGGACACAGGTGAGGAGAGAGAAGGATATGATTAGGGGTGGGAGGAGGAAGAGGTGACCCCATCCAGGGTTCACACCTCCCTTCCATGGCCTGGGCCCACTGGGACTGACTGGGAGAGCCAGCGGCCAGCGCCGCCTCTTCCGCCCCTTCTGCCCCTTGTGCTTCAGGAGGGGACCTGGAACCGGGGCAGACGGCGCGTCAGAGAGACCGGGAGCCTGAGGCCCTGGGTCTGAACAGGTGGCCTCCTGACCCCAAATCATGAAACCTGCCATCGAGGACAGGGGGTCATCTTACCTGATGACAAAATCTCGAAGCAGGGCAAACTCACAGTGGTGGAGGTTTTCCACTGTGAACAGAACAAAATGAAACAAAGCAAAACAGGTGGTCATTTTCCTGACGCAGCAACCCAGCTGGTGCGCTTCTGTTCAGGACGTGGACGCAGTTAGGAGAGCGACACCGACAGTGTCTAGCCGTCAGAGGCCGGCCTATCTTGGCACTTCAGTGCACTCAATTCCATTCATGGAACAAACATTTATTAAGCAGCTACAAGGGCCCAATACTGCTCTGGACTCTGTGACTATTTCATGTCCAATACTGGCAGGGACTATGACATGCCCTACTTTATAGAAAAGGAAGCAAATACCAGGGAGTCTAAGAAAGCTGCCCAAGCTCTAAAACACAGTTCCTATCCTAAGGAGGTTATAATCAGACTGGAAGACAGTGACATATAGAAAATAACAATTGAGCCATCTTTAAAAAGGTCATGCGCTACATGATAAACCCAATTCAATATAAATTGAGTGCCTGCTATTTGCAAATCACTTGCCAGCAATTGTGGGAGCAGAAGAGGATTAAGACATGTACCCTGCCCTGGCTGGTGTGGCTCAGTTACTTGGAGCATCGCCTATGCACTAGATGCAGTGGTTCTCAACCTTTCTACTGCCGCAACCCTTTAATACAGTTCCTCATGTTATGGTGACCCCCCAACCATAAAATTATTTTCGTTGCTACTTCATATCTATAATTTTGCTACTGTTGCGACCCACAGGTTGAGAACCGCTAGCAGAGTCACCTAAGACCATCAGAATCACAGACATTTACATTACAATTCATAATTGTAGCAAAATTACAGTTATGAAGTAGCAAAGAAAATAATTTTATGGTTGGGGGTCACCACAACATGAGGAACTGTATTAGAGGGCTGTGGCTTCAGAAGGTTGAGAACCATTGCCTTAGGATTATCATATTGAATGAGATCACTGAAGCAATTCGTTGAAAACTTTCAGAATCATTACGACCTTCTCAAGGTCGCATCCACTCCCAATAAAACGAAAATGGCAACATCTGCCACAACCCTTCAGCGATTTGTCAGGTCACATCAGCTTTCAAGCGAAAGCCTTTCTCTGGCGTTTCTGGTCCTTATTCATCTCCCCACGGTCTGAGGGCCTTTGACATGTGAGTCGGTGCCGCCCAGACATGTGCTAAATCAGTCTTATTGCTTCCTGTCTTAAGAGTCTCATCTCTCAATAGACCGTAAGCTCTTACCGCGGGGTCTGCCTGGCACTCTTTCTATCCTACATCCTAGCACAGTGCCATGACCTAGACATGCATCCTATATAATAAAAGGCTAATATGCAAATTGACTGAACAGCAAAACGACTGAGCGCTATGGCATGCACTGACCACCAGGGGGCAGATACTCAATGCAGGAGCTGTCCCCTGGTGGTCAGTGCACTCCCACAGGGGGAGGGCCCCTCAGCCAGAAGCCGGGCTCATGGCTGGCGAGCGCAGTGGCATGGCAGAGTCTTTCCCACCTTCGCCGCAGCGCTAAGCCGTCAGTTGAACATCCCCTGAGGGCTCTCAGACTACAAGAGGGTGCGTGCTAGGCTGAGGGACCCCTGACCTGAGTGCATGAATTTTATAAATAAGCATAACTGGCCAGCAGCCAGTTCTTCCAAAAGGCACGTTGCATTACCTTCGATGATCCCCCACGGCGTTTTCCTGCCGAGGACCCGCTTGCCATTCACTTGGTATTCCTTGTCACTTCCCACCACGGCAAAGGGCATGCTCTCCTGCTGACAAACCAGACAACGCCACGTCGTCCTCTGCCATCAGGGCCTCCGAGGACAGGAGGGCATCCGGCCCCCAACCTTAAACTGCACACTTCTGAGGCTCATTCAGTGACCCCACTGAAGGCAAGGGCAAGGCTCCTGTCATTTCACAAGAGCACTGGAGCCCAGCCAGTGTGGCTCAGTGGTTGAGCATCAACTTAGGAACCAGGAGGTCAGGGTTAGATTCCTGGGCAGGGAACGTGCCTGGGTTGCGGGCTCCATCCCCAATAGGGGATTCTCCCTCATCATTGATGTTTCTATTTCCCATCCCCCTTCCTCTATGAAATCAATCTTTTTTTTTTTTTTTTAAGAGCACTAGGCTGGGAGTCCCAAGTCCTGGATCCAACTCTGACTGTACCTAGCCTTGCTGGTCAGCCTCAGTAAGTTGCTTTCCTTCAACAGGATAACGCTTGGGACTTTTCAGAGAGCTGTCCGCGTTTGGTTTGATCTGGAACAATTCTGTGAGCTAGCTAGGATGGACAGCCACCAAGCAGACATGCTTTTACACGGTCTCCCATGAAACCTACGGGCAGAGGCCCACTCCCACGTCAGCTGGGAGGCCACTTTCTGGTGTGGAGGCCCCTGTGCTCTAACACGTGGGTTGCATGATCACTAAGATGCAGCTGTTTATTCCACATGCATATGCCTGATGTGTGCTCGTTGTCATGATTGGATAAATTAATTATTCTGGAAGCTGAGGGTATATGTGTGTAGAGAGCTATTTCTCTGAAAATTAAGTTGAATGTTTCAGAAAAATTAGGTAAAGCAGAGTTGCTTCTGCATAGTGAGTAAACTTAGTCTCCAAGAAGAGGAGAATGTTTACTTAGTAATTTAGTAAAATAACTATTTAAAAACATTATTTGTGCCAAAACCGGTTTGGCTCAGTGGATAGAATGTCGGTCAAGTTCAATTCCGGTCAAGGGCATGTACCTTAGTTGCAGGCACATCCCTAGTGAGGGGTGTGCAGGAGGCAGCTGATGTTTCTCACTGATGTTTCTAACTCTCTATTCCTCTCCCTTCCTCTCTGTAGAAAATCAATAAAATGTATTTTTTTAAATTAAAAACATGATTTGTGTACATCTTTTAAATGATTTCATCAATTAACTGATCAGCTGCCTGTCTCCTCTGCGTCATATATGGGCAGTTTAGTAGCTTGCCCACTCCCGCCAGAGGAGGAGACCTAAGGCCAGTGCACATGAGTGGCTTGTCCTGTGCGACAGTGGGTTAGCGGAAAAGGCCAGACGAGGCCCCAGGACTCCGAGGCAGAGTCCGGGTGGCAGGGGGTTCGAACTAAGAGACCTTAGAAATCACACAGGCTGGTGGCTTATTAGCAGGTTCCCTGAAGCCCTAGGCTTCCAGGAGACACCTTGGGGCCTGCTGAGAAGGCTTTATGCCTACATCACTTAGCCAAAGCAGCTCTGGTTTTGTGTTTGTATATTGGAGTTCTGTCTGGCATTTAATTTCTTTAAAGGGTTCTTTCAAGAGGAAAAAAACCAAACACATCACACCTATAAGCCACTCACTTGGTTTGACCTCTGCATTTTGTGGAGGGGGAAACTGAGTCAGGGCTCTGTTTTGCTGGGCCCCATGGGAGGGAAGGGCTGCTGTGTGGTGTGGGGATGACGGGAATAGCGGCTCTGGGTGCAGGGCACACAGTCCTGGCCGAGGCCCCTGGTCCTCATCCTCTCCCTGTCACTGCTGGTCAGGTCAGGCAGGGTGAGGTAGGGAGAATGGGAAGGAAAAGCAGGTGGGAAGCCAGGGGCAGCGCGTGACACACATCCCACCGGCACCCTGGGGCACCTATGGAGCGGAGTCCCAGGCACCCACCCGGATTTTGTCATTCTCCGTCTTGTCCTCCAAATCTTCATCAAATTCCTTCTGTGGGTAGAATTCAATGCCATGTACTTCAAGCTCCTTGCGAACCTAGAGGTGAAGGAAGACAAGCCAGGTAGCCAAGTGCCAGGGTAATGGGAGGGGTGTGTGTGCGTGTGTGTATGTGTGTGTGTGTGTGTGTGTGTGTGTGTGTGTGTGTGTGAGGGATGAACGCAGCCTTGGGAATCCACTGGTCTCTGGGCTCGGAGGCCTGGGCAGCAGGATGATCCTGAACAGGTGTGAACCTCAGGCGTACAATTACCGGGGCTCCGCCTGAGAGGAGGAACAGTCTGGGGGTGCAGCTTGCTCATCTCAGGGTCTGTGAGGTTCAGACTTTGATAAGCATCATGCTGAGCACAGGTTTCACATGGCAGCGTGCATGCCACTACGTGTCCTATCCCTGTGTGCAGGGAGGAAGTGAGGCCCCACCCAACCTCTCTGCCCCCAGGAAGCTACCCAAGATCTCTTCAGTCTACCTGGAGGGAGCCACTGTCTGTACTTCCCTTGGCTCCCCCACCCCCACCCCCACCCCATCCCCAGCTGGATGCTCCGCGCCTAGGCGTTTATGGAAGACACCACAAGGACAGCGAGCCTGTTGACCACTCCAGCCCTTCAGCACCTAACGTGAGGAGCGGTTTCTCAGGCTCGTGTGAGTTATGTATTCGGTGGTCTTAGGGGTAAGTTGGAGGGTGGGGAGGAGGCAGCCAGAAGATGCTCTGACTTCTCTTCACCGTGGTCCCCAGACACTGTGGTCCAGTCTCTTCCATGATTCAGTAGGAACTGGGTGGAAGTGGGGGAGGGGATGTAATAGTGGGGGAGGGGAAGGCTGAGGGGGAAGGGAGGTTGGGAGAGGGGAGAAGGAGGGGCCGTCTCACCCTCTGCTTGAACTCGGACTTTTCCTCCAGCGTCATGGTGTCAGCCTTGGCTATGACGGGAATGATGTTCACCACTTTGCTGAGGTGTTTCATGAACTCCAGGTCCAGCGGTCGCAAGCTGGGGCCGGAGAAGGCGGAGTGTCAGGCCACCTGCCCTCCCCAACTCAGCCACACGACAGGAGGACTAGGAACCCGGCTGAGGCCAAGCCGCTGCTCTCCCCCCCACACACAACACTGTCTCACCATCTGCAGAGCAAGCCCTGACTCACAGTCACTGCCGACACACAGTCACCGTCTGCCCTGCTCTTCCAGGCCTGCCCCTCCCACAGCCCCCTCCAACCACCCTCATGGCATCGTCTCTGACCTGGAGCAGCTATGGAGTCACACACATACATATGCATCCCACAGGGCCTGTGTCATGTTATTTGTGTGTATCTTGTTCCTACAGGCTTCCTCTCAGCCCCACTTTGTCCTGCAGGCGGCCAACGGGTCCCCTGGCTAAGGACCCAGCTCCCCCCAGACCCCAGGGCCCCCATCTGGCCCCAGTTTTACTCCAGGGGGCTTACTAAGTCAGGCTCGCTGCTGCCTTGCAGACCCTGAGCCCAGGTTCCAGGGAGGGATAATTTATTGAATTCCCGGGCCCCATTATGGGACCCGCTGAGTACCCTGTTCCTCCAAAATCTGGGGCCTGCCTTGCTTGGGCCAACCTGTCCAGAATGCACTCTGGCCCAGCGGCTGGGCTTAGTAATGTTAGAGACCTGCCCAACAGGAAGGCTGCCTGCTTGCCCACGTGGGTCCTCCATCCTCTGCCGGCCTCTCCCTCCCAGGCAGCCCCACCTGCTATGCACAGCCAGAGTTCCCAGCATGCCTTGCTTGTTGCCAGCCTCATTTCTAGACACCCTCCAAACGCCTACACCTGGATTCCACGCCCCCCCTAAAACACCAGCCCCAACCCAGTAGCCCTGCCCTCCCCCCCCTTCACAGTTCTAGCTGTCCCCACCCCAGCCTCGTGCAAAGCAGGCATCTACTGAATGAATGAGGAGTCCTCTGCTCTGGCCAGTGTGCTTAGCGGTTAGAGCATCAGCCTGTGCACCGAAGGGTCTCAGGTTTGATTCCCAGCCAAGGGCACCTCCCTAGGTTGCAGTTTCTTCCTTTCTTTTGTTTTCTTTCTTTTTCTTTTTTAAAATATATTTTTATTGATTTCAGAGAGGAAGGGAGGAGAGAAAGATAGAAACATCAATGATGAGAGAAAATCATTGATCAGCAGGAAAATCATATATGCAGGAAGCAGCTGGGGATCGAGCCTGCAACCTGGATATATGCCCTTGATTGGAATCAAATTGATGTTTTCCTTTCACATTGATGTTTCAGAAATCTTTCTCTCTCTCTCTCACTGATCCCCTCCCTTTCTCCCACTCTCTCTAAAAATCAATGGGAAAACATCCTCGGGTGAGGATTAACAACAACCACCACGCGCACACACACACACACACACACACACACACACACACGCACGCACGCCATCTGCTCACATATACCAACTTCCCTCCACAGGCACAATGGTGCCTCGGTGCCAGAACACCAGGGGCAGCGTGGGTCTGGTGCTGGCCGGCTTTCCTCTCCCGGAAGGAAGCCAAACGTGCGTGGGGAGCGCGTGGGGCATCAGGGGGCCCAGCTGGCCCTCCCCGGCGGAGCCAGGTATTGACTATCGATTACAGACGGGCACAGAGCCAGGCCCTCGGGGGGTGGGCAGTACATACGAGTGTCCGGTGGGGGAGATGAAGTAGAGGCAGCAGTGGACACGCGTGTCTGGGATGCGCTTCTTCCGGGCGATGTTCACCTCCTCCTTCAGGAACTTCTCGTACTGCTCATTGATGTACTTCTCAATGGGCTCCCAGCTGTGGGGGAAGCGGCAGGGGCACCTCCTAGGAGCTCATCCTGGGCATGGGCCCTCACCCGTCTCATGTCCTCCTGCCCCTGGGGGCCAGAGTGCCCGCTGACCATTCTCCCTCGGCCCCCGTGGCTTCCTGCTCAGCCAGGCTGGCGCTCCCACGGGGACCTGGCCCTCTCCCAGCCTGCAGAGCCCGCCGCACCCCAGAAGGCATCACACAGCGGCCCCAGCTCTCTTCCTTCTCAGCCGGGGCTCTGGCCTTCTCCTGCATATTTCTCACAGGAGCAGTGACCGGCGGGTGCACGCAGGACAAAAAGAAAGGGTGCGCAGCAGGGGACGTAGCTGTGCACACAGAAGTACTCAGTCATGGCGACGGCTCACTGTCATGACCACGGCCACTGTCACAATGACTTCTCTGCATCAAGGAGCATGCGTAAACCCTCGCTTCTCTAAGTCTGTTCTAAACTGGCTTGTTGGGCGGCCCTGCCTGGCAGTGACAGGGCCCGGCCCCCTGCAGGAGCCCTGAGGCCTCCGGGCCTCTCTGAAAGCAAACTCTTGCCTGGAACCTTCCATCTGCGTCCTCATCCCTTCTTGGTGGCACTCGGACTGCAGCTTTGCTCTGTGGATCCCAGAGGCTCTCTCCTCATGGCCCCTTCCCTCCCTCCTGCTCCTCACTCACCCTCCCCTGGCCAGGCCAAGCAGCCTGCGGCCGCCTCAGCACAGCCTGGGCTGCACCCAGGTCCCCTTGTTCCGCCTGACTGCTTGGCCCCACCACCACCTCCAGACCATCCCTCCGCCAAAATCCCCTCTGCCCTGTCCCCTCCACCCCCTCGCCCAACCCCCCCCCCCCCAGACCTCTGCCCTTGCCTCCTCTCCCCTCTCCCATCCTCCAGGGAGACGTGGAGCCCTCAGCGTGGAGGGCGGGCACCGCATCCACGGGCAGACACACACCAGTTCTCATTGTTGATCTGGTCTCCGAAGCCCGGCGTGTCGATGACGGTAAGCTTCATCTTGACACCGCCTTCCTCTATCACTGGGGGACGAGCAGGAGAGGCACAGGGGTGACTCCTCCAGTTGGTGCGGGAGCCCTGCCGCCCCCCAGCCAGGGAGACCCCAGCCAGGGAGACCCGGGGTCCTTCAATCTTATGATCAACTATTGGAAGAGTCAAGTTCGGCGACTCCCTCACCTCCACCCCTTTGTCATGCTGTTCCCTGCACCTGAATGGCCTCCCTGCTTCCTTCTGCCTATCCACACCCCACGCCAGCCTTAGGGTCCAGCCTGAGCCCCAGTGCTTCCCTTTCTCACCCCTCTTCCTCCCGCGCTGGCCTTGCAGTCTGAGGAGCTGGCTCCAGAGTTTAGGGCTTAATTCTATTCTGTGTGGAGGTTGCCTTCGTTTGCCTCACTCTCCACGAAGCCCCATTCCCCCGCCTTCCTGGCAGAGGCCCCCTGGCCAACGCCCCAGGGACCCCTCGGGCCCTCACCGTGCCCCACAGCCTTGATCTCCACGGTCTTGGGGATCTTCTCCTCGCGGTTCCAGCTGGAGGACTTGCGACTCACTTGGGATTTGAAGAGCGTGTTGACCAGCGTTGACTTGCCCAGTCCACTCTGACCTGAGCAAGACAGGGGGTGAGAAGGCAGGGCCCCCACGGCCACGTCCTGAGCCCCATTCTCTCTCCGGGAGCTTGCAGAGTTCTGGGGCTGGCCACGCCCTGTTTGACAGGGAAGGAAGGGCTGAGCGGGGATTGCAGACTGGGGGGGTGGAGGGTGATGGTTTCCTGTGTGCGGGAGAATGGCCAACCTGTTAGAGCCCACACACTCCTTTCTGGAGCCCCAGGACCGGCAGAAAACGGGCCCACTTCTGCCTTTGTGTGCGTTTTGCTTAAGTTTTTCGTCTTCACTAATACAAGAAGTCATGGTGGAATTGCTTGGCACCGATATGGCCTCAGTGTGTGGGTACTTTCACACCGGGCCTTCCTTCAGCCCCGAGAATCCCACAACAGAGCTGCCTTCAATTCCCGCCGAAGGGGTGCGGGAGAGATTAAGCCCCACTTAATGTAACAGGTGCAAGGCGGCCTAACTCAAAAACGCAGGACAGGGCCTTGAACCAAGGAGCCTCCTGGCCCATCGCCACTCTTCACCCTGGCGCAGGGTTAGATCTGGTGAGATAAGTGCCGAGAGGACCCCGCGAGCGGAGGGAGATGGGTGGGCAGGGCCTGCCCCTCACCTCCGCTCCTTGCCCCTTTACACGCACAGGTCCACAGATCTCGTTCCGGGGTGCAGATGAAAAGGCGCTCCACAACCAAAAGGCATTTGAAACCCTTTGAAGTGCCTGGTCTGAGCAGTGCTTCTCAAATTCTAATGCGCACAAGGATCACAGCAAGCCACAGCATCACCTGGACGCTGGGAGGAAACGCAGGAGCCCAACCACCCCCGCCCCCAGCCTTGGCATTTTCAGAATCGGCATCTTAACGGGCTTCCGGAAGAGTCAGGTGGACAGGAGTCAGCGTTCCTGAGTGAGATCAGGGGCCAGAGCCTGAGCTACAGACTCAGCTGTTCTGTTTCCCGGGTGCCTGGGGATGGCCGTGCTTGCCCCTCTGTTTCCTTACTGATACGTGATGGGAGGGAAGGGACTGAATGAGACCTGGGATGGCAATACCAGTAAGCTGCATTTCCCATTCCAGCTGACCGACTGCTGGTAGCCACCAAGCCCCGTATGTAAAAGAGGCCACCCGGGCTCAGCCCGCACACCAGGCTCAGCAGCTGTGTCTGCCATGGCGCCGCCTGGGACAAAGCTGGCCCACACGTCTTGTGCTCGCCATTCACGCCCGGACGCTTTCTAAAGTCATTTGTTCACTAGGTATTGTGTGCCGAGTGCTGTGCTAGAGTTGGAGACAGAGTGGGGAGTGAGGTGTCATCCTTCCCTTCAAGGACCCATTTAGTATGTGAGAGGCCAAAATATACACAGACAATTACAATGTGTTGCCATGACCACTACGAACGAGATAACCACAGGGTGTTACAACAGCAAGCAGAAGGGGATCGAATCCAGTTTCCCTTCCAGGAAGAAGCGATAACTAAGCCGAAAGCTGAAGAGTGACTTTGGATGACCCATGAGAAGCTGGGCGGGGTTTCTAGACAGAGGGAACAGCATATGCGAAGGCTCAGAGGTAGGAAAGAGTATGGCAAGAACATCCGGAGAACGGTCCCCTTGTGAGGAGAATGCTACATGGAGGTGGTAAGAGAAGTGTGGAGAGGCAGTGCCAGGCCAGCCTAGCAGTTCAAACCCTTCCACTTACCATACTGAGGGGTGGCTTGACGAGTTCCACAGTGGGAAAAGTTATTCCGATATTGGTGGGCGATGGATTGAACAGGAAGGGAGACAGGAGGGGGTCAATGCGCTCAAAGTGTGGCTTGCAGCCAGGGTCCATGAACCAGTTGTTACCGGTTCTTGAGAGAAGAAGTTTGCACCAGAAGGTACGTCAACTATGTCAGTAAGTACACCGTTCAGTGTAGCCGATGTTTACAATAGCACGGTTTTCCAGATGTTCGCACTCTGGCCCGGCGCACATCTGGGCCATCCTAGCAACCACTCAGAGCAGCACGGAGTCAGGTGGCTGAGGCAGGCCAGGTGAGGGGCTGGCTCGACCAGGGAGGCAGCAGTGGTGATGCGGAGAGTAGACAGACTTGAGAGAGAGTTACAAGTAAGACCGACGGGGCTTGGCCGATTGGATCAGGACATAAAGGAAGAAGGATGGAGCCCAGCAACTGACCGAGCGCCTCCCTGAGATTGCTCTGTGACCTGGTGACACTACTTAGCCACCGCTCAGTGCCCCTAAGCTTTATGAGATCAACCTCTGCCCTGACCGGTGTGGCTCAGTGGATAGAGCGTCTGCCTGGGGACTGAAGGGTCCCAGGTTCGATTCCGGTCAAGGGCATGTACCTTGGTCGCCGGCACATCCCTGGTAGGAGGCAGCTGATCGATGATTCTCTCTCATCGATGTTTCTAACTCTCTTTCCCTCTCCCTTCCTCTCCATAAAAAAATCAATAAAAAATATTTTTTTTAAAAAGAAAAAGAAATGAGATCATCCTCCATCTGATCCTCCCCCAGCTCTCGCAGGTGGGGGAGGACACTGATGAGCCCCAGGCACACACCTGAAAGCAGGCTGGCCATGGCTAAAGGCTGCCTGTGTCTGCCAGCTGGTGATGGGCCCGGCTGACCGCCCCCACAGCCCCCGCCCTGGGTCAGCGAGCCTGAGAGGGAGGAGGGGGTCAGGTCTCTGTGATCGTCACAGGGAAACCTTCCCTCCGAGAAGGAGCTCATTCTAAAGAGGCCAGGGCCGAGGTCACCCCCGGGACAGAAACGGTATCCTCCGTGCCGCGCCCACCCGGGCCTGGGCGGGGAGGGGGGCCCGCGGCCTTCCATACCGACGACCATGATGTTGAAGTCGAACCCGGTCTTCATGGTCTTCTTCCGCATCTGCTCGATGATGGTGTCGATGCCGATGTAGCCCAGCAGGTTGGCGTTGATGCTGACGGGCTTCATGGGCACCACCGGCTTCGGCCGGGGCTCGGGCACCAGCTCTGACATGGCTGCGTCCGTCCTGGTCTCTGGGAGCCCTGCAAAGCCAAGGCGGAGGGTGGGCCGCGGGGGCCGCACGGGAGCCGCGGTGCCGCTCACCAACACATGGGGTGGGCCCTGGGAGGGGTCTTAGAGGGCATCCGCTGCGGGTCCATTTTACAGATGAGGAAACTGAGGCCTGGAGGAAAGGACTTGCTTAAGGGCACAGAGTAAGTCAGGCGCGAAGTCTGGACCAGACCCTTCTCCATCTGCTGGGCCGCCTCCAACGCACATGGGGGTGTCTGACCCCGGGGTCTGACCCTTTGGGCAGAATGAGGATTGCGGGGGGCTGTCTGCGGTTGTTCCGGCCTGAGTCCTGCCTCCCCACATAGAGGGCCAAGACCAGCTAGTGCGCTGGACCTCACTTCACTGACGTCTGCCACTGGCCGCGCTGCTTTGTCCTTTAGAAGCAAACAGGCCAGCCCCCTGCAGCGTGAGCGCCAGTCCTGTCTGCCAGCCTCTGCCCCGCTCTGCCCGCTGCAAATCAGGGTGTCTGTGCTCAGGCACCCTCCTCCCTGGAGGTTTAAATCTGTGGGAAGAATAGGTCTTCCCTTTGGACCAGCAGGGAGAGGATGAGACGCAGGGAGGGCGGTCACTCGCCGGAGGTGGCGCTGTGTGTTTTGGGATGGCGGTGGCAGAGGAGAGGGGAGGCTGAGGACAGCCTGCTGCAGGGGAAAGGCCCTTCCCGCTGGGGCTGGCGGGCCCTGGGCGTTTCCCCATCGGGCCACTGTCCACCGGGCCAGGTTTCGGACAGCGGCCCCATTTCCCCATCCAGAAGGTGGGCTCGGGCGGGACACCTGCCTGCAGGAGCCCACTTCCTCGTCTGTAAAGGGCTTGGGATCACGGTCAAGGCTATGGTGAGCACTACATGAGAGATGATGCCTAGAAGCGCCACACAGCGCCTCCCAGTTCAGCCACTCCTGCCCCTCCCACTTTCAGGTTCAGCTGTCAGAGGGGAGGTGAAGTGGTGCGTGTGAAAGCACGTGTCCAAGTGCCCTCACTCCAACACCCCTTCCGGTTTGCCGTTCTAGAACCCGGTGGTTCCACGACGCAGGCTCAGGCTTCAGGGGAAGGGGGCTGATGGAACAGCCGGGGGGCCAGAGGGCAAGAGGGTGGGAGCTCCGCCCTCCTGTACCCCAAACCCAGCCAGGAGTCTGTTCTCATCCCCCACCACCTGGTCCTTCCTGGGTCCTGGCCAGGCTCTCCCCCCCAGCGCGAAAATGTTCTTTCCTTGTCACGCTCAGTCACAGCCAACTCTGCCCAAGCTCCGGGCCTCCCCGGGGCCTGGCCGGGCTCCCTCCTGCTCCCCAGGAAGCTGGTGCTCGCCAGGCGCTGGCCGGGAGACTGGCTCAGCCCGCAGCAGCTGACTGTCCGCCGGCCTGTGCCCATCTCCACACGTGGCTCCCAGTCAGCACCCTGCGCTGGGGCCACGGCCCCATTTTTCCTGCCCGGCTGCTCCCATGTGGGCCTTCCACCTCCCTTGTGCCTCTCAGCTGAGCCTGGTTGGTCTCCCAGCTGATGCTGTGAGAGATGCAGGCAGCCCTTTTGACACCCTGGAAAGTGAGTCTGGCACTATTTATGGGAGTTTTTCTAAGTGTCCTTATAAAGTGGGTGTCCTCACCGCAGCCTGCTTAGCCCTGGCCGTCAATGCACCTTCCGAAAAGGGCATTCCCCAAAGACAGACCCTGGCTGCCAGGAGGGGCCTGCCGACCAGGTTCCCAGCAACTCCTGGGGGCTAGGCGGGCTGCGGCAGGGCCAGCGCGGGAGCAGACATCCCCTTCCTCCTCCCAGCAAGTCCCCATCAACACCTACTGTGTCACTGGGAAGAGCAGCAGCTGGCAGGTCCCCCCACCACGTGCCAATTACACATCCGTTACATGTAACCACCACCAGCCAGGGGCACTGGGAAGGCCGGGCGATTCCTGCTCTTCCACCGTCAGTTCCTGGGCTGCCCCCCGCTGGGTACAGCCACCCTGTATCATTGCACCCACTCATTCATGCATCAGGCATTCCACCGTTCCTGCCAGGCCGGTCCCCATGCTGTCAGAGCGGAGCCTACTCCAGCCGAGCCCTAGACCAAATGCCAAGGACACTTTGGGACCCCAGACAAGGTCATTGCCCCCGAGGGCCCACTCTCTGCTGAGAGAACCTGACAAGTACACAGAGACCTCCAGGGTGCAGGACAAATACTGACCGCTGTGCCCCCATGTCCCTAGCATGACACAGGTCCCCAGCAATGAATGAATGAATGAATGAATGATGAATGAATGAATGAATGAATGAATGAGTCTGATGTCACTTTTCTCCTCCCTCAGAAGCTCCTCTAGCAGAGCAGATGACACCCGGCCAGCACCCGGCTCTGTGGGGGTCACCGGCGGGGGCGGGGGGGCAGACTATAAAAGACCTGCTTCCTCCCCCACAACAAGGGGGAGAGGACTCAGGATGGGGTCACAGCAGGACAGAGCCCCCGCAGGCTCCCTGCCTCCATGGTCCTTAGAGCCCCCCAGGCGCCCTGCTGTCCCAGAGGCCCCGGAGGAGGAGCATCTGCCTGCGGCACCCCCTGCCAGGAGCCACCTGCTCCACCCGTGCTTGCGGGAGAGGCATGTCCACCTGACTCCGTTCTGAGTCCCCACAGACACGGCCCCTCCGTCACCTGCCCGGCCCGCACCTGGCGCTCTCAGTTCCAGGCAAATGAGCGGCTTTGTCTTTGTCTGGCACGGGGACCCCACCCTCAGTTGGGAAGGTGACAGAGGCGGGAGGAGAGCTTCCAGAAGAGCACCTGCGTCCTCCGCTGAGGGGGGTGGGGGGTAAGAGGCTCTTCCTTCCTGAGCTTAAGATCTCCCCAGACCCACCCGTACCCGCACCCGCACCCGCAGAGGCAAATTCCAGCCCACCCCACCTCCAGCCCCCACTCTGGGAAAAAGAATTACAAAAGGCATCTGAGTCCTTTCCTATTCGCAGGAGCCACGGGCTCTGGGACCCCCCTTCCCCCACCCCGGCCCTCCGGAGGCCAGCGGGTTCCCTGGGAGACCACGGGGGGTGCGGGGTGTGGGGGAAGGGTCCTCCGTGTGTGAGCGCGCAGGTCTCTCCGGTGTGGGCGGCTGATACCTGTGCAGGGCGTGCGTGTGTGCGCGTGTCTGGTGTGCTCCCTGTGCGCGTCTGGGCCCCCACTCGTGTGTCGGAGGGTTCCCGTGGGCGGATTTCTCCGGGAATGCATGTCTCGGGGTGTGTGCACCATGTGTGCGTGTGCACCGGGTGTGCGTGTGCCCGCGCATCTGTCACCGCGCGTGGGCTCCCCGCGCAGTCCCCTCCCCTGGCAGCCCCTCCGCCGGGCTTCTGGGCGCAGTAACCCCTCCCGCGGGCGCCGGTGCCGGGCCGGAGGCCTACCTTTGGACATGAATCCTCCTTTGTCTCCGATCCTCCCGGGAGATGCTCAGGGCGCGGGGCTGCGAGGCTGAGCGGGGCGCGGGCTCCTCCCGGGCGAGCCGCCCTGCAGCCGGCCTCGCCCTCCGCGCGCTCTGCCCGCCGCCCGGCCCGCGCCCGCCGCGCTGCCCTGCACCCCCGCCGCCCCCGCCCGGGACCCCACTCCGCTCGCCGGCGCCGCCGCCCCTGCCCGCGCACCGAGCCGCCGCCGCCGCCGCCGCCGCCGCCGCCGCCGCCGCCCCACGTGACCCGCCGCCCCGCCGCGCGCCCCGCCCCCGCCGGCCCCGCGCCGCCCGCTCCCGCCTCCGCACCGGCACCGGGCGCTGCGCTCGCAGCCGGGGTGCCGCCAGGGAGGTGCTGCCGGGGAGGTGCCCGCATCCCGGCCCCGCCTCGCCGGACCGGCTCCCGCCCTCGCTATCCGGCCGGGCCGGGGGCGCGGGACCGGTGGCCGCGGCGGCGGGGCGCGCGGGGGTCACGCGGCGGCTGGACCTGGCGCTGGCTCGGCGGTTCTGCCCGCGGTTCGGAGCCAGGCCCGGTCCGGCTGGCCCCGGAAGGGGGTCCCGGGACCCTGCGCTGCACGGGAGCTTCCCTGCGCCCCGATGTTCCCGGCGGGAAAGTCCGCGGCGCATGGAGCGGCGCTGAGGGCGGCGGCGCCGGCCCGGGGACGGGAGTGGGTGACCATCCCCGTCCTCCAGGCTCGGTTCCGGGGCGGGGAGGCAGAAAGCTGGGCGGCCCCGAGGCAGGGCTGGGCATGCCCAGGGTTCGTGGGGCAGGAGGGGGCACCCTGAGGAGAGGGCGTGGAGGGCTTCCCGGAGGCGGCGGGGCAGGGATGGGGAGGAGGCGGCGGGAGGGAGAAGGACGGGCTCCGGGGAGAGGGAAGGCGGAGTGAGGAGCCCAGAGGCGGGTGGAGGCTCAGGGCCACAGGAGCAGGGACGCAGGGGGAGGCCGGGGAGGCCGCGCCTCGGAGCCAGGGTAAGGAGCGGGACTTGGAGGGAGGATAACGGTGAGTCCCAGCGGTTAAGCTGTGGGTGCTGCCATCACCGAGTCCCAGGGGCAGCTGTGAGCGGCCGGGAGCGCCCTGGGGCGGGGCTGGGGCGGGGCAGACAGAGGGACAGGCGGGCAGACAGTTGGGGGGGGGGGGGGGTGTAAATCCACAGCGTTGGGAATAGACCGGATGGGAGGAGGACGCCCAGGTTTCTGGGTGAGAGCCGGACCAGGCAGGGCAGGAGGGAGCTAGAGGAGCCTGAACTTCAGGAGAGAGGGGGCCTGAGGGCGCGGAGGGTGCTGGAGACGAAAGCTGGGTGAGCTCCCCCAGACCCAGTGTGCGGCATGATGGGAAGGGGTCTGGCCCCGAGGCCCAGGGGGGGTGTTGGACGGGTGCCTCCCCAGCATCCGCCGGATCCAGACGCCCTGAGCCTTGGGGATGCTGGGAATGCGATGCCCAAAGCAGAATCCCAGGATCTGGGTTCCTCCTTAACTCACCGCTGCCAGCCAGCTCAGGACTGAGCACGTCACAGCCCCTCTGAGACCCCGCTGCGGTCTCTGCTCCTGTCAGCCTATCGCCCTTCTGCGCCGGACTTCCGTGGGCGCACGTTCCCAGCTCACCTTTCAGGACTGAAGGGGAGGGGGGTTCCAGGTGAGGCTCCTTCAAGCAGCAGGAACCTGCCCGCAAGGCTGACCCCAATGACCCAGCAGCTCAGGGAGGTCCCTGCTCACAGCTGGAGGAACACGGCAGTGACAAATCTCAGACAATCGCCGCGGATTGCCGTGCTGGTCTGTGATTCTGTGTAGGTTAGGGGTGTCGAACTCAATCAGAGAAGGGGCCAAAATCTAAAATCCAGCCTAAATCGCGGGCCGAATGGTTTACTGAACAGTCATAAACTGTCATTGTGATGGAAATGCAGCGGAGTGCAGTGATGACAGCGCGGTGCGGGCCACATTGCAAGGCCTGGCGGGACGGATTTGGCCCGCGGGCCTTGTGTTTGACACATGTGGTGTAGGTGGTTTGCTTCACAGCTGCGCTCACCTATCAATCCCCTGATTCCCCCGCTTCCGGGAGTGGAAGACGCTGAAGGAAGGACTCGGCACAATGGATCCTCCACGAGTTACCCCACACACCTCCTGTTGGCGACGGCCCTCAGCCTGACTCTGACTGGCAGTTACCCAGCTTCTGGCGCATCCCCTGTGGTCTGCCTCTTTCCAAGTGTAATCTGTCTCAGGCCCTCCTCCTCCTCTCCTCTCCCCCCACTAGCCCAGAACACCCCAGTGCATCCCAGCCAAGTCCTTTGCATTTACCTTTGGCTTTTCTGGCCGGGTCTGTAGCAGCATCTGTTGTCACTTGGCCTGGGGCTGTGTCTGTGCTTCTGGCTGACATCGATGGGTGAGTGGCAGTGTCCGATGTGGTCCGCTGAATGGCACTGTCAAGTGTGGCCCCTCCAATGGCCGGGTTTAGGGGGGCCGGCAGGACCAAACCCATGCCTACGCCCAGCCTGCTTGTGTGCAAAGCAGGAAAACCCGTAGTTACCCGTCTGGCTGGCTCCGCTCTGTCCAAAGCCAGGACTCTGTCTGGCCTGGCTGCGCCCAACTTGGCCGGGTCTGGGGCTGCCAAATCCTTGGCTGTGGCCCCTGTCGTTGCATATGGCTTGGCTGTGCCTGCTGTGGCTGTGGCTTTGTCCAGCTTGCCTGGGTCTGGCGTTACCGGATTTGTGACCATGCCCTGCTTGGCTGTGCCTTCTGTAGCCACTTCTGTGGCTGTGCCCAGTTTGGCTTCCAGAGCAGGGAACTTTGTGCCTGTGTCCAGTCTGGGTGTGTCTGATGTGGCTGGGTGGACAGCCAGGCTGGAGCTGTTGGTGGCCATGGTGGCTGAGTGTCTGACTGTGCCTCTCATTGTGTCCAGAGCCACCCAATCCACGGCCGGCGCTGGCGCCATGGGAGGGTTGGCCCTTTGGAGATGCAGCCGCGGCCTCAGGACCCCCCTGGGCCCGGGCCGGCCTCTTCCTGCGGAAGCTCTGGCAGGCGCTGGGGCCGCCGCGGGGACAGGGAGCCGCTGACCCGCCGGGCCTGCCGGGCCCCGTGGCTCCTGGACCAGCCGGAGCTGGAAAGGGAGGGCCAGGTGGGAGCTCACCAGCGGCTTCTCCATCACAGGCATCCTGCTGGGTCTGCCCAGACCTGGGTTCCCTGGGCCCCCAGAGTGAACCCTGCCCCCTGGCACGAGGACCAGAGACGGTGACTCTGGAGTGGGCATCGTCCCTCTTCCATGGGCAGCAGCCCCCCTGCCCAGGGCGGGCACCTCTTCCCAGGCCTGGCTGCTGGGCCGGAGCGTCAAGGAGATGGAGCTGAGCTTCCTGGACCCGAGCCTGCTGCCCATCTCCTGCGGGAGCACGCTCTGGGCCCGGGCTGCAAGCCCCTGCCGGCCGGGGGCCTGTGGGATGCAGCTTTGGGAGAAGGCATCCAGACGGACGGTCTGCCTGAGGACAGGGGTGAGAGGGGACGCCCTCCCGGGGAGCCTGGAGGGCGGGGCAGGGCGCCCCAGCAGGTTGCCTTGGGAGGAGGAGGGCCCAGGCCCCGGAGCTCCGTGCGGCTGCATCTCAAAGTCGTGGTCCTCCCAGGACGTCCGTCTTCCCCTGAGGCAGTCAACAGAGAGGCCAGGCGGCCGTGAGGCTGGGCCCAGCGTGCCCGCCCTCCCCTCCTGGCCAGCACCTCACATTGCCGGGCTAAAGGGGCCTCGCTGGGATCCTTGGCGGAGTACACACGTCCCTTCCTGCAGTCCTCCCCCCTCTGCCTGTGACCACCCGCACACCTCACACGCCTGCCCAGGCACCACACCCATGGACACGCGGAATGTCCCACCAACACGGCCTCCAGGAACAGGCTGCTCCTGTGAGGAGGGAGCTTGGGGGCCCAAGTGTGTCCCCTCTCTCTTTTTAAAAATATATTTTTATTGATTTCAGAGAGAAGGGAGAGTGAGAGAGAGAAACATCAATGATGAGAGCGAATCATCAGTTAGCTGCCTCCTACTTGAGCCCATAATCCAGGCGTGTGCCCTGACTGGGGATTGAACCCAGACCTGGTTCGTAGGTCAGTGCTCAACTCCTGAGCCACGCTGGCCGGGCCGTGTCCCCTCTCCCGACGGACAGCTCTGTGGAGGCCACACACCATGTTCAGGGACTCTGGAGAAGGGCAATGAACCTCTGCCTCTTCTAGAAGGTGCCAGCGGGCTCTGGGTTCCCACCACGGCAGCCAAATAGGAGTCAGGTGTCCGGGTGGGGGGGCTGAGGGGTGAGCATTCACTCGGGAACAGGGTCTGCATCTGGGGCTCCTGTCCCGAACCCGGAAAGAGCCCTGGGCTGGCCTGCCGCTGGAGCCTGGCTGAGGAGGACCTGGGGAAGGGGCCTCGGTGGAGAAGTGACAGGTGCTCGCAGGAGGAGCAGTGAGCCAGCCCGCCCCCGCCCCCAGGGGGCCCGCAGGCCGAGGAGAGGCAGGGCCGTGCTAGAGCTGTGCGTTGGGGTCAGGGCAGGGAGGCAGGGCCTGGGTGGGGCGTGGGCACAGCAGGCCTGAAGAGGAGTGGCATCTAGAAAAGCCCCCCTGGGGTCTGGACCATCCGGGAAGGGCGGGCGGGCTGCGGGTGCCAGGCCAGGCCACGGCGGTGCTCAGGGCCTGGGAGCTGACCGCCGGGTCTGCAGGTGGGACCGTCACCCCGGGGCAGTGTGACATGGAGGGGGACACGGAGGGGCAGAGTGAAGGCGAGGGGATCGGCAGAGACACTCGGAAACACTGTGGGCTGGCAGTGGGGCAGAGAAGTTGGGTAACGCGGGAGAAGCCACGGGACTGCCTGCAGGTGGGAAGTAGGGGAGAGAAGAGGTGGGGGAGGGGCTCCAGATGGTGTCTACGTGGATGAGAGCCCCTCCTTCTGGAACGGGGCCAGGCCAGGGCCAGCGGGAGGGCGCTAGGAGAGGGGGCTGCTGTAGCCAGGCCCCCAAGGTCTGGAGCCGGGCCTTCGCCCGCCCTCACCCTTCATCCCTCTGCCGACGTCCATCACCCCCTGCCTGACATTGCCCTGCAGCCCTGCCCTCCTGCCCTTATTCACCACCACACGTACGGGGCACAAGCATGTACCCTGCACCATAAACATCTGCCCTCAGCGTGCACACTCACAGGCCAGGCCAGGATTTATAGACACAACTCCTTCCCCCCCCCTCCCCCCTCCCCGGCTACATTGTCCTTTGGTCCTATCCCTCCCCCTGCACACAAAACACCCACCCACCTTGCTCAGAGAACAAGAAGGTCTGCAGTCTTTGGTCTGGGAAGTTGAGGCTGGTGCAGGCCCCTCACCTCCTCTGTGCCCCGAGTGTGGCCATGGCAACACGCTCAGGGGCCTTGTCCCTGTGGTCCCCTCAGTCTCCAGGCCGAGGCGCAGCCCTCTCTGACCTGTCCCAGCAGCCACACCCCGCTGGGCCGGGCTGGGGCAGGGGGAGGCTGGCTGCTCAGGAGTGGGCGGGGAATGGCTCTGGAATCCCCGAGGGCCTTGGAGGCTCCTCACAGTCAGGCTGGGCGCCGGGGTCAGGGCCACCGGGGCTCCGCGCCTGCCGCCTGCCCTCCCCACAGACTCTGACGCCTGGAGAGGTGTCTCCAGAAAGAAAGGGGGACACTTCAGACATGGCCACACTCATCCTGTGTCGTGGTCACAGTGCCAACCTCGCTTCTGCTTGCCCTCAGCATCGCCCCCACATCCCTAGTTCTGTCACCCTCGGGCCACCTTGCCCGCCAGCTGAGGCCTTTCCTCGAGCTCCCGGAGGCCACGGACGGGCTGTTCCCTGAGCCCCGGCCCTGAGGCCCTGAGGCCCGGAGCACAGCACAGCCCTGGCCTGTGGGGCCCACAGGACCACCCAGCCTGGCTCGGCATTGTGGGCCGGCGCCCTCTTTTGCCCCGACCACACATCGTGAAGATAAAGGCGGCGATGATCGCAGCTGCCCTTACGAAGCGCCAGGCTGGGGAGGAGCTCTTCCGGAAACTCGGACCCCAGGGCCCAGCCCGGCTCCCAGACTCACCCTGCGCCGGGGCCCGGGCTGTGTTCTCCCTCCATCTCAGCTCAGGGCCTGTCACCTGCTCGGTGCCAGCGAGACATCATGGCCCACACCGCGCTGTGCGGTCACTGTCCCCAGGGCACTGCTCCCTCGGCGAGGCCGCTGCTGGGCCACACCGGCCAATGGAACGTTCGGTGATAATGGGAATATTCTATGCCCGTGCCGTCCCATGCCGGAGGCGCTGGCCATGGTGGCTGCTGAGCACTTACAAGGTGGCGACGGCGGGGAGGAGGGAGCGGTTTATTTAATTTTGTGCAGTGGCTGTCTTGTGGCACAGTAAGGTTCTGAAGGGCCTGGGTTCATTCTTCACGGGGCCCCGGGGCCTGGCAGAATCCGCCTCAGTCCGTGTCTGTGGAATCCATGAATCCATAAATGAATGAATGGTGACTCTCTGGACCTGGGGCCTTCCCTCATCCGCTCCCTCCCTCCGGAGCTAAAGGTTTTCAAACTTGCCTGTGTGCTTGTTACCAGGGCAACCTGCTGGCTGGCCAGTGGGTGGGGGAGGGGAGCCGCCTGGAGTTCTAACCCCCTTCCCTCTTTGCTTTGAGGCCTGCGGCCAGCCGGACTCAAGGAGGAACCGAGGGTCTGAGGGAGGGGCGGCCGGGTGGGAGGGTAAGGGAGACTGGAGAGGTGCAGAAAGCCTCTCCCCACTTTGGCCAACAGTTGGTTCTGCAGCTTCTGTCAGATCCCCCTGCTGGGCCTCAGTTGCCTTTTCAAACAGGGACCAGAGGTCCTCATGTGGCCTCCTCTAGCTTTAACTCGAATTCCTTCATCTCGCTCGCTGCCAGGCTGTTAGACCTCGAGAGCAAGGAATGAGTGTCATTCATCTCTGTACCCCCCCTCCCGCTCCCAACACACACACACTGGCGCCCCGCCCCCACCTGCCTGGCCCTCTCTTCAGCGCCGAGGCCTGGAGGACAGCACCTGCCCAGCACAGCAATTACAAACCTGGGTTCTGCTGCTCTCTAGAGGCCCAAAGTGCCAATTACTTCGTGTACACAGCCTTCTTTCCCCCACAAGGAAAGACTGACATGCCTGGAAGTGGCCTCGGAGGGCAGACCGCCTAAGCAAAAAAAGTCACTGTGGTGGCCTCCCGGACAAGTGGCACAGGTTTACTACAGCTGTGTGGTTCTGAACAAGTCACAGTCCCTCTGAGCTCCAGTTCCTCCATCTGTGAAATGAGGATTGAATCAGTCAGGATGGGTTAAATTATGCTGCAGTAACAAACAATTCCAAAATCCCAGTAGCTTTTAACAACTAAGGTTTATTCCTCATTCGTGCCTCGGGTGCGTGGTGGTTTGGGTCAGCTGAGACTCTGCTCCGCGTCATCTTCGTCCTGGGGCCGGGCAGCCACGCCAGGAGCCGCTGGGCATTGTGGCGGAGGGGAGGGAGCGTGCTGAATCCTGCACTAGCTACCGGGTGCTTTGGCCTGGATTCACTTCTGATCACAACTTGCTGGCGAGAACTGGCCTCATGGCCCCACCCAACAGGAGGAGGAGTATCCCTGCCGAGTGTGAGCACCGAGGAGCCAGCAGTATTGGGTGAGCAGCACTGTGACCCACTCCATGGGGGTAAGAGTGCGGTGAGGGGTGCAATGAGCTCAGGCCATGTTAGCCATTAAAACTGTTGCCTTGCAATTCTGATGTCCTTTTTTATTTATCCTCACGATTTCCTGTGACTTCAGGATCGATTCCAGATGTTCACAGCTGAGGACAGAGAGGGGCATGGGCTTGCCAAGGTTCCCACAGTGAACCAGTTGCTGGACGCCGGTCTCCAGGGTCCGAATTCTGCGCCCCTCCCCCGTGACGGGTGGTGCTGAGGGGTCTTCCCCGCCCCGGTTCTCTGTAGGGTGCCGACAGACATTGGACGGCCTTCTGAGTGAGACTGCGGCCTCTGCCTGCTCCAGAGCTGGTCTCTCAGAGCGGAGAGCCGAGGGGGCGGAACAATGGCCAGCCTGTGCCACCCCACAGGCCAGAGTCCGAACATTGCGGCCATTCCTAGGCAGGGACCTGCACCTCCCCCTCCTGTCCTCCTGCTCTGGGCCCCGCCCAGACACACCCACCCCATCCCCACAGCTCCCGGGACTTCGTAAAACCTCCAAGGCATTGTATTATTATTTTAAAATATATTTTTATTGATTTCAGAGAGAGGTGGAAACATCAATGATGAGAGAGAATCACTGGACAGCTGCCTCCTGCACGCCCCCTACAAGGGATTGAGCCCACAACCCAGGCGTGTGCCCTGGCTGGACCCAAGGCGTTTTAAAAACTTGCACAATAGCTTGACCCCCAGGAAGCCTGCAAGTTTCTCTAAATCTTAGTCTCTACACAGATGGGTAGCTTTTGGCAAGACTTTAAAAAAAATTTTTTTAATTGATTTTTCACAGAGAAGAAGGGAGAGAGATAGTTAGAAACATCGATGAGAGAGAAACATCGATCAGCTGCCTCCTGCACACCTCCCACTGGGGTTGTGCCCACAACCAAGGTACATGCCCTTGACCGGAACCGGACCTGGGACCTTTCAGTCTGCAGACCGACACTCTGTCCACTGAGCAAAATCGGTTTGGGCTGGTCCCTCCATTTCTGAGCTGGGTGATCTGGAAGGTGCTCCAAAGAGTTTCCACTCCCTGCCCACCTGCCTCTGCCACCCCCGACCTGGCAGCCTGCACTTAGAGCCCAGCTCACAAGCTCACCAAACTTGGGGGTTCCTGTCTACCCTCCCTCTGCTTCAGACTTCCAGTCCCACCCCCTGGGGGGCAGAAACCCCGGGGGGACCCCAGTGGCTTCTCCCTGAGCTGGTTTCCTCCTCCATGCAACAGGGTCCTAATATTCTTGGGTGTTTTCTTTTCTTTTAAAAATAATTTTCTTATTTTCAATTACAATTGACATACATCATTACGTTGGTTTCAGGCATTTACCTAAAACTTCTTGTTTTCCACCAGCCTCTCTTCCCTCCTTTAGGGAGTAGCCGCTACCTAAAGCCTCAGGCCACGTGACAGTGGTGGGGACCAGAGCTGCGTGGCAATCCGGGCACCCCATCCCCTGAGCTCCTGAGGGGCCCATGGGAGTCCACACCCTGGGCTTTGGCAGGAACGAAATCAAGGTGCCGTCCCCTGACATCAAGGCGCTGAGGGCTGCGTGAGCTGGGCCAGCCGGGCGCCTTAGGCTGCGAGGAGACGGTCCCTCTGAGAAGGAAGCGGCGCTGAGTGGGACAGAGGGTGGAGCTGGTGACGGCCTGGAGCCCAGAACCGACCCCTTTTATTCCCGCTGCTTTCTGTCTGGTCTCCTGTGCCTGCAGGAGTCCGGGCAATAGTGAGGGGGCGGACTGGGGTGGGAGGGTGAGGAGATCCCGCTGGGAGGCTCAGGGCAGCAGGGGGCTGGTCAGGATGTGGCAAGAGAGGTGCCCAGGTCAGGGAACTGGAGGACACACCCAGCTGTGCCCCTGAGAGGCCCCTCTGGCCGCACCCCAGCCCGCTGCTCAGTAGGACAGCTCCTGGCTTTGTCCAGGGAGAGCAGCAGGGCCCTCATGGTGAGAAGGCAGCGCTGCCCTCCCCGGCTCCTTAGAGGACGCGGGAGAATGGGCCCTGGTCTGGGGTCAGCGGAGCCAGCCCCCGCTCAGCCTGCTGCCCTGTGGCCTCAGACAAATCCCTGTCTCACCTGTCCCCACATTTCCATGGACATGTAGCCACCCAGCTAAAGACTACACTTCCCAGCCTCCCTGGCAGCTAGGACTAGCAGGTGCCTAAGTGTTGACAGTGGGAAATAAGGGGGAGTAGGGGGTGCGGCCTGTCAGGGAGGGTCTGTCAATGGAGGGGGCAGCCTCTTCCACCCCCACCCCCACCCCACGCTGCTGGGGATGTAGAGGACGCCCCTGGATCAGGCCAACTGCCCGGCGCAATGAAGCAGCCAGAGGGAGCCGCTTCGGTCCCTGACCACTGCACCAGCCCTGGACAACCTCCCCCCCCCCCCCCCCCCCGCCAGTGTACCATGGGGCCCTGCTGGGGTTTTGTTTTGTTTTGTTTTGTTTCTCTCTGCTCCTGAATTTATAATCCTGCGGGTTCTCCACCGCAGGGATTCCTGGGAGGGGGCAAGAGCTCCTGGTGGAGACCCCGGGTGTCCGTCACCTGCAGCCGGGCCAGCCCCACCCCCGGCAGAGAGCGATCGGGTCAGGAATGTCCCGGTGCCGCCGTGAGACGTTCTGCTCTGCCCCGCGGAGGTCCGTCCTGATCTGAGTCCCCCCCAGCGAGGTGACGGGCATGACCCCACCTCCAGGGACGGAAACAGGCCCGCAAAGACGGCGCGAAGTCTTTTATTGCAGTAACTGAGACGGAAGCCCGAGGAGGAGAGTGAGGTCCGCATGAGGCTCCCAGGAGAGGGGCCTCCAGGGTGGAGTGGGGCTGGGGGCCTGGCTCGGGGTCCTGGGCTCAGCCCTGGAAGTCCAGCGGGGGGGGGGGGGGGGAGAAGCTGCTGCTGGCCCCACACTGCCCGCGGGGCCCACCCCCTCCCCACACCTCCCACCTTCCCTCTCACATACACATGTGCCTCCCCGCCACCTGTCTGTCCACTTTGTAAAGCCTCTCTCTCTCTCTCTCTCTCTCTCTCTCTCTCTCTCTCTCACACACACACACACACACACACACACTCACCCTCCTTCCCCTATGGTCTTGCCCCCTCGTGCCCCTCCACACACCAATGCCAAGTCTCAGTCCAGAGGGGTGGGCTGGGCTGGACCGAGCTGACCTCCCTCCAGACGGGCCTTGCCCCTGGGCGAGCTTGGCAGCCTGCCCGGATGCTGTGGGTGGGTGCCATCTGGGGTAACCGGGGACTCGGTGGGAAATGGGAGACCAGGAGGCTCAGGTGGAGGGAGGGCAGGAGTGCTGGCAGCAAAAGGCACTGGGGGGCCGTCGGGGGTGTCCCCAGAGCTGGAGAAGGCGGGCAGGGGAGCGAGCTGGAGGTGGGGGGCAAGCCCTGGGCCAGCAGCAGTGACACCTCAAGGCACCCACACCCCATCTTCCCACAGCCTCCAGGCTGGGCGGGCTGGGCGGTGCCCGCGGCTCAGGCCTCTGGGCCCCCGAAGGCCAGGTTGTCGCGGACCATCAGCGTCTTACGGAGGTCCCGGTCCACCGCGGGGCGCTGCATCCGCCACTTGTGCGCCTCCTGCAGGCCCGGCTCGAAGTAGTAGATGCAGGCGCCGAAGCCGGCCAGGACGAGGACGGAGATGACCAGGTACAGGGGCACGAACCAGTCCAGGAAGTGCGGCATCGCGGCGGCCGGCTGTGGGACACGGGGGGTGAGGGCCGGAGCGACCTGGTCCTGCCCGCCCGTCAGAGGTCACAGAGGCCACAGAGCCAGGCCCGAGAGCCACTCCATAGACTGAGGCCCAGGAGGGTGGGGGCAGCATCTGGTCGGGACCGGCTCCCTGACTGAGCAGAGCTGCCCCATCACAGGGGCCCCCCGGGCTCCCACTCACCGTGAGGGGGGCTGTGGCTCCGGCTCAGCCTCTCGGGCACATGGCCTCGGGCGAGGCGCCTGCCCACGCTGGGCCTCAGTCCTCCCCGAGGAAGAGGACCCTAAGAGAGCCTCGTGGGGTCCACGGAGGTGACTGCCCCCCAGAGCTCTCATAAGGGACCGCGTGGGAGATGCCTCCTCTCAGCTGCCCTAACAGCCCGGCCCCGTTAGTCCCAGGAGCTGCCGCTGCCCGTCCGTCCCTCCCAGACGGCCGGTCCCCGGCCCGCACCATCCTGGCAGGTGTGGCTGGTAAAAGTGGGGTGGAAAAGCACCCACCCCCAGGGGACCTGGTTGAATTCACAGGGGCCACAGAGGCTCCGGAATTCAGGCCCAAGCCCAATCTCATCGTTAGGAGAGTATGGGTGCAGGCAAACACCGTGGGCCTTGGTTTCCACATCTGTAAAATGGGAACAAAGATAATGCCTAAGGTCATAGGGCAATTGTGACCCTTTAAACGAATTAATTTACATGGAATGTTTAGAGCCAGGGCCTGGCACATAAGTGTTACATAGTAAGTCTGTTCTTATTCTCTGAGCCTCAGTTTCCTTTCCTGCAGAATGGGAATCAAAGTAGGCCGCATTCCCGAGGTCAGTGTGAATGGTTAAGGAGACAGTGCCTGAGTGCACCGAGCACCAGGCTGCCGGCAAGGGACCAGCACTCCCTGAGGAGTGGCTACCGGATTGTCATTCCCAGTGGACCAGGGCAGGGCAGGGGGGTAGCCGTGTGGGGAGCCGGGCAAACCCACGTTACAGATGCCCAGACGGTAAGAATGGTCCCGAGGCGCTCACATCGCTCTCTGCCAGCCTCCCCGCCTCCCCCCCCCCCCACGCCTCCTGTGGATCTGCTCTCAGACCTCCGCACCTGCATGTCCCCAGCCTTTTTCCCCCCACCCCCCGCCCGCAATGGCCTCTCATTCATGTCCACCTGGCAAACTCCAATTCATACTTCCAAAGCCAGATCACACATCATCTCCAGAAACGGGGCAAAGCAGGACCATGTGACCCCCCCAAACCCTCCCTAAGCTGTGAGGAGGGGCGGGTGGAGGAGCCCTCTGCCTGCCGCCCGCAGGGAAGGGAGATGCCATTGGAAAGGCCGATGGGCTGGGTGGCTGTCCACACTCAGAACGGGGCCCAGAGAGGTTCACGCACTGGGCCTGGGTTACCCAACTGGGAGGCGACAGCCAGACCCCAAACCCGGTGATGTCCTGAGGTCTGAGTCCTCCTGGGCAGGAAAGACAGGAGCAGAGGCCCCCCTGGCCTGCGGGGAGGGGAGAGGGCGGGATGGATGGCCTCCAGGCAGGCTGAGTGGGACTCTCTCTGCTCCAGGGCCTCCTGCATGCTGCTTGCAGGTGGGTCTGGGAGGGGGGCTGTGGCCCAGAGAAGGGAGGTGCTGCGTGCCTGTCCTGCGTCCCCGCCCCAGGTCCCCGCTGGCTGTCTGGAGCGCAGGCCTGGCCCCACGCTTCCCTGGTGCCCTGCTCACGGAGCAGTCAGGCGAAGAGAGCCTGGATGGCGCGGAGTCAGGCCAGCGGTGCCCTCCTTTCCCGGTGCCTTGCTGGAACTCCAGAGGAAGTTCAGAGCTGCCTGGTGCTGCCTGGGTGGGGGGAGGTGGGGCAGGGGTCCCCAAGCAGACAGGCTGCTCTGAACCAGCCTGCCTAAAACCAAGGTGGTTGGTGCCCCCTCCCCTGGCCCCAGCCAGGACCCCAGACTCCTTTCAGCGTAAACATGAGCAGGGGGCCCCGCAGGGCAGAAGGCATTCCCATGAAGCAGAGCCCAGGGTCCCCCAACCTCTCCAGCCCTCGGAACAGAACCCCGGGCACCCGGCCCTGCGCCCGGCTCTCGGGGGCTGGCCTAGCCGAAGCAGAACACGCACAGGCCTCCTCTGTGACCTTGGGCCACTCCTCGCCCTCTCTGGACCTCAGGGTTCCCCATGCACAGGGGCGGGGGCGGGGGGGGGTTGTCAGAGGATCTAGAAGGAATGTTCCAGAAACATTCCAGCCACGGTTCGCACAGAGCAGTGTGAGGCTGCAGGGCCCCTCTCCCTGCCTCCGGAGCCACAGACATCCCGGGGCGCCTCGCCCCGCCCCCCCGCGTGCCCAAGACCCACCTCGCCCTGCAGATGCCTGTTCCAGGGGCTCTGCGCGCAGCACAGCACCTTAGCTCGGCTCAGCGGCTCGGCACCGGCCAGTGGACTTAGTCACGGCTGCTGTCCCCACAGTCACTGCCGGCTGCGGCCATCCTGGGTGCTGGAGGCAGAGGAAGGACGGGCCAATGTCCCCCCTGGGAGGCAGAGCTTCCCAGGCGCAGGGCTTGGGGGTCAGGGGAGGGGGAGGCCAGCAAGGGACAGTCCTGGACTGGCTGGGCACCCTGGTACCTCTCCCTGCCCATCGGAGACCCTTCCTTCTGGCCCCAAACCTCAGGATGGCAGGAGGCGGGACCTATCTCGGCCAATCAGCAGCCTAGCAGAGCAAGGGCTTTATCCTCCGTTACCCAGGCAACTAGCCTTTTCTGGCTCCCTCCCACTGTGCAGGGGGTTCAGAGATGACAGGCAGGGCGGGTTTGGGGGGACCCGGACAGGAGTGGGAGCCACCCAGCAGGCCGCTGGGCCCTCCAGCTGGAGGTCTGGAGAGGAGGGGATCCCGACTGCGATAACTGGCAGGGTCCGGAGGCTTGCCCTTTGAAAATAGGGAGAGACTGGGTCCTGGCAAGTGGGTGGGGACACAGCAGTGCAGCCGGTGAGGGGAGGCTGGTGGGAAAGGCTATGGGTGAGCTGACTTTGATCCCCACCCCATACACACCCTGCCAGCTCTGAAAGATCTGGGCTCTGCAAGCGTGGGGTCCTCGCCAGCATCCGTGGGGCAAAGAAGGTGAATCGGACTTCATAGAGAGATTTTCATTGACATTTAGGGTGCATCCAGGAAAATACAAATCTTCATTTTATTTTATTGTAAATCCTCATCCAAGGATATTTTTCCATTGACTTTTAGAGAGAGAGGAAGGGAGGGGGCGGAGAGAGAGGGGAAAAAACCGCATCAATGTAAAAGAGACTCATCAATTGGTTGCTTCCTGCACTCACCCCAGTGCCCTTGACTGGGACCCAAACCAAGATCCTTCGGTCCACAGGCCTGACAATCTAACCACTGAGCCATACTAGCCAGGGCAAAAAAATGTAAATCTTCAGGGGTGATTTTTAAAAATATTTATATATTATTGATTTTTTACAGAGAGGAAGGGAGAAGGATAGAGAGCTAGAAACGATGAGAGAGAACCATCGACCAGCTGCCTCCTGCACACCCCCTACTGAGGATGTGACCGCAACCAAGGTACATGCCCTTGACCAGAATCGACCCGGGACCTTTCAGTCCGCAGACCAACGCTCTATCCACTGAGCCAAACCGGTTTCGGCTTTAGTGATGAATTTTTAAATGCAAATCTTAAATGCACGCACTTGTGCAACCACCACCAGATCAATGTCTGGCATGCTTCCATCACCGTAGGCAGCTCCCGCCTGCCTTTGTGAGGCAATACCTCCTTCCCACAGGCACGCGCTGATCTGACTTCTATCACCATAGATTGGTTTGCCTGTCCTGGAATTCCATCTCCATGGGGTCACACGGCATACACTCTTTGGTGTCTGGCTTGGCGCTCGGCACAGTGCTTCTGCCCTCATCGCTGTGGCACGGATCAGTGTACCACAACGTGCTTCTCTCTTCACCCCTGGCCGTCTCTCAGGGCTGTTTGCAACCGGCAACCTTGAGGAATGAGGGAACCCCGCCCTCCTGGGGGAAAGAGCAGGCCTCCCACTCACTGTAAAAGCAGCGACCCTCAGGTCCTGTATGTCACCCCCAGGTGCACAGGCAGCCATGACGGGTCCTTGTGGGGCTGCAGAACGTGGGAACTGACACAAGCACAAAGCCCTGGCTATTGCTTCTACCGAGTAAGACAGTCCTTTGTCTCTTAAGGAACCGCATGGCTTCTGCCAGGATCCACGGGGACATAAGGCCATGACCAAAGCGTAGTGAGCGGTTTATTAGTTTGTAAGTATGGTAAAATCTGAGGCTGCACAGTTTTTGATGATGTATTAAGTGGGGATTAGAGCTATTAAGAAAAGAGAGCAGAAAAGGGTAGATAGGGCGTATGGAGGGGCTTGCTTGCTATTTTATTGTATTTAGTCAAAATTGATTTTAGAGACAGGAAGAGAGAGTGAGCGAGTGAGCAGTTTGTTGTTCCGCTTATTTATGCCTTCACTGGTTGACTCTTGTATGTGCCCTGACTGGGGATCGAACCCACAACCGTGGCTTATTCAGAAGATGCTCTAACCAACCCGGCAACCCGACCAGGGCGTGGGACTCGCTATTAGCGAGTGGTAGTTAAGAAAGACACCGCTAGCCGAAACCGGTTTGGCTCAGCGGTAGAGCATCGGTCTGCGGACTGAAAGGTCCCAGGTCCGATTCCGGTCAAGGACATGTTTGTTGGTTGTGGGCACATCCCCGGTAGGGGGTGTGCAAGAGGCAGCTGGTCGATGTTTCTCTCTCATCGACGTTTCTAGCTCTCTATCTCTCTCCCTTCCTCTCTGTAAAAAATCAATAAAAATTCATTAAAAAAAAAAAGAAAGAAAGACCCGCTGATAAGGTGACACTGCATGGAAACACGAATAAGTGAGGACACAAGCAATGTGACTGCCTGAGAGAAGAGCATTTCAGCCAGAGGGGACACGGGCACAGGTCCTGAGGTAAGAGGGCACTCTGAGCATTTGAGAAACAGCCTGATGGCCCCTGTGACAGAGAGGAGCTGAAGACAGGTCAGGGAGATGAGCAGCAGATGAGGCTGGGGCCAGAACACGCGGAGCCTCCAAGCCTGTGACGGTGAGTGCCATGTACTGTGAGATGGGCAGTCCTGGTGGGTTTTGATGAGAGATGTGGCCTATTCTAATTTCTGCGGTAAAAGTTGACTCTGATTGCTGTGTGGAGAGCAGCCTGGGGCCCTGGGGACCCGGCTGCAAACGGGGAGCCAGTGAGAAGGCTGTTATAACAGGCCCAGTAGGCAAAGGCCGTGGCTTGCCTGGTGGTAGTGGAGGTAGTAGGCCAGGCGATGAGAAGCGGTCAACTTCTGGATCCATTTTAAAATGAGACTCCAGGGGCTTGCTCAATTAAGGACTGGCTGTGGGTTGGGGCGAAGAGGAGCCAGAACGACCCCACGGTTTTGTTCTGAGCAGCTGCCAGGTCGGTGACTGCGCATAAATGAACGGGCCGGATCACTGCACACCTTCTTTCTCCGAGGCGAGAAACAGAAGGCCTGCACCATGGACAGCACCTTCAGAGTCTGGAGCTCCCAAAAGGAGGGTGCGGTTCCTTTAAGGGGCGTCGCGACGGAAAACCCCGCCTAGGGAGGGTCACGTGCGCTCGGGAGCACTAGGGCGGGCCCACAGCGGGGGTTGAAAGTGAGGCGCGGAGCGGCGGCTCAGCCAGCGGCTGGGATGTCGGTGTTGCGGCCGCAGGACCAGCTGCCTGGCCTGAACGCGGCCACCATCTTGGTAGGCGCCAGCCGCCCGCTTCCCCGGGGCCTCCTCTCCCCTCCCCTCCCCTCCCTGGCTGTGCCTCAGCGGCCCGTTTGCCGCGCTCTTCGGCGGGCCGGCGCGCGCTGTTCCGGAAGAGGTGGTGGGCGGGATAGCCATATTCTTCCCCAATCAGAATAGCCGCTCTCTGAGGCTGAAGGACGCCCAGCCAATAGGCGCGCGGCGGGTTTTTTCCTGGCTTCTGATTGGCTTCTGGTCCGGAGGCTGAGTTCCAAGCCGGGGGTGAGTCTGAGTCCGGCTCCCGGAGTGGCCGGGCTGTCAGCGGAGGGTCCGCAATGTAGCAAGTGCCGCGCGGGGAGACCGGGAGAGGGGGTAGACCTCAGGCGCTCAGCCGGTGCCTGGCGGAGTCTTCTTTCGGCGAATGGCGCCCTGTGCGCAGGAGCCAGCATCCTGGGGGTGCTGGCCGCCGTGGGGCGGTGCCCGGATCCCCATGTCCTCAGAGGGACATCGCCCCCTTCTCTCTCTGGGCAGCTGGTGGGCAAGGAGGATGCTCTTCTGCAGCAGCTGGCCGACTCGATGCTCAAGGAGGACTGCGCCTCCTCGCTGAAGGTGTAAGTAGCGGAGACGGGTGTCCGATCGCTCGGCTGTGGTCTGAACGCTGGCTGGGCGGGAAGGAGAGCCCAGGAGCCGCCCGAGAGGCGGCCCAGGGGGAGCGGGGAGGCCAGCCCCTCAACCATTCTCGCTGGCCCGCAGCACCTGGTGGAGCCCTGGCTAAGGTACCCTCCTCCATCACTCCCGCCCACGCTCTTGTTCTCTTCCTCTAACACTTGGCACCGTAAGAAACTTCCCTGGTCGCTGTTCGTTTACTTGTTTCCAGTCTACCCGGCATGGCCCCCAGGGCCAGTCCCTGGAGGGCAGGGGCTTTGACTTTTGTTCACTGGTGACTCCCCAGTGTCTTTTTAAAATACATATATTTTTATTGATTTTTTTATAGAGAGGAAGGCAGAGAGAGAGTTAGAATTATCGATGAGAGAGAATCATCGATCAGCTGCCTCTTGCACACCCCCTACTAGGGATGTGCCCGCAACCAAGGTATTGCCCTTGACCAGAATCGAACCCGGGACCTTTCAGTCCGCAGGCCGACACTGAGCCAAACCGGTTTTGGCCCCACTGTCTTTTATTTTTATATATATATATATATATATATATATATATATATATATATATATATATATTTGATTTTTTACAGAGAGGAAAAGAGAGGGACAGAGAGCTCTATCCACTGAGTCAAACTGATCAGGACCTATTTTTAGATTATATCTATTCTAGTATCTGAAAGTGTATAGTATGTTGTGTACATGAAGATATGTTTGGAAAAATGCTCTAATGTTAGTTAATAGTAATTTCTGGGTAACTGGACTTTTAGGAGTGTGTGGTGTTTTTGTTTGTTTTTTAAATATATTTTTATTGATTTCAGAGAGGAAAAGAGAGGGAGGGAGGGAGGGAGGGAGGGAGGGAGGGAGAGAGAGAGAGAGAGAGAGAGAGAGAGAGAGAGAGAGAGAGAAAGAAATATCAACGATGAGAAAGAACCATCAATTGGCTGCCTCCTACATGCCCCCTACTGGGATCAAGCCGGCAACCCAGGTGTGTGCCCTTTACCAGAAATTGAACTGTGACTTCCTGGTTCAGGTGACCATGGTCAACCACTGAGCCAGACCGGCTGGGCTGTCCTTTTTGATGTTTCCTGAATTATAAGGTGGAGGATGGGAGGAGCTGGGTGGTAGGCATACATGGAAATGGGCAGAAATAGAAGGTCCAATAAAAACCTTCAGGAGGGCTGAAACCGGTTTGGCTCAATGGATAGAGTGTCGGCTTGGGGACTGAAGGGTCTGGGTTTGATTCCGGTCAAGGGCATGTACCTTGGTTGCGGGCATATCCCCAGAAGGGGGCGTGCAAGAGGCAGCTGATCGATGACTCTCTCTCATCGATGTTTCTAACTCTCTATCTCTCTCCCTTCCTTTCTGTACAAAATCAATAAAATATATTAAAAACAAAAAAAACCAAAAACCTTCAGGAAGGTATCTGACAGCCAGGGCCCAAGTCCAGGAGAATGATGAGGTGATTTGTCCAAGGGCACACAGCTGGTAATTTGCAGAACTGAGATTTGAACCCCCTTCCGTCGCCCTCCAAAGGAGTCCAGTCTCAGCCCCTAATCTTCACAGTTCAGCACCCGCCTCTGAGCCTGGCCTCCCGCCCAGCATGCAGTGCAGCTAGCTAGCCCTTGCCATCTTCTACCCAAAGCTCCCTCTTACCAAGGTGGCTATTAAACAGAACTCCCTTCTGCCAGAGGCGTCAGGAGAAGGTAATGTGGGTGGGAGCAGCCCTGTCCTGCCCCTCCGCTCCCCTGAGGAGCCTTGCCCAGAAGGACATCAGGTGAAGAGGTCAGGCACCTCTGACAGCACGTGAAATGTCGGTGCATGTATCTTTGGTCCTGACCTTTCTTGTTTTTCAGCCACTTGGCGCATTCCCTCCCTTTGCCCTCCGATGTGAATCGCCCCCGGATTGACCTGATTGTGTTTGTGATCAACCTTCACAGCAAATACAGGTGAGAGCCGGGCGGTGGGGCTGTGGGGGCTCAGGTGGCCCTGGCTTAGGGGTGTGCTGGGGCATGACCTCACTTGTGATGGGAAGGAGAGGAGGGAGGGAGAGGCTGCCTGGGGTTAACCTGGAGCGGGAGGAGGGGGAGCAGTGGCCCGTGCGAGATGTTTGGAGATACTGATGAATCCTGGCAGGGTCCCCTGCCATTTAACTAATGCGCCCTGAGGTTCACTCTGTCCCTGACAGCAGGCACAGAGATGAAAGAAACAGACCCCTGGCCTCAGTGTGCTCCTAGCCCGTTGCAGGAGGAGGCGGGACTTCCGCACACGTGTGAGGGCCCACACAGGCCTCTGCCGCTCAGGACTTAGTCAGGGTGGGCTTTCTGGTGGAGGCAACACCTGACAGATGAGGCGGACTTAGCAGGTACAGACGGAGTGAGCTCCATGTTCCAGGCGAGGAGTTCATGTAAAAAGGACAGTGTGTTTAGAAGAAAGACGAGTAAGGCCTGTGGGAGGTCAGGAGCCCAGGCTAGTGGGGCCGTGGCCGTGGCAGCAGGAGGGGCCGGCCCGGCCCGGCCCGGCCTCCCTGTGGTGCTGGCAGCCCGGTGGAGGCAGAGGATGTCCGCCCTCTCCCTCCTGGGGGCACAGACGGAGGTGTAATTAAAAGAGTTTGACACAATGAAAGGACGAAGGATTCCAATGCTCTGGGCAGAGTCCTGTCACCTCCTCCGTGGTCTCCGGCCTCTGGGTGGGGGAGGGGGGGAGACTGCCTTCTCTGTGGTAAGGTCTGTTTTCTCGCCCCGGCCTGGCCTCCCAGCCTGCAGAACGTGGAGGAGTCCCTGCGCCACGTGGACACCACCTTCTTCCTGGGGAAGGTGGGCTTCCTGGTCACGGGCGGTAAGTGGCCCCGCCCGCCGAGGGCCCTGTGCCGGGGTCCTCCTCGCTGAGGCCGGGCCGATGGGAGGAGCGGGCCTCGGAGTCTGACCGGCCGTCGTTCTTCCTAAGAGCACAGCCGGGCAGGGCATTCCGGAGTGGTTCTGCCGAGATCCTTGCGTGGATGGCCGAGTGGTTTTAGAGTAAAACCCAGACTCCCCTGGCCTCTGCCTTCCTGCCGCCTCACCTCTGACACTCCCGCTCTGGTTCAGCCTGTGGCTCTGAGCGAGTCCTGCTGACTCCGGGCTCTTCCCAGCAGTGGGGACAGTGCCTGCTACCCTCCCCTGAGCACTCACTGCCCAGACACCGCTCTGAGCACGTGCTTCTGTGTCATCCTCACAAGCAGCTCTCGAGGTGGGTATTCGCTCTCGTTGAAGCTGAGGAGCCTGGTCAGGAGATGCGGAACCTGCCCAGGCCCCAGAGCTGGACAGTGGGAGAGCTGAGGTCCATACCTGGAGAGTCCTATTCCTGAGCCATGCGCTTCTCTCAGGTCCTCTTCCCGTCCGTCTAGCTGACACCTCCTTTCCGCGTCCTGGGAAGGCTTCCCTGACCAGCCCTGCAATCTGGTCCCTGCGGGCACCCACCCCGCACGGATGGTGTGTCTGAGCTGAACTGGGAGCCCCTTTTGGGGAGCACCTGGCACGGTTTATCTTCAAAAGCATTGGTAGCCCTGGCCAGTGTGGCTCAGTGGGTTGGGTGTCATCCCGTGCACCAGGTTCCATTCCGGATGGGGGCACACGTGGGCTCAATCCTCAGTAGGGGGTATGCAGGGGGCAGCCAATGGCTATTTTGCTTTCACATCAACGTTTCTCTCTCTCCCCCTCTCTAAAAATCTCAATCTAATTTTGATGAAAATAAAAAGCATTAGTGAATAAATGAGTGCCAGTTCACTTATACATCAGTTCACCGAGTCTCCATAGTAACTCAGTGGGGCTGCTGCCATCCTCACTTTATAGACGAGAAGCCATGTTTTCAGAGCCCCTTTCGCCTTGTCTGCTAACCTGATCTCAGAGCCCTGAAGAGAAGGTGCCAGGATTGTGTGTGTGTGTGTGTGTGTGTGTGTGTGTGTATCCCCCGAAGAGGGCTGCTTTGCCCAGGGTCCCTCTGGCCGCCGGCAGGGGGCGCTCACAGCGTGGCACTCTGCTTCTTCGCAGCCGGGCGGGACAGCCACTGCAGCGTGCACCGGAACACCGTGCTGAAGCTGGCCCGCGCCTACCGGAGCCCCCTGCTCTTCTGTGACCTGGAGGTGAGGGCGTCTGGTGCGGGGACGGGCAGTCAGCGCTCCGGGGGCTGCTTCAGGGATCCCCAGTATCGGGGACCAGGGGTTCTTCTGGAGCCTGGGGACCCCTCTGACCTGAGAGTAGAATTCAGGGGACCTGTGAACTTTCACTTTACTAACCTCTCCGTGAAACTGAGCATCCTGGGTGTGGGCCAGAGCCGTCACTAGTTTTACAGAATCTGTGACTGTTGGCAGGTGCACGTGGTGCTGATCTTACGGCGGGTGGTGCCATTCTGTGTGTGGCCAGTAGGTGGCAGGCCACGCCAGCCCTGGGCCGTTCTGCGCCTGAGCACTGAGGACTGCGGCCTGCTGTCTGTTTCCAGCGCAGACCGCTGGGAACAGACCTGGCTTCCCCGGGGAGCCCCCTGCCGTGCGGTCTCTCAGGGCACGCGCCTCTGCATGACCACGTTTGGGCCTCGCCATCGTTTGAGTCTTTGTGTGGCAAGAACTATCACCCCATTTTACACATGAGGAAGCCCGCGCGGGGCTGTGGGATGCCCCAGTGAAGTGATGTTCTAGCCCTGCCACAGGCCGTGCTGCTCCTGAGCGCACAGGGAGTCGGGCACCGCCCTCCTCTCAGATGCAGTGAGCGACGGCACACTGTCCTGTCCGCCAGAGAAGGGCTTCCCCGGGGGTGCTGGAGGCACTTGTGAGCTGAGATGGCGGACGCGGCGTGGAGAGGTGCGCCCTGGACTGGGTCCTGGCCGTGGGCAGGGTCCTGGCGGCGGGCAGGGTCCTGGCGGCGGGCAGGGTCCTGGCGGCGGGCAGGGTCATGGCGGCGGGCAGGGTCATGGCGGCGGGCAGGGTCCTGGCGGCGGGCAGGGTCCTGGCGGCGGGCAGGGTCATGGCGGCGGGCAGGGTCATGGCGGCGGGCAGGGTCCTGGCGGCGGACAGGGTCATGGCGGCGGACAGGGTCCTGGCGGCGGGGAGGGTCCTGGCCGTGGGCAGGGTCATGGCGGTGGACAGGGTCATGGCCGTGGACAGGGTCATGGCGGCGGACAGGGTCCTGGCGGCGGGCAGGGTCATGGCGGCGGGCAGGGTCATGGCGGCGGACAGGGTCCTGGCGGCGGGCAGGGTCCTGGCGGCGGGCAGGGTCCTGGCGGCGGGCAGGGTCCTGGCGGCGGGCAGGGTCCTGGCGGCGGGCAGGGTCATGGCGGCGGACAGGGTCCTGGCGGCGGGCAGGGTCCTGGCCGTGGACAGGGTCATGGCGGCGGGCAGGGTCATGGCGGCGGACAGGGTCCTGGCCGTGGGCAGGGTCATGGCGGTGGACAGGGTCCTGGCCGCGGACAGGGTCATGGCCGTGCTGGGCGGTGGTGCCCTGCGCTGTCCCCACGTCTCCAGCCCAGCCCCTCGGGAGGCCTGTGTGGCCACTCTGACCTGCCCCCCTCTCCCCGCAGGTGGAAGGCTTCCGGGTCTCCATGGCGCAGCGCCTGGTCCGCATGCTGCAGGTCTGCGCGGGCCACGTGCCCGGCGTCTCGGCCCTGAGCCTGCTGTCCCTGCTGAGGAGCTCGGAGAGCCCCTGCCTGGAGGACCTGTGAGGGCGGGACCGAGCTCTGTGCTCCCGCAGGAGGGCTGGGAGCCCTCGGCGGAGCAGCCGGCCGCCCACTCCCACGCTCGCTCCAGTGGAGCCTGTATCCATCAGACACGGCCGTTCCCCCTGTGGACTCCACTGAGCAGAGAGTCTGTGACCAAAAGCAGTTAGAAACGCTCTCAGCCACCGCTTCGACTTTGCAGATGAACGGACTCAGAACAATGACACGTAGGGTGGGGGCGGGGACCCTGGCCTCCAGGAGCCAGTCTGACTCCACATCCGGGCCTTGCATTCTTGGAGAGCCTGCTTGTTGCCCCTCGGAGCCTCAGTTTCCCCGGATGAGACGAGCTTGCTCTCCCTTGTGGTGCTGTGGGGACCGAATGAAATGACAGCGGCGAAGGGCCGAGCTGGTGTGCCCTGCGCTTGCTCACGTGCGGATAATAAACTGTTAGCGCCTTGCGGGCCCAGGGAAGCACCCGGCAAATGGTGACTGTTATTTGGATTCACACAGCTAAGGCCAAACCCTGGTGAAACCCGGATGGCTCGTGGGATTCCGGTGTGCGAGGGGCGTGAGAGGAGCTGGTTTCTGGGTGGGCAGCGAGGGGCTGGGCGCGACCACTGCCTGCCTTCTCCCTGGGGCCTGAGCAGAACGTGGGGGAGTGCCAGGGCTGGAGTCAGGTCCCCGGTGAGCCAGGGGCCTGGGGAGGGTGGGAGGTCTGCGGGAAGAGCCGGTCACGGCTCCCGGGGGCGGGCCAGCACCTCCACACCCCACCTCCTGCTCCCAGACCCGCCCTCCGTCCTCAGGCGTCTGGAGGGATCCTGCTGGATGCCCTGGGCAGTGCCAGCACCGCGGGGGTCAGCTCTGGCCCAGCATCACCCCATTGGAGGGGCCAGCTTGAAACCGTCCTGAGGGTGGGGCCCGCTGGCCCTCGCCATGGCGCTCTGCCAGAGCCAGAGCCAGCCCGCGCCCACCCCTCGCTCAGGTGGCAGACACCTGCCTGTCTCGGGCAGCCTCCTGCCCGCGAGTGCTCAGCCCCAGGGTTTCCGCCGAGGCCCGATGTCCCGGCCTCGGAGCACGTCACGCTCTGCAGAGCCTTCTCAGCCACCCGTCTCCCCCGCAGCCTGCGAGCCGGCTGCTTCCCCATTTCACAGCGAGTGAAACCGAGACTGATCGGAGGTGTGCCCGGCCTCAGAGCCGCTCGGCTGCGGAGCCCACGTCTGGCCAGCCCTCGGCTTTCCCCCCGGTTTTCTCGTTGGTTTTTAATGTTTGTATTGATCTCAGAGAGAGAGGGAGAGGAACATCAATGACGAGGGAATCCTCTCTCCATCAGGTGCCTCCCGCACACCCCACGCTGGGGGTCGAGCCCCCAACCCGCATGTGCCCTGACCGGGATTGAACCGTGACCCCCTGGTTCACAGGTCGAAGCCCGGCTACTGAGCCACACCGGCCGGCTCTAGTTGCTCTCTTACTTGGCCAGCTGGTGAGCAAAGGCTTGGCAGGCCCTGGACTGGGACACAGCGAGACGTGGGCCTGTGGCCTGTGCCTGGGAAAGTGGCCGCTGGGGGGTGGGAGAGGGGGATGCGGGACAGTCTGCAGTCACTCCCCTCCCCTGCGGGGCTCTGCCCCTCAGGACAGGACTGGGGGGCACCCAGCTCAGGAGCCTTCGAGAGGAGAGGGTGAGCAGGGAAGCAGCCTGTGCCCAGCCTGCCCCAGGCGTCACTTTTTGCAGGAGACCAAGGGAGCGTCCGTCCTCCCTCCCTCCCCAGCCAGCTCAGGCACCTCTCTCCAGTCCTGTGCCATGTTTTCTTTGCCACCTGGTGCCCTTGAACGAGAGAAGTGGCACCTCAGCCGAGGACCTGGAAGCCGTCCAAGTGTCAGGCCAAGCGTCAGGCAGGGGTGGGGGGGTGGGAAGGGAGCGATGATACGCGACGCTGTCCCGGCTGCCAGCACCTGCGAGCCTGCGGGCTGGGACCCAGCAGCCACCTCGTCCCCCAAGGAGCTGAGCCCCTTCCCGCAGCCAGGGCCCTCCGGGGGTTCTGTTGTCCCCTCAGGCCACCTGGCTGTGGGCAGCTCTCTCCGCGCCCTCCCCCCCACCCCCAGGCCTGCCCCAGGACTCAGGTCTGCCAGGATGGCCCAGGCCCAAGGATCCTGGCTGCTCAGACGGCAGGGCCTCCTGGTGAGGAGGGGGGTCAGCATGGCGCCTGTCTCCCCGCCTGGCAAAGGCAGGGCAGCCTGGGCTGTGGGAGGGGAAGTGATGCAGCGGGAAAGGCCTGGCCGACCTGCAGTGTCACCTGGTGCAGCCACTTCCCGTCCCTGAACCCCAGAGCCTCTGTGAGGCTGACCCGCCCTTCCCCCCGGCGCTGTCCGGTGTCTGTCCGCAGACAGTGGCTGGAGGGTCTGAGGTAGGCGAGGGGAGCAGGGAGGACCCCCATACAAAGGGCCCCTCTCCACAGTCCCGCCGGCGTCACCCCCTTCCCGCAGCTCCCCAGGGCCTTGCGGGCAGCAGTGAGTCATTGTGAACGGACTTCATTCAGACACTGGCAGGCCCAGGGTGGGAGGGGAGGGGCCTGCACTCCCCAAATCTGAGTCCCTCTATGGACTGGGGTCTCTGAGGACCAGCTCCGGGAGGGACAGTGGGGGGCAGTCCCCAGTGCCCCTGACCTGGGTGGGAGGCAGCCTTCCTTGGGACTAAACCAAACACTTTGGGGGGGGGGGGTCGGGAACATCTGGTACTCTCCTGGTTTGACTGATGACCCTGCAAAGCCAAGCCGGAGGGGTTGGGTGCCCAGCACTTGGTTCCTTTCTACTGTGCTCGGCCGCAGGCCCGTCCAGCCACCTCTGGGAGAGCATGGCCCCCGACGTGTGTCTGTCGGGTGAGGGGCTGCCTGGCTCAGCCCTGTCCTTCTGAGCTTGCTTTCCTCTTTGTAAAGTAGAATCTGCCCTGACCGGTTTGGCTCAGTGGATAGAATGTCAAGGGTCCCAGGTTCGATTCTGGTCAAGGGCATGTACCTTGGTTGCGGGCACATCCCCAGTAGGGAATGTGCAGGAGGCAGCAGATCAATGTCCCTAACTCTCTATCCCTCTCCCTTCCTCTCTGTGAAAAATCAATAAGAAAAATATATTTTAAAAAAATTATATATATATGTTTGTTTTAAAATAAATAGTCAAATCGATGCCACCTCCCCACAGGGCTGAGGCACAGGGCCGGGCGGTTCCATCTCCCATGACCGGTGTGGCCGGCCTCGCCGCTCCTCCCCAGGTGCCCTCAGGGGCCCCCTCATTTCTGTCCCCTGTCCCAAGGTCTGGCCAGGCCTTCCCTGACGCGCTGCCCCCCGGGCCCCCTTCCCTCCGGAACTTTCTCCCAGGTTCCCCTCCCAGGCTCAATGGCGGCGCTGTCTGGGCTTGGTCTCTGGCTGCCTGCTCTGTCCCAGAGCCTGGAACGGCCTGAGCCAGCCGGTGTGGGTGAGGATTTGGGAGATGAGAGGCGGTGTCTGTATGGGGAGCCCGCCCTGCACCCCGCACCCCCCACCCAGGGCCAGAGCCTGCAGGCCCGGAGTTTCCTCACACCCCCCCAGGCCTGGATGGCAGACCTCAGTGTGAGGAGAGGCTCCCACAGGGCGTGGGGGGGGGGGGGGCACAGGGGAATGCCCTTTCTTACTCAGGCTCCAGGCTGTTTGGGGTTTTTTCCATGAGAATGTGTTCAGGTATTACTCACAGAATCACACACAAACGTATTTTTAGCCAAGTACACGGTGTATCCGGGCCTCGGCATTTTCACATCCAGATCTGGGGGCTGGGCCTCTCTGCCCTGAGGGACTGCCCCCCCACAGCACCGGGCTTGTCCGGCGGCCCCTGAGCTTCCCACTTCCCCACCCGTCCCCGAGGCGTGAAGGGCAGGCCCCGCCACACGGCTGGCTGAGCTCAGACCCCCGCCGGGGCCCTGGATGTGCTGGGTCACCCCTGCCCCTCGGAGCCCGGGTCCATCTGAAAAGACGGCTGTGCCAGGGCCGGGGCAGCGGCGCTGGGAGGGCGCTCTGCGGGGAATTTGGGGACAAGGACCAGGGAGATGCCCCTCTCCCGGACAGACCCCAAATGAATCATCCTTTTAAAAAGTTCGTCCAAAGACACTTCATCGGTGAACGAAAACCCGAGAAAACGACAACACAGATCCGGTACGAAGGGCTTCTCAGAACCAGGTCCCGAGCGTCTTCCCAAGAACGCGTCGTTTAAAGTCAGAACTATTAAAAGAACGAGGAAAATTTGCAAGAACCACAGCGATTTTAGAAACGTCAGCTCCTCCCTCTCGGCCACGTCTTGCCGTCAGTGGTGGTGCTGAGGACGGGAGGGACGCAATGAGCAGACATACTGCTGCGAAGAAGAAAAGGCTCCATGGAGGGCGACTCCGTTCCCCCCTGGGTCTGAGGTGACATCTCCCTTAACTGCGAAGCGTCCGAGCAGAGCTGGGAGGCCCCCCACTTAGGAGGCACAGTGAGAAGGGCTGTGGGGGCCCGGCACCGGCACACACCGCTGGCACGGACCCCACAGGCCTTCCCGGGCTGCCCGCTTTGCCCTGGCACCTGCCCTGCGGGCAGTGGAGGCCCCAGAAGACCTCGGTGTCCTGTAAGAGCCCCTGCGTCCCCCTCGGGGCTGCCCAGGCCAGCCCCTGCTCAGGCTGGGCCCGAGGGCCACCCCCTGCTCTGCTCTCTGCCGGGGGTCAGAGCAGGCTCCTACGAGTGACCTCAGACCGGCCCACCCTCTCCCCGGATCGGCCTCCGCCTGCCCCAGGGTCTGGTACGGGGTTCGGTGAGGGCTCTGCAGGCCGGAGGGTGACGGGGGATAACACCAGCGGGCATGGGGGTGGCGGGGGCCCAGTCTTCTCCCCTCACCCTCACTCCTCTGCCCTATAGGAGGGCCTTCCCTGCCTGGTTCCCGTGCAGGCTCCTGGCTCCTCCACCCCCTCATCACACCCCCACCCACACCCCCACCCACACCCACACCCACACCCACACCCCTACCCACACCCACACCCACACCCACTTCTCCTTCCCAGCTGCTCCACCACCTACACCTTCCTGCCCCGAGGCGCTGGCCCGTGGGCAGGGGCGGGGAGGCAGCGGACCAGGGCTTCTCAGGCTGCCCCTGGGGCTCTGTGAGTCCCAGAGGCCCCGAGCCAGAGCCGGGGCCAGTCCGGCTCCCCTGCTCCAGTCATTCCTCCTCCCGGAGGACGGGGCATGGCTCCCCGCCCCGGACCCTGTGCCAGCCTCCTCACTGCCATCTCCAGCTCCACGCGGCCGGAGCCCCTCCAGCAGGACACTCCCGGCTCCTCCTGCCTGGGCGCCTGTGGCCGCAGCCCCCCCTGCATCATTGCCTGAGGCAGGGGCTAGGCCTGTCCCCCAGAGCGCCCCCTGCACCCTCCAGGCCTCTGCCCCCACTAGTCTCTCTGCCTGGAAGGTCCCCAGCCCCCTGTACCTGCCAGAGAGCCACTCCTGCCCCAAGCTGGCTCCCCAGCCCCTGGCAGGTCCTCCTTCCTCTGTGTCTCTGGCCCTGGGTGCTGAGGGGCCGGTGTGGCCCACCACGAGGCACTAAGTGAGCTCCACGCTGGTCTCTGCCAGCCCTGCCCCAGGGAGGGGCAGCCGAAGTGAAGGGGAGGGGGAGTGCATGTCTGTGCGTGTGCGTGTGCATGTGCGTGCGTGCATGCGTGCGTGCGTGCGTGCGTGTGTGAGAGAGACAGTGTGAGAGTGAGGGGTGAGAGTCAAGATGGGGAGCCCAAACTGGGAAAGGGAGACAGACCTAGGGGCTTTGTGAAACAGAGGTGAGCGGCCGGCACCCAGTCCCCGGAGAAAGCAGTGCAGAGTGTGGGGGGGTGGGGAGGGTACTGGGTCTGCCTGTCCACCTGCAGATCTGAGCCTCCCTCCAGCTGAGGGTCTGGAGACAGAGCTCTCTGGGCCCTTGGCTGCCCGCGTGCCCCGTGCCCCCCGTGCTCCCCCGTGCTCCCCCGTGCCCCCGTGCCCCCCCGTGCCCCCGTGTCCCCCGTGCTCCCCATGCCCCGTGCCCCCCGTGCCCCTGTGCCCCCCATGCCCCCCATGCCCCCGTGTCCCCCGTGCTCCCCCGTGCCCCGTGCCCCCGTGCCCCATGCCCCCCCGTGCCCCGTGCCCCCGTGCCCCCTGTGCTGGGTTCCTTGCCAGCAGACAATGTGACATTCCCTGCTTGAAGCCCTGGCAGTTCCTCAGCCTTCCGGCCAGACGTCCAGGCCCAGGCCAGCCTCCCGAGCACTCCCTGGCCTGCGTGTTCGGGCCTTGAGGCCTTTGCACCCCAGGCCCCTTGTGTCAGACCCCCTCCATCCTGCCCCCGCCCCTCCATCCAGCCCCCCCCCATCTCCATAGCCCTGCACCCTCGTGGTGGTGTCAGCAGCGCTGCGGCAGGCGGCGGGCAGTGTGGGCCTCCCCTGGGGCACAGCCAGTGCGCCCCGGGGGGACTGATGACCTGAGCAGCTGTGCGGGGAAGGCGGAGGGTCCCCAGAGGAGGAGGGTGGGCAGCGGCTGCAGGAGGTTGCCTGTGGCCACCAGCTTGGGAGCAGGACAGAGGGGGCCGCCCAGAGTCTGTCCTGGCTGCAGCCCTTCCTCCGCTGCCCAGCCCGGTCCCTGGGCCCTGGCCCCGCCAGCGGGCACCCACGGGTGATGGTTGGGTGCTTGGATGGAGGAACCGCAGGCAGCAGGGCCTGGGGTGCAGGGCCCGGCCCGGCCCGGGGCGAGAGGTCCCACCCAGCGGCGGGAGGGCGGGGCCGGCGGTGATTGGGTCCCCCTTTCCCCCCCCTTTCCTCCGGGCGCGGCCTCAGTGCCAGCCGGGCGCCGGCGGGGCAGCATGGGGGCGCGGGGCCGGCGGGGCCGCAGCGGGCCGCCCTCGCGGTGCCCGCAGCCCGAGTGCTTCGACCCGCTGGTGCGCGTGTGCGTGGCCTGCAGCCTCCTCCGCACGCCGGAGCCCCCGGGTAGGCGCGACGGCTGCTCGCGGGGCCTGGGGGGACCGGGAGGGGGCAGGGGCCGGGGGCAGAGGGGGAAGGGAGCGGGGAGAGGGGTAACCCCTGGCACAGCACCCCGCGTCCCAGGACCGAGGGGGGCGAATTGGGGTCCTGGGCCGGGCCTGGGTGGGGACCAGCGTCCCGCGTGGCCCTTACCGTCCTCTCCCTCTCTGTGCGCCCCGCCACCCCTCTCCGTGCGCCCCGCCACCCCTCTCCGTGCGCCCCGCCACCCCTCTCTGTGCACCCCTCTCCCCCTCTCCCCCTCTCCGTGCACCCTTCCCCTCCCTCTCCTCCTCTCCCCCCCCCCCCTCCCCCGGTCCAGCCTCGCCCCCCGACCCCCGCCTGCTGCCCCGCTCCCCGCCCCCCCCTCTAGCGGCCGAGCCGAGCAGCGCGGCGGCGGGGACGGCGGTGTGGCCGCGGGAGGCGGGCGCGGGGCCCGGGGCGCTGCTGCTGGGCGCCCCCGCGCTGCTGGGCCTGGCGCTGGCCCTGGTGCTGGCGGCCGCGCTGGGCTGGCGGCGGCTGCGGCGGCCCGCGCCCCCCGAGGCCCCGGACACCGCGCTGGACGACGGTAGGTTCTGCGTGAGGCCCGGGGGCGCTGCCCGGCCCGAGGGGGGCGAGTGGGGAGGGCTGGGGAGGGGACAAAAGGGGAGAAGCTGCTCGGAGGGTCTCAGGCCGAGCCGAGGGGTGGGGAGAAGGGGGAGATTGGGGGGGACCGCGGTGGCTACCAGCCCCCCGTGAGGAGTCCCGGCCGGGAGCCCAGGGTAGGGGTCTGGCCTGGTCTCTCCGGGTGGGCACACTGGCTGCCACACTTCCTCTCTCCTGGCAGCACCCCCACTTGGCTCCCTCTCAGCACTTCCTGTCCTGCGGGCCCTCACGTCACCCCAGGGAGCCTCCAGCACTTCCCTGTGGGAGGGCTGGCCTCAGGGAGCCCCGAAGGCTGGGAGGCCGGACCATCCCTGACCCTGCGCCCCCTCCCCCTCAGAGCCCCTGGACACCGTCATCGTCCTCTCTTCCGGGCCCCTGGATGCCCCCGGGCCCGTCTGGCCTGCCCCCGGGGAAGACCCAGCCACCATGCCCCCGGCCCACAGCGTCCCCGTGCCCGCCACGGAGCTGGGCTCCACCGAGCTGGTGACCACGAAGACGGCCGGGCCTGAGCAGCAGTAGCCATGGGCGGGGCAGGAGGGCCCTGGCCTCCCGGGGCCATCGGCTGAGGGGCTGGAGGTCGATCGGCTCTTCGCCCCGTCCACCTGCCCCTTCCTGGAACCAGGCCGCTCCGGGCCGAGCCCGCAGAGCCGCAGACACTGGCGTGTGGGACGGACGCCCATCGTGCTGGGGCCTCGCAGGCTGTGCCGAGGAGCCGGGCGCTGTGACAGGAGCACTGAGCGGGGAGCCCCGCCACGCGAGCGCGTCCAGAAGGGCCCGGAGCTGGTTTGGAACGTCTTTAGCTCTCACCCTCAGCTGCCCGCTTCTACCCGGACGTGGCTGCCCGAGGCCCGAGAGGGCTCCTTCGGGATTTAACACAAGGTGGCTCCTCGGAACAGCCTGGATTGCGCGGACGCTCGGCACCTGGCACCCTGGGCATTGCCACTCCGGGGCGGCTTCCAAGGCCCTGGCTCCCCCTGGCGCCGCCTCCCCCCTCCGGGGCTGGCTTCACGCTCACTGGAGGTGCGGGCAGAGCTCACTCAGCCGGCCCGGGCCCAGGGCCTGCAGGAGGCTTCGTCACAGGCCTGTGGCCTGCCCTCCCCAAGTCCTAGGCCCAGCCCCTGGGCCCACCCACTTCCCAGTGGGACTGCTCCTCTGACTGAGGTGCGGTGCTCCCTCAGCCTGTCTTGCCAGCCTCCTGCGTGGGCTCAGCTCTCCTGACCGGGACTCCTCCTGGGAGGCGGCCTTGGACCTGCTTACAGCTCAGCGTCTCAAAAGGAGCACTGCGCTGGGAGTCGGGAGATGGGGTCTGGGGGCCGTTTTGTCCCCTGTGGGGCCTTGGCCACCGCTGTCCCGTGTACTGATGCTCCCCTCTTCCCCACCGGACATCAGAACTGCCCGGCAGATCCCCATCCTCTCCCAGCTCAGGAGCCATCACCAGCCAGTTTCCCCCCAGGACCTGGACACTCACGTCTAAGTCTCTTCCCAGCCGCTCCCTCCCCCCACAGCTCAGATGCCCTCCCTCCACGGGGCCAGGTGGCGGGGGCGGGGGGGGGGAGGAATGGTCGGGTGACACAGTAGGCAGGAGGGTGAGGGGCAGGCCCTCCACGGCCCTCATGCACGCTCCTCCTTCTGAGCTGTCTCAGGCCACCCCTCCCCCAGCCCCTTTTCCACCGGAGCCCGGCCGCCGCCTGGAGGGGAAACAAGTGGTTGAAACGCCTCTGGGGCCTAGACATGCAAAGCTCTGCCCCGCCGAGTCCTGGCTGAGCCTCTGGCCGATGTGCCGCTTCCTCTCCAGTCTCAGTTTCCTTTTCAGAAAACTGGGGGCCGGACACAAAGTTCTCTTTGGCCCGTGACCCTCAGTGGAGGACTGGAACCTTGGCGAATCCTCATTCCCTCCTCCACGCACCCCCCCCCCCGCCCATTTTACAGATGAGGAAACTGAGACCCAGAGAAGGAGAAGACTTGCCAGCATTGTCATCCAGCAAATAACAGAAGGGGAGTTAACTAGGGACGAACCGGCAGCAGAGGCCAGGGGAGGGGTGGCCAAGGAGGCAGTGAGCCTCGCCCCACCCCCAGAGGGACCCCCTCCCCCCCAGGGCCTCGAGTCTCTGACCCTCTGTCCTCGGCACTGCTTTCTAAGGAGCCTTGGAAGATGCCCTCATTTGGTCTTTATTGCAGCACCTGCTGGAGGGGTGGGGGAGGCTGTGTTTGCTTCTAGCAGATGTTTTAAATTTTAAAAATCAAGGCATGCATTCTGCGGCCGCTTTGGGAAGTTTGAGACAGCGAGCCGGGATGGAGTCTGCAGAGAAAAGGCCCCTCATCCAGCAGCACCGGGCCACGTGGTGGGTCTGCCTCACTGCAATCGTCCCGCACACGCGCGGTCACGTCTGGGCTGTCACACAGGAGTCTCCTCTTTGAGCGCTTCATCCACAAGATGAAAACTTACGAACGTGGAGAAGCTGGCGCTGCAGCATTCGGTTCCACATGTTCCCCCTCTTCCGCAGCTCCCTTTCTGGTGACCGAGGGCCAGGACATTAAACGGAGGATTCCCAAACGAAACCGTCTGTGGGTTTTAAATTGCGCGCTGTCCTGAGTGCCGCCCTGCTCCCACCTGCCCGGCCGTGGATCCCCCTCCGGCCAGACTCCGCGCCATCCACGATCCCCCCCCAGCCTCTTGGCCACCTGGCCACCTTGGCCTCGCGGTGCTGGTGCTGAGTCCCCCTTATTCTACTTAGTCATCCCCCCAACACCAGAGTGGTGGTGCCAGCAATTCATAGAACCAAACAGAAGCCACAAAGTTAAGGTGACCAGACCTCCCGATTTTTGCCAAAAATCGGGACTTTTTTAAAACGCCGCGGGACGAGGAACAAATAGTTAAAAAGCGGGACGCCCGGTCACCTTACAGTGAGAACACATCTTCTCCCCGTGAAATCGTGAAGGGGCCACAGGAATTGGTGCTGGTTTTGCTGTTGCGCCTCAGACTGCCCAAGCTGCAGCACAGGGGGTGGTGAGTGCTGGGTCAGGATGGAAAGGACCTTACGTTTGTGAGTGAGAGGCTTGAACGGAAAACAGGTTCTGGCCGAGGGCGGCGCATTGGGCCAGAAAGCATGAGCCACAGACCGAGAAGACGCCTGAGGAGAGAAGCCCACGCCACACAACTGTCATTACAGAGCGTGGTTATCACTGTGCTGTTATGGGTTATTGTGCCAATCTCCTCCTGGGCCTGCTTTATACACTAAAGTTTATTACAGGAATGTGTTATAGGGAAAAGCATGGTACATGTGGGGTTCAGCACTGTCGTTGGCATCCCCTGGGGGTCTCGGACCCACTCTCCCACGGCTCAGGGGAGACCACTGAGATTGTAACGGAGGCAGTAGCGCCTGCTTTGTTTTTTGTTGTTGTTGTTGTTTAAATATTTTTTTATTGATTTTTTACAGAGAGGAAGGGAGAGAGAGAGCTAGAAACATTGATGAGAGAGAAACATCGACCAGCTGCCTCTTGCACACCCCCTACTGGGGATGTGCCCGCAACCCAGGTACATGCCCTTGACCGGAATCGAACCTGGGACCTTTCAGCCCGCAGACCGATGCTCTACCACTGAGCCAAACCGGTTTCGGCATGCCTGCTTTGTTTTGTTAATCCTCACCTGAGGATATTTTTCCACTGATTTTTTTTGGAGAGTGGAAGGGAGAGGGAGAGAAACATCGATGTGAGAGAGACACGTAGATTGGTTGCCTCCCACACACGGCCCTACCAGGGCCAGGAATGGAACCTGCAGATGAGGTAGGAGCCTGCTGGGACAAGTTCTGCAGCCGACCTGACCCCTCCCCTCCGGGTGCAGGAAATTGGAAGAGCACACGAGTGACAATAGGTGGGTGGGACATGCTTTATTAGGAACAAAGCAGCCACAACTGTCAGTGGCACCTTGTCCACACACACACACACACACACACGCACACACAGAAACACACACACAGAGAAACACACACACAGAAACACCAGACACACACACACACACACACACACACACTCAAGAGTCCTCCTGCCAGTCAGTGCCACCAGTGCCACATTACCATCAGCAGGTGACATAAAGGTGTGCGACTGCTGAGTCATTGCCCCGCGCATGCGCAGGGCACAAGGGGCCTCTGGCAATACTGCTGTGTCCTTGCCCATACGCGTAGGAACGGCGAGTCGGCCTTGAACCTCCGGCGTACTCTGGTCAGGGCCCCCACAGTGCCCTTGACTGGAATCAAACCTGGGACCCTTTATGCTCTACCCACTGAGCCAAACCAGCTGGGCAGTAGCACCTTCTTGTAGATAAATCTTGGCCTACGTCTCTGTGTCCCAGAAGAGTTGTTGCAACCAGAGGCCTCGACCTTCCTATTTATTTATTTTTAAATATGTTTTTATTGATTTCAGAGAGAGGAAGGGGGAGAGAGGGATAGAGACATCAATGATGAGAGAATCGTAGATTGACTGCCTCCTGCACACCCCCTACTGGGGATTGAGCCTGAACCCTGGGCATGTGTCCTGACCAGGAATCGGACCAAGGCCTCCTGGTTCACTGGTTGATGTTTAACCATTGAGCAACACTGGCCAGACAAGGCCTTGACCTTTTTAACGGCTCCTGTTGGTTGAATTGCTTTTCTGCAAATGGGGACCGGTTATATGGCACGTTTTGCTGACAGGAAAAGAGAGGCCGAGGAGGTCAGGGACCCGGCCCGAGATTCAATGAGCAGGGGTGGAGCTGGGCTAGACCCAGGCGTGGGTCCCGGCCCCGCCCCATCCGGAAGCCATGGACACAGGGGCCCTGCGTCAGGGACTGACCCCGGTCCTACTCATTTCCTCACCCTTCAAAGCTGTCCTCCGCAGCTGGTCTCCTGCAGGGAGAGGCATCCAAAGAGACTGGAAGAGCTGCTTGTTGGGGTGGGGACCGGGGAAGCCCTCCCCCTAGTCCCCCTGGTCCGGCCAGTTTCTCCCGAAGGAGGGGCGGGGCGGGGTGGCTGATGGGCTGAAGTCTCGGTTCCTCCTGGGCTTCCTGCAGGCACCTTTCACTTCCTGCGCAGCCTGGCCGGGTGGGGGCGGGAGGCCCAGCTGGCGGGCCAGGGAGGAGGACCGGCCCCTTACCTCCCTCTGCCTCACAGGAGGCCCCGCAGGCCCCACCTCTAGAAGCGGGTGCCATCTCTCCGGCCATTTCCCGGCTTCGACACGGAGCTGGGCCCCAGCTGCTGGGGATGAAAGGGGTTCGGCGGCTGAGCATGGGCTGATTAACCGGGAGGTCACCGTCCCATTCCCAGTGGATTCCCAGTCCGGCCATAGGCCCAGTGGTGGGCTCCATCCCAGTGTGGGGTGTGCAGGAGGCAGCTGACCAATGATTCGTTTCTCTCTCTCTCTCTGGAATCAATTAAAAAATTGTTTTTCAAAAATTAAAGAGGTCATGTGACACCGAGGCGTGCCTCCACCTCCTTCCTTCCCAGGGACGGGCACTCGCTGCCCAGAGCCCCCGCCTCCAGCAGCCCCTCTGCCGATGGCTCCTCAGAGCTGGTGGGGGCTCCGGGCTCAGCAGGGACCGCCCGCACTCACTGTCCATGATCACACTGATCCCGGCACCCGGCTTGTGCCTGGGCCACGCTGGGGTGCCGGGAGGCCAGCCCCGGCCTTGCACTGGGTCCCAGTCTGATGGGAGAGGCCAGGCCGGGCGCAGGGACAGCGCAGGGCGACCCCCAGGGGCCGGGAGTGTCCGGGGGGTGGGGGGGGGGTGGGGGGTGGCAGTCCGGCCTGCAGGGAGGCTGCAGAGGAGGCGGAGGCCCTGAGTCCTGAGGAGGTTCAGGGATTCTGTCCCGGGGACTGTGTGCTAAGGGCTGCAGGAGGGGGAGCGAGCAGGGGCAGGGGAGAAGCGGGAGGGGTGGGCGGGGAACCCCAGCGCCCCTCCAGCCCCGCGGAGGCCGGCCGCTAGGGGATGCGCTCCGATGGCTCTGCGGAGCCGCTCCGGCCCCAGGCTGAGCTCTGACTCCGCTCCCATCTGCTCCCCCTCCCCCCTCAGCTGCCCGTCCGGCCCGGAGGGCGGCCCAGGACCAGGGGCGGGGGGGGGGGGGGGACGGAGGGGGGGGGTGGGGGGTGGCCCAGGACCAGGGGTGGTGGGGGGTGGGGGAGGTGGCCCAGGGCCAGGGGTGGTGGGGGGTGGGGGATGGAGGTGGGGGGTGGGGGGGTGGCCCAGGGCCAGGGGTGGTGGGTGGGGGATGGAGGTGGGGGGTGGGGGTGGGGGAGGTGGCCCAGGACCAGGGCGGGTAAGAGGGGGTGGGGGGTAAGGGGTAGGGGTGGGGGCGGGGGGGGGCGGGGCCCAGGACCAGGGGTGGGGGGTGGGGGGTGGCCTAGGGTCAGGGTGCGGGGAGGAGCAGGCAGCCCGGCCTTCCCTCCGGACTCTCAGGGAAGGTTCCGGCGAAAGCGCCCTGCGGGTTCCGCGGTCAGCCTGGCGGCACCCCGGCTGCCAACCGCCGGCGCGGCCTGGGCTCCCACAGGGTCAGGGGCGCGGGGCTCAGGGACCCCGAGCCCGGACCCGCGGAGCGGGGGGCTGGGGCGGAGGGGGCGGAGGAAAAGGGGGTGGGGCCCCCCGGAACGCGCCCACCGGACCCCCCAAACCCGCTCCGCGTCCAGCGGCTCCCGGTCCCCACGCGCCGAGGCCCGGGTGCGGGGCGCGGTGTTTGGGGGGCGCAGGAGGCTCCGGCTTTGGGGGCGCGGAGCGGACCTCGCAGCTGTGTCCGGGGACCCGCGGGCGGGCGGTCGGACGGACGCGGTGGGGCCCAGCCCGGCCCGCGCCGCACCTGCCCCGCCCTGGCCGGTGGCGCCCGCTTTTGGGGCCGCGGGAGGCCGGTGGGCGCCCAGCAGGCGGTCATGTGGGTCTGCAGCCGCCGGGGGAGCGGGGAGCGGGCGCTCGGGGGATGGGGACGGAGCCTGAGCCGCAGCTCCCAGGCCCCCCTCGCTCCGGCCCCGAGCCCGCACCCCTCCTCCCACCCGCAGCTGGAGCCTGAGTCACCGGCTGCCTCTCCTCTCCCTCCGGGAGACAAAGAGCGCGGGGCCCTCCCGCCAGCCCCCTCCGGCCCTGCACCCACCTGCCCCCTCAGCCCTGCACCCCTCTGCCAGCAGCCAGCCCTGCCCCCATCTTTCCCCCCAGCCCTGCACCCCTCTGCCCCCCCAGCCCTGCACCCATCTGCCCCCCAAGCCCTGCACCCCTCTGCCCCCCCAGCCCTGCACCCATCTGCCCCCCAGCCCTGCACCCCTCTGCCCCCCCAGCCCTGCACCCCTCTGCCCCCCAGCCCTGCACCCCTCTGCCAGCAGCCAGCCCTGCACACCTCTGCCCACAGCCAGCCCTGCACCCCTCTGCCAGCAGCCAGCCCTGCACCCCTCTGCCCCCCCAGCCCTGCACCCATCTGTCCCCCCAGCCCTGCACCCATCTGCCCTCCAGCCCTGCACCCATCTGCCCCCCCCAGCCCTGCACCCCTCAGCCCCCCCAGCCCTGCACCCCTCTGCCCGCACCAGTCCGGGCCTCTGCCTGCCGCTGCCTCTGCCAGCCGGGACATGGGAGCCCAGCGCCCGGAGCCGGGCTTTGGGCCGTGGTGGCCCCTCGCGGCTGTCACCAGCTCTCACCGGCTCTCACCGGCTCTCACCGGCTCTCACCGGCTGTCAGGCCCATGGGCGGCCTGTGTCTGCGCCTCTCCCGCACCCTGTGCCCGGTGCCGGCAGCCCGTCTGGCTGAGAGAACACGGAGGCCCAGGAGGCCGAATGGCCGTTAGGGCAGGGATCGCAGTGGGTGTTATCGGCTCAGAAAGGCTCAGAACTCTCCGGTGAGGGGTGGGGGCATCGCGGGGAGACCGTGGGCAGGTGTGGGCCGTGCCGGCGTGGGGGGCCTCAGGCGGGTCAGTGTTGGCCGGCGGGGGGTGTGCTGTCGGGGTGGGAGCACTGCTGGGCCAGGGCCTCCAGCTTCTCTGTTTCCACTGACCCGGCTGGCAGGCAGGTCTGGCTCCCCTGGCAGACCCCAGCCGTCCCGGCTCTGTGCGGGCACAGCGGTCACCTCCCTCTGGGTCTCCCCGGGCCAGGGCTGCCCAGACCGGCCCCCCATCTAAAGTGGGGACACTGAGGGGCAGGAGGCTCTCCCTGAGCCAGGCATAGCCACAGCCGGGCACCGAGTGAGGGCTCAGCAGCGAGGAAAGAACATGCTTTTGCAGGTACGTCCACACGAACACACACGTGTACACACATGCCTGGTGCAGGGAAGGCCACCGTAGTCATTCTGGCCCTGGACAGGCACACTCACTCACACCTGTGAGCACACAGACCGCACACTCACACCCAGGAGCACACAGACCCCGCACCCTCGCACCCAGGAGCACACGGGCCCCACACACTCACACCCAGGAGCACACAGACCGCACACTCACACCCAGGAGCACACAGACCCCGCACACTCGCACCCAGGAGCACACAGACCCCGCACACTCGCACCCAGGAGCACACGGACCGCACACTCACACCCAGGAGCACACAGAACCCACACACTCACACTCAGGAGCACACAGACCCCGCACATTCACACCCAGGAGCACACAGACCTCGCACACTCACACCCAGGAGCACACGGACCGCACACTCACACCCAGGAGCACACGGACCCCGCACACTCACACCCAGGAGCACGTGGACCCCGCACCCTCACACCCAGGAGCACACGGACCCCGCACACTCGCACCCAGGAGCACGCGGGCCCCGCACACGCAGCTGCAGCTGGGGGGCGGGGCAGGTGCCCTTCCGGCTCAGAGAGCTCCCGCCCGCCCGCGGGCTCGCTGCAGATGCCCGGGGTTATTTTAAGCCTGGATCAATGGCGACTCTCGGTGACACAGGCGTGGGGGGCGGCGAGCAGAGACCAGAGGCAGCGCTCTGCTGTGGAGGGAGACCCGGGCCCGGGGGCAGCCGGGAAGCTGGGCTGCTCATGTCCACACCCCCTTGCCCGGCACATGGGTGGGTACCTGGGGGGGTCAGCTGAATAACTGGCATCTCCCGGGTCTCAGCCAGCCAGCTGCTGCCCCCTCCCCCCCCAGGCTGGGGGGTCCTATGGAGAGACACTGGCGCCTGGCATGGGCCTGTGGCTGTGGGCGCCTCTGGCTGCTGGCGGACCACTGAACCAGCCGAGCTGGGGGGAAGCGAGGATGTGGAGGAGCTGGAGGTGGACATCGGTCCCTGGGCGTGGGGACTGGGATCTGCTTCTTTGTGGGGCCAGTGGACAGGGGCTCTGGGCCTGGCAGTCACCCTACCTAGGAGAGGCCACAGTCCCAGGAGGCAGACACAAGCCTCTTTATTTTTTTATTTTTAAATATATTTTATTGATTTTTTTACAGAGAGGAAGGGAGAGGGACAGAGAGTCAGATACATGGATGAGAGAGAATCATCGATCAGCTGCCTCCTGCACACCCCACACTGGGAATGTGCCCACTACCAAGGTACGTGCCCTTGACTGGAATCGAACTTGGCACCCTTCAGTTCGCAGGCCGACGCTCTATCCACTGAGCCACACCAGCTAGGGTGAGACAAGCCTCTTCAAACCTCGTGCCCAGCAGGAGGGCGGGGAGCGGCCACCCTCGGAGCCCGGTGAGGCGGGGGGCGGCTTGGCAGGCGCGTGGGGGCACTGATGCCGAGGGGAGCGTGCCACGGAGTCTATTTCTAGGAACGTCCCCGAGGAGTAGAAAAGGACAATCAGCAAATACAGCTGCGGAGTTCCAAACAGAGCACACGGGAAGTTTGACGTCGGAAAGTGAACTAAGTGAACGGAGCCAAATACATGGCACCAGATGATTTACCATCTTCAACAACAGCAAAGGCAGGCTAAAAGCCGGTTACGAGATGGTGTGTGAGGTGCGGCATAGGTCAGCACCAGCCGTCCCTGGTGATGGGATGAAGGTGATTTCATTGTACCCCTTTGGCGTTTATCTTCTTTTGGGTAACAGTTTTCATGGAGGAGGCTGTGCTGGTGTGGGAGGGGGAGGCGGCCATTGGCCAGGGCACAGGCACCTGGAGGGGGTGTTCATCCCATCACCTTTCCTGTCTCAGCCCATAAAACCCGAAATTAGTCCGCCAGCCCTTCCCGTGATCCTCCTTAAAATGTAAATCCTCCTCCCTCTTCTCCCACCGCCTCCCTTTTTATAAGCTGATCCCGGTGGCTGGTGAGGAGAGGACGCCAAGGGGAGCGGACCCTCTGAGCCCAAAGTCTGCATGTTATAGACACCAGAGACCAGAGTCACTTCATTCATTCATTCATCCATTCATTCATTCATTCCTTCATCCTTCTGCGGGTCGGGGAGGCTGTGCTTTGTGGAGACACGGGCACAACTGAACCCACTCCCCATTGCCATGTGGACACCACACTGACCCCGCCTCTTGGAGCGGGCGCAGGAGGAATCTGCCCCCACGAAGTGCGTTTTGTTTGCTTGTTTTTAACGTTAAGATGAGAAACAGAGGCAGCGGGAAGCAAAGAGCTGCCGGTTGGTCACATTCTCCAGCTCCCGCCGGTCCGCCCGGCCCGGGCTGTGGCCGGCCTGAGGGTCCCCGGCGGCCTCGCCTTCTCCGACGGCGGGGCTGTGGGTGCGGGGCGCCCCGGACCCCAACCCGCGTCCGGGAGGCCCTGGGACCGGGCCGAGCCCCCTGTTCGGGCTGCGCCCGGCGGCGCGGGGGCCGTGCTCGGTCCTGGGTCCCTCGCTCCGGCCGGGCGGGAAGGCGGAGCGGAGCGGGGCGCGGACCTGCCCGGCCTCACCTCTCGGCCTGGAGCGGAGCGGACGGAGGGCCGGGAGCCAGGGCGGGTGGGGCGCGATGGCCGCGCTCCCGCGCCGCTCGTCCCCTCGCCCGGCAGCGACAGTCCCGATGCAGGGAGCGCCCGGAGGCGAGGAGCGGTCTGGGGGCTCCCGGGGGGCACCGGCCCGCGGGCCCCGCGCCCCTCCCGCCCGGCGGCGCCGCGCTCCTCCCCGGATCCGCCCGCTCCTTCCCGCCTCCTTCCCGCTCCCTCCGCCCCGCCCGCCGCCCGGAGCCCGAGCGGAGCCGCCGCCGGAGCCGCAGCCGGAGCGCGGGCAGCGGAGCGGCGGGAAGGCGCTGCCGGCCGGACCCGCTCCCGCTCCGGGCGGAGGCCGGGCCGCGCAGGGACACCCCCTCCCGGCCCGGGGCGCCCGGGCGCGGACTGAGCGGCCCGGGTCCGAGGGGGCCCGGGCGGAGGACGCTCACCGGCCGGGGCGCAGGCGGAGCCCCCGGACCGGGCTTCTCGGCGGCGCCGGACGGCCGAGGAGGCCTCGCGGGCGCAGCGCCCGGAGCCCCGCGCCCCGCGCCCCCGGGGCCATGCGGGGGGCGCTGTAGCGGAGGCGCCGATGGCGCGGGCCGGGCTGCGGCTGGCGCTCGGGCTGGGGCTGCTGGCGGGGCCGCCGTCGGGCCGCGCGGGGGCCCCGGAGGCGGCGGAGCCCGCGGCGCCCGGCACGGCGGCGCCGGCGCGGGGAGACCGCTGCCGCGGCTACTACGACGTGATGGGCCAGTGGGACCCGCCCTTCAACTGCAGCTCCGGCGCCTACAGCTTCTGCTGCGGCACGTGCGGCTACCGCTTCTGCTGCCACGACGGCCCGCGGCGCCTGGACCAGAGCCGCTGCTCCAACTACGACACGCCCGCCTGGGTGCAGACCGGCCGGCCGCCCGCGCGCGCCCGCGACGCCGCCGCCGCGCACCGCGACCCGGGCCGCGAGCGCAGCCACACGGCGGTGTCCGCGGTCTGCGGCGTCGCGGCGCTGCTCGTGCTGGCGGGCGTGGCGCTGCGCCTGGGCCTGGAGCGGGCGCGCAGCCCCCGCGCGCGGCGCCCGGTGACCAGGTGAGGCCCGCGCCCCGCTCCCGCCGGCGGCCCTCCTGCCCCGGGCCCTCCCCACCCTCATCCTTCCTGCCCGCCCCCCGCCCCGCCCTGCCTGCCCCCCAACTCTGGTCCTCTTCCTCCGGGACCTCCCTCCCTGTCTGTCTCTGTCTCTGTCTCCAAGGTGTTTTCCTTCACCCCCCACCCCCACCCCTTTCACGGAGGGAGACAGCTGATACCGCGTCTCCCCTTGACCTTCCGGGGAGCTGGGTGCTGGGCCGGCTGGTCGCCTTCAGAGGGCACCATGTCTGCTCCCAGGGGAGGAGGTCTGGGGTCCGGGTCCCATTGCGGGCGTGGGGGCGTGGCTGGTGTGTGGGTGTCTTGGGCCGCGGTGGGGGGAATGGAGGGGGAGGGCTATTCTGTACCTCCCTGGGCTCTCGCCCTCCAGCTGGTCCCCTCACGTTTCCCTCCCTCCTTCCCTGCCCCCCATAACTGTGACTCAGGCCTGACCTTTCCCTGGGGTTTCAGAAGCCCCCCCACACTCACCCCACTCAGTACCCACAGGCGAGGGTCCCTGGTGCGGAAAGGGGCTGGCCGCTGGGAGGCCCGGACCAGTGCCGGCTGAGTCCTGAGCTCTGCCAGGTGGGATGTACGGGGCCCAGGGTCCCGTCCTCACTCAGGGACTCGGGGATTCTGATCCTGGAGCCCACACCCCACACCCACACCCTCAGCCACCGTCTCGTCGGGGTCCTTGGCCCTCTTCGCTCACCCGGGGCCTGTCTCCGTGGGCGAGTAGGCTGCTGGCACTGCGGGTGGCAGGCTGGCATTTAGAAGTGACGACAGAGAGAGGCCCTGTGCCTGGGAGGGCCCGCAGGAGACGCTGCTCTCTCCAGGGCCTCAGGGGCAGAGGAGCGCTTTGGGGCACGCCACTGTACCCCGACTCCAGACCACGGAGTCACGCCTCCGAGCTGGGACCCTGGCCGCCGCGTCTGTGCTGCCGGTGCCATGGGGGCTCTCAGCCTGGGTCCCAGGCGGCGGGCGGGCCTGGGCCTCCGGAGCTGGGAGGCCCTCGGGCTGGGTGAGGGGAGAGATGGAGCAGGCCCGGGACCAGAGGGCAGCAGGAACGGAAGCTGCGGTGGTACAGATGGGAGGTTCACCTTGAACCTCCTCCATCGGGGAAGCGGGTCGGGTGGGAGGTCAGGAGGAGCTGCCCCCCCCCCCGCCCCCTAACGAGCGCTGGGGGGGGGGGGGGCGGGGGCGGTCCTTTCCTCTCCGAGCTGCAGGCCCCCGTGTGCCCCGACTCCCTTTCTCCTCGGGGGAGACTGGAACCCAACTTGTGCTCAGGGGTGGGTGTGCTGAACCCCTGTGCTCCCTCCCAAGCCTCACCCTCATCCTGCCTGTGGACACTGACGGGGTCAGGGAAGGCTGGGCAGAGGGCTGGGAGGGAGAGGAGTCGGTCCCTAGAGAGAGTTCGTGCGAAGCCCAAAGGCAGAGGAACTGCTCGGGTGTTCGCAGAGCCGCTGAGGGTGTTTGTGGAGATGAGAGAACACGGCGGGCAGCCAGGGCGTGGGCGGGCATGGAGGTCAGCCCTGGTGGGCACCTGAAGGCTGGAGGCTTTCAGGCCCGCCCTGCTGCAGCCAAGCTGCCCTGCCCCAGGTGCCCACCCCGTGTGCTTCTTCAGAACCAGCCCCTTGAGGCCCTGACCCCAGAAGGAGGTCAGACGGAGCGGGGAGAAAATCATGGGTTCTGGGCACTGGAGCAGCTGGGCTGAAGGCTGGCTCTGGCTGTCTGCTGGGAAGGCTGTGAGACGCTGTCACAGCTGGGGGCGGGGGGACTGGATGCCCTGATACCCAGGGAGGCACTGCTCAAGGTCACAGCGGCCACAGGGGCACCGGACCCCTTCCCTCTCTCTGTCCTCCACGCCAGTGCTGGTGGGAGCTGGCCTCGGACAGGGCAGGGCCTGGCGATGGGGAAGCGGAGGCTGGAGGCCTGTGCTCCCCTCAGCTCCTCCTCCCTCTCCTCACAGGACGCTGACGGAGCTTCTGAAGCAGCCAGGCCCCCAGGAGCCACTGCCCCCGCCTCTGGGGCCCCCTCTGGGCAGCTGTGTCCAAGTGCAGATGGGCGATGGCCTCCCCCGGGGCTCCCCCCAGGACAGCGCCGGTGAGTGGCTGGGGGCGGGTGCTGTCTGATGGACAGCACGGCCTCCCTGTCTGACAGGGGCCTGGGCCCGGGGAAGGGGTGCCCAGAGGAATGGCTCTGAGCAGGCTGTTTCCCAATGGAAATGAGCTGCGGCCTCTGCGGGTGGGGGCCGGGCACACTGGTCAGCTCTCCTGGGGGAGAACGCCCCCCCCCCTCGCCCCCGCAGGGGTCCTGCAGCCTCCAGCCTCAGGACTCTGAGGAAGGTTCCCGATTGATTCCGGGATCCCTGGCTCAGCTGTGGTTCCAGGCTCAGCGTGGCGGGGCTGCCTGGCCCGGGTCTGTGGGCCCTGCAGCCTTTCCTTGCAGCTGAAACTTCCCTCTTGGCCTCTCATTGCAGAGTCAGGCTTGACTGCACCCCTTTCCCCCCCTCCCCACTTCCTCCTCTGTGGGTTCTAATCCTCAGACACCCCCTCCATCGCCACAGGCACCAGGAGCAGGTTTGGGGGGCTCTGCCTGGCTCAAGCTGAACATGCTGCGGGTCACCCATTAGATTAGCACCCACTCAGGACTGGCTGTTACTATATGTCACTATAACGTTACTATGACATATTACTACATGTTACTATGCACGTTACTATAACATGTTACTATATGTTGCTATGCATGTTACTATAAGCCAGACCCTCTCACGGGCGCTGGAGATTCTGCCGCGAAGACAGGTTCCAGTTTGTCCCAAATAGCCATCCAGCCGAACTGCCCGCTGACCCGCCGCCGGGAGCGGCCCGGGAGGCGGCGGGGCGGGAGTGTGTCCGGCCCGCCCGTCTCACCTGCCCCTCCCCTCCCGCTCAGACAACAGCCGCCAGGACCGCGCGCCCCTGGGGGCGGCCACGCCGGGCCCCCCGCGCGGCCCGCGGCCGCAGGGCAGCCTCACGCCGCGGCCGGACTTCGCCAAGTTCGCCGCCCGCCCGGCGGCCGCGCTCACGGCCTCAGGTGAGTGGCGGGTCCGTGCGCGGGCCGGGCCCGGGTGCAGGGCCAGCGCGCAGCCGGCTTCCGGTGGCCTCGGCCTCGGCCCGGCCCTGGCTCCGCAGCCTGGCTGCGCCCCTGCGGCTCCGGCCGGGGGTGGGGGTGGCCTCCGCCCCGCCCCCGCCAACCCCGCCCGCCCCCCTGTCCCGCAGAGGCCGCCCCGCAGGACTTCTACCCGCCCCGCCCGGCGCCCGCCCCGCTCACGCTGCCCGCGCGGCCCCCGCGGGCCCCGGAGGACTGGTCCGCGCTGCTCGACGCCTGCCCCTGGGCGCCGCCCGGCTACGCGCCCCCCGCCCGCCCCGGCCCGGGGGGCCCCTGCAAGGCCTGGACCACCGGCCGCCCGGCCCGGCCGAACCCCCGCGGCCCCCCCGGGGCTCAGGCCGCCCCCGCCCCCCGGCGGCCGGGCCACCCCCGGCGCGTGGAGAAGCTGCCCAAGGCCTTCCGCCCGCAGCCCCCCGGCCCGTACAGCTGCGCGGTCCGCGGACACCTGAGCACCAACAGCAAAGCGGAGGTCACCGTGTGAAGCCGGGGCTGCGGTTCTCCCGAAGCATCCCCTCTACCAAGGATCCGCCGTCAGCCTCGTGGGGGGCGGGGAGGGGTCACGGGGGCTAGGGTTGCCCCCCCCCCCAGTCCAGCCCTTCCTCCTGCCCAGACTGGACCGGGGCCCTGGAGCCTGCGGGGCTGAGAAGGGGCCTGTCGGGGGTCCTAGGCCCGGGTTCCTCATGTAAATAACCCTTTTCTGTGGCTCCTCCCTGAGAATAAAGGAGCCCAGTATGGCTCAGATGGCAGGTACTGGTCAGACTGGACAGCCGGCAGTGCAGGCAGAGGGCACAGCATATGCAAGAGCAGAGGACTGTTCCCCAGAACTATTGGGGGTCCGGGGCGTGTTCTGGGAGCTGGGAGAAGTGGCTGGAGGGCATGGTAAGGGCTGAATGTCAACACCAGCAGACCATGGCAGAGGAGTTAGGCCCTAGCCATCCTGAGGCTCCTGCAGAGGTGAGGGTTGGAGGGTCTATGTCCCTTACTGCAGGTGGGCACCCCCTCCCACAGATCGCCCACTTTACCGCCCGAGTTGGCCGAGCAGGCTGATCTCCATTGACATCGCCTGGCGCTGGGCCGGCCCCTGCCTGCAGGCCACTTGGTCAGCTTGGCCCAGAGCCACCCCCCTAATGGGCTTGGGCAGGCAGCCCGGTGGACAGCTGGTGCTCGGGGTGCAGTCTCCGCCCAGTAGCTGCTCTGGGGGGAAAGGGGATGGTGATGCTACACCCTGAGCCTTGGCAGTGCCCCCACAGGGGTGCTCACACCACACATGCTTGGCACTGCCAGCTCTCTCCTTTCCTGCCAGGCAGGCTCCAGTACCTGGCTGTGGCCCAGGGCGGGGCCAGCAGCCTGCGTGTGTCAACTTTCTGTGACAGGTTCTACTGGGGAGGCTGAGGGTTGGGCCACCCAACAAAGCCACCCAGGTGGGCCTTTCCCTCTGTGTACCCTAGGCATGGTATCCCGTTTTAATAAAAATAGCCACCATTTGTTGCTGTTTCTTCCATTTAAATCTCACAGAAGCTCCGTGGGTATATGGCTTTACAAATAAGGAAACAGGTTTTGAGACCTAAGCTTGCCAAGGTCCCCTGGCTGACTCGTGTCTGGTCCTCCATATTCTCCGCCTGTGACCCCGATGGCATGGCTGCAGTGGGCAGTGGTGCTGGTAGAGGGCCCCAGGGCACAGGCAGTCTCAGACCTTCCTCCCACCGGCTGGGCTGCCGAGGCCCCGAGCCAGCAGCTCAGTCTGAAGGCTGTTGAGGAAACCGAGGCCCAGAAGCCCCAAGAGCAGAGCAGAACCTAGAGCCCATGTCTTGCCTGCTGGGAGGGCCCCAATGGTTTATTGGGGAGACAGCTTCACATCCTCAACCCAGAGTGGGGTGGGGTGCTCCAGGCCTCTCCTGAGCTGTGGGGAGCCCGGGGAGAGGGTGGGTACTGAGGGGTGTAGCCAGCCCAGAGTCACAGAAAAGGATCAGGTTCCTGGGCACATCGGCCACCCACGCTCACCCACCTGGTGACAGGCCCTGGCTGTGCTGTGCTGGGGAGATGGCCTCTACCTCTCCTTCGAGGTCCCAAGGACCCTGGGCCTCCACCCCTCTGCTGCTTTAAGAGCTGTGGACGGACCAGCTGCAGCGGGACCGTGCGGATGCTGTGACTGCTCCAGAGGCAGTGGCTGAGAGAGCTGAGGGCCTGGGCCCATTCCTCAGCCAGGACGGGTGACCATGAACTTCAGGCCCCGGGCTCATTACCACACAGCACTCCATCTCCTGCCCCATCGCTCCTGTGGTCTGGCCCCTCGCCAGCCTCACAAGGCACCGGCCATAAACTGGCACCTTCCACCCAGCTGACAGACCGGGAACTGTGGCCGAAGGAAGGCAGGGGCTGCCACCCATTCTGCACACATGGCAGCAGAGGCTGAGGCCACCCTAGTGACCAGCTGGGAAGAGAGGAGCTGGACTTGCATGTGACTGTGGGCCCAGGTCTCCTCTGTCTCCCTGCCCCAGGGAGGATGGAAAACTGGGGCAGCCACCCAATAAGGGAGATGGATCTGAGAGGGGTGAACACCCCAAGCCCCCAAGAACTGCTGCCAGCCAACCAGCCAGCTCTGTCCTGGAGGCAACGAGCAGGCCCTGTCCCGGCGTGGAGTGTGCCAGGTGGCCAGCACCGGAAGGAGGGCAGGCACACGGGAGGGGAGGGGGCGTCCTCAGTGCCTGGCCCACTGGAGGCCAAGCCATGCAGCCACCTGGCTGTCCCCACAGCGGTCACACTACAGACCCTCACACACCTCACTGGGTGGTACCATCTGTGTTTATTGAGTCACCTACATCCAGGACATGGTGCATGTTCCACATCAAGGCTGCCATGGGTGTATCCCCCCTTTCAGTGAAAAACCACTCCCTCCCACCCTCAACAATGAGAAAAGGCACAGTATATACACGTGACACAGGGCGGGCTCACCCCGTGGCCAGGGGCCATACGTTACAGTGGGAGGGAGGCGGGGGCAAGAGAAAGGAAGTGGGCCAGGTCCAGGCTGACCTGCTCTGACCTGCACTCACATCAGGGGAGCCCCCACCGTGCGCATGTCCCAACCTGTGCTGGGCCCCTGCCCACACTCTGACCCAACCAGCCTGAGGGGCTGAGCAGCACAGGGAGGGAGGAGGCAGGACAGCCCTCTGTCCCGGCGGGCTCTGGGTACCCAGCAGCCCTCAGGCCCCGAAGAAGCCACCTCAGAGGAGGCACCAAGCCAGGGAACCAGAAAGGTGGCACCACTTTCCCTCCCAGGACCCCCATCAGGGCAGGGCCTCATTCCTGGTGCCCATCCCAAAGGGGCCTGTCATTGAGGCTGGTCCCTGTCACCCTGGCTTATTTTCAGGTGAGGAATTAGGGAGGAGGGGGTGGGAGGGAGCTGAGAAGCCACACGGAAGACCCCGTCCCGTCCCAATGGGTGGCTTCGTCTCTCCGGTCCCTGGGCCGACCCCTCCAGGGGGTGGGGACGTGGGAAGGAACAGGACAATTAAATAAGATACCATTTATTTTTAAAAAATTAAAAAATAATGCCGACATTATTTCATCCATCCCCAGGCTTGTCCCCTGCTTCCCTACCGCCCCCCAAGGCTGGGCTCCCCTTCACCCTGCTGTCCTGGGTAAGGAGGAGCAAACTATGAACTGGTTTGTCAGGCACCGGGGAGCGAACGCAGACCAGGGAGAGAAATAAGATGCCACAGCAACTTCGTCCTGCATCACGGCAAACCCAAGCACACTGATACAAAAACATTCGTATAAAAAGGGGCGAGTGCGTGCTGGGCGCAGTGCCAGGGTGAAGTGCTCTGGTGCCCAGACACCCGTGTCCCCCGAGGGAAAGCCTGGTAAAAAACAAGCAGGGAAGGGGAGAGACGTCCAGAGAGAGAATCCTGGAGGGCTGCAGGCGGGCTGGGCAGCCGGGAGCTCCCCCTGCTGCTTTCCAGTCAGGGTCCGCCACCCTGCCCCGTCTTCCTCTCAGGGCACGGAGCCCGGGACCATCTGCATCTGCCCCACCAGCTCTACGAGCCTCTGCCCAGGGTCCACTGGCCTGAGGTGGCCCAACAGCCTTAACAGGTGACACCTCAGAGGACAAGGCTCAGCCCCCAAAGAGAGGGGGGGAAAGGGGGGGGGAGAGGGAGGGAGAGAGGAGGGAGAAGCAGAGGAGAAAGAGGGAGACTGAGAGACAGGAAGACAGTGGGCCAAGGTGGCAGGGTCCGTGGTCAGGAGGCGGCGATGGCGGTGCCGCCGCCCAGCTTGACGATCATCTGCTGGCAGTCGTTGGAGGAGCGCCGGTCGCCCACCTTCTCCAGGGTGCGGGCCGCCTCGGCCAGCAGCACCGCCCGCTGGCCCGGGGAGGAGAGGAACGAGAGGGGGAGGTGGCGGCAGGCCAGCAGGATGGCGGTGGCCCGCTCTCGCTGGCCGGGCCAGGCGTCCACCTCTCCTGTGGGAAGAGGGAGATGCTGGAGTGCTCGCTGAGAGCCCGACGTGGACTCTGCCCCGGCCTCGCTCGCCTGGGTTACAGGGAGGAGATGAACTTGGTGGCATCACTCGGCTATTGCCATCGGCCCGAGAAGGAGCCGTGCGTCTGGCTCCTGCACTGGGGCCCCCCAGCCCCCCGGACCCCCGCGAGCCGTTAGGAACCCTCCAAGCACCCCCGCGCCGGGCCTCAGGCTCCCTCCTCCGCACACCAGAGGGCCCAGCTGGGCGCGGGACTCACCGTGCTTTGTGCTCTGCGCGGAGCGCCGCCGCAGGCTGTGCTCCAGCAGCTGGTGGGTGCGGGTGGGGCTGGCTCCCGCCATCAGCCGCACCGTGGCCTCGTGCAGGAACACCTGGGGAGGCGCAGGGACGGGGAAAGCGGGGTCCTCTCCATCCGTGCCCAGTCAGACCCGGGGCCACTGCGAGCGGATGCTACTCGGAGCTCTAGGCAGCAGAGCCGTAGCCCAGCGGCTCAGGAGGAGGAACTGCGGTCTGAGGAGCCGGCCACTGCCGCCAGCTGGGAGACCACAGAGCCACCCTCGGGTGCTTCCCACCCCTGCTCACCACACACTCCAGGACCAGCCACACAGCAGATCCTCAACCCTCAGGAGCTGAACAAGAGGACACGGCACCTAAGCCAGTGCCTGACAGGCAGCTGGGTGACCCCCAAGGACCGACTCCCTGACCCTACGCTGGTGCTGGCTGGGCCCTGGGGCCCCAATCTGCCCGCCCCACCAGGCAGCTGGGGCTCACCTTGTGGTAGGCGGGGCAGAAGCTGTGTGCCAGCCTGCGCAGGCTGCCCAGGTCCCGCTGGAAGCCAGCCAGCTCAGCACCAGACGCGTGGTAGGTCTCCCCCAGGGCCTGGCTGGCTCCCGCCTGCTTCTGCCAGAGTGCTGTCCGCAGCGACAGCAGCAGGTCAGCGATCAGCAGCTGGATCACCTGTGGGCGGGCCAGGGGGGGAGACAGGTGACGGGTCTGGTGCTGGGGTAGAGGTCCCAGCACTTACCAGGCCCTTCCCAGCCCAGCCCCTGGCAGCTCCAGGACGAGGCCACCACGTCAAACAAAACCTGGCACCTTTAAGAGCTCAGTGAGGGGAGCACCTTTGGGTGGCGCAGTCGCCTGGGACTGGTTCTGAGAGCTGTGACCTGGATGGCGACCCCTCCTCTGGGCCTGTTCTCCCACCCAGAGCTGCCACCCAGAAAGAGCCCCGAGGGTGCTGGCAGCCTCTCTCTCCCCAAACTCAGCAGAGACTGGTTCTCTCCTGAAGACCAGCAGACAAAAGGCACAAATGGGGTGTGGCCCCCACAGGCCTTTGGTCTTGGACCCATTCTGTCCCATAGGGCTGGCATGCTGTCCTGGCCACTGGCAACCTCTGGCCAGAAGTGTCAGCCTGCTTGCCGCGGACCAAACTCCAACGAGGGGCTCAGAGTCTGACTCTCCAGGACATACCCCGTCCCGCCCTCTCTGGAGGGACACCCCGCTCCTCCCACGATGCTGCACTCCCAGCTGCATGCACGCCTCCCTCCCGCCCCCCATGGCCCTGCGGGGAAGCCTCTCGAGGGCCGAACGGGCCTCTGTGATGCACTGCGGAAACATTGCATGGTACCACCAGAACATGCAATGCAACTACAATGCACCACAGCCGCCCGCGAGGATGCCGCGGTGCACGTGAGGGTGGGGCCCGCTCCCACGCTGGCCTGCAGGGACAGGGGGGTTGTGCGAGCTGCCTGCAGTAAATGCAGAGTCCTGGCCGGTAGGACCTGGGACTTGGGAGTCTAGGAAAGGTGCAGGAGGTTGCTTGCCTAGCCTCTGGCTCTCCAGCAGCTCCCGCACCGTGGGGCACCTCCAGAGCAGCCACTCACGTGATTGAGGGTGGGGTCGCAGGTGGCCCCACTGACATTGAGGCTGCTCCACAGGTGACCGCTGGCCCTCTCACAGTGGCAGAGGGAACTCTGCTGCCCGTCCGCCTTCCCGGGGAGGGAGGCGTGCATGGC